AAGGATTTAGGTCCAGCAAAGCAGATTCTTGGTATGGACATTATCCGAGATAGGAGAGCTGGAAAGCTGTGGTTGTCACAGGAAAAGTATGTTGAACGAGTGCTTGGTAGATTCAACATGCAACATGCTAAATCAGTTAGCAGTTCACTTGCCAACCATTTTCATCTAAGTAAGAAATCTTGTCCAGTGTCTAAGGAAGAGCAACTAGCTATGTCTAGTATTCCTTATTCTTCTGCAGTCGGTTCTTTAATGTATCTTATGGTTTGTACAAGGCCTGACATTGCTCATGCAGTTGGTGTAGTGAGCAGATTTCTTTCTAATCCAGGGAAGGTTCACTGGGAAGCAGTAAAATGGATTTTTAGATATTTGAGGGGTACCTCAAAAATGTGTTTGACTTATGGAGTTTCACAACCAATTCTAGAAGGGTTTACTGATGCTGACATGGCAGGCGATCTTGATGGTAAGAAATCTACTTCAGGGTATTTGTTCACTTTTGCAGGAGGAGCTGTATCTTGGCAGTCTAAGTTGCAGAAGTGTGTTGCTTTGTCAACTACAGAAGCTGAGTATATTGCAGCAACTGAAGCATGTAAAGAAATGCTTTGGATGAAACGTTTTCTTTTTGAATTGGGGTTGAATCAGAAAGAGTATGTGATATTTTGTGATAGCCAGAGTGCTTTAGATTTGAGTAAGAATACCATGTACCATGCTAGAACAAAGCACATTGATGTTAGATATCATTGGTTACGTTCAGTGATTGAAGAACAGCAGATGCTATTGAAGAAAGTCCATACTGATAAAAATGTGGCAGATATGTTAACTAAGATACTTCCCAGGGAAAAGCTTGAGCTTTGCAGTAACTTGGCCGGAATGAGTTCCCTGGCCAAGGTAAGTTCCAAATGAAATTGCTATGGTGATGAATCTCTTTCTAATGGGACTGGAGGGGGAGATTGTTAGGAAAATGGGTCCAGTCCCATGTAAGTGGTTTTGGACCAAGTAAAGGCCATGGGCCTTAGATCTTTTAATTTTACAGCAGAGCCCAGCTACCTTAATAAAAAAAGAGGTGGGGTTGTTTAAGGTGTATGTCGACAACCCAGGCAGAGAAAGAAAAGAAAAGCCAGGCAAAAGCAGTAGAGAGAAAAATGAGAAGGGAGATGTTACGTTAAACGGCAAGTCGATCCGTGATCCGATTGAGTTGAACCTTGTCAGGAGGTTTATGATTCAGAGTTTATAGCATTCTGACGGTGAGGATCGGGTTTGGAAAGCTCTCTAGCACAAATCCCGGGTGTATTTGTTGAGTCACTTATTTGGTGAGATTTCTCCAATTGTTTCTCTAGTTGTTCATTAGCTTCTAGTTTTTAGCTAGAGACAGAACTTTGTCATAACTATTCATTTGATAGTGAAGATTTTTTCTGGTGGCTCCGTGTTTCCCTCTATACTGGAGGGTTTTCCACGTAATCTGGTTGAGGCTTTATTTTTCCTACGCATTTGATTATTGATTGTTGTCTATTGCTTCTGTATTGTTGTGATTATTGCTTCAGGCGCAACAAACTCTTGGCTTTTCATGTTTTCTCCCCAACTCCATTTGTTTAGTTAAAAATAATTCTTAAAAAAATATTTTTATATTTATTTAATAAAAAATTGATTGGTTAATAGAAAATAACTTATTAATTAATTGAAAGTAAAGTCATATTTCTAAAATATATCCTTTTTTAAAACAAAAAGATATTTAAAAAAAAGAATTATTTATAAGTAAAATTACTTATTAAGCTCATGACTATAATTTTACTCAAGTTAGACCTTAGACATGATTTTTTTAAGCTCATATATACCAAAATATTATAATATTAATTACAAAGTGATTTTATTTAATTTTACTTAAAAATTTCAAATATTAATGTTAAAATTTTTCTAATATTTTTATTTTAAATATTTATAATTCTACTCAGGTCAAGCCTAGGACATCATATTTAAATTATTCAACTTTAATTTGATCTGATCAAAAATATTATTATATTAATAAAAAATTATTATATTTTAATTAAAAATTAAAATATTAATATTAAAAAAGTCTTTTGGTATTTTTATTTTAAATATTTCTATTTTCTATATTAATAATATAAAATTTTTTTTATTTAGATAAAAATAGTTTTATATTATTATTGTAAGTATATAATAATATTTATTATTTTAATAATTAATATTATTTAATATACTATAATATTATTTTAATAATATGAATATTTTTAGTCATTTTTAATTTTTTCAAATTGAAATATATTATTTTATATTTATTGACTAATGTACTTATATTACTATTTTAATAATAAATAAATATAAATAAATAATATTTTTATGATTTAAAATAGATACTTTTAATATAAATTATTTTAATAGTATAAATATTTTTAATATTTTAATATTAAATATTAGTATTTTTAAAATTATTATATTAATAAAAATAATAGTTTAATAATAGTAGTAATATTTAAAATATTTTAAAATATTAATATAAATAATAAATAGTTTTATTATGAGTGTTTAATTTTTTTTTTTTTTTGCAAACTGCAAATATCAAATATATCTAGACATAAAATAAAAATAACAAAGCTTAAAAATCCAAGGCCAATAAAATTCAGCTGACTCCAATTGTTGAGCAAATTACTAAGAACAAAACGAAAGCCGCGCAAACTTAGGCTCGATTTGGATGCAATCGCACCCACGGTGAGTGCCGATTGCATCCTTTAAACTCATTGAAAAATTGTTTGGAAAAAGTGGCCGAAACCTTCAAAAAAAATTTTCCTTTTTTTGCCCTTTACATTTGTATTATATTACAAAGACAATAATATTTTTATAATTTAACTTTTCTTTTTTCTTTTGATTTTTATTTAAAAATTATAAAATATTTTTATTAGTTTACAATATTTTTTGTTTTTAATTTTTATTAACAAAACTGTTAATTTATTTAAAAATAATTTATTAATTTTATAAATATTAAATAATTTAATTTTTTTAATATAATTTTTACTCTATTATCTTTAATAATATTTTTTATTTTTATTATAATTTATTTTACCATCGTTACTATTTTTATATCTAAATATATATTTTACCATTAATTTTATTTTTATTATTATATTATTTAATTTTATCATAATTAATTTTAATTTTATTATTATTTTTAATTTCACCGAAATTATCTTCACAGTCCGTCAAAGTGAAACTCTTTAAGCTCCATTTTGTTTTGAAGGCACTAGAGGGGAGGTGCACTTTCCCTGCAATTTTGTGCCAAATGGCACAAAAGCTGCATTCGACTGCAACTCAAGTTTCAACGGAATGAATAAATTGTGTGGTGGAAGACTGGTTATTTTTGGACCAATGGCCTCTCGGCCATTATTTTTTTTAATTCTTAAATTTATATTATAAACAAACAAATATCCTTATAATTTTATTTTTTTTATTTTTTTAATTTCTTTACTATTTTTATTATTTATTAATTAACAAAATTATTATTTAATATTAAAATAATTTATTAAATTTTTTATTATTTATTAATTTTATAAATGTTAAATCATTTAAATTTTTATTACATATAAATTTTAATTTAATGTACTTAATAATTTTTTTAATACAATTCACTCCATTACCTTCGCTTTTTTCATATTAAAAAAATATATCTCACCACTAATTTTAATCTAATCGTTATAGTAATTAATTTCATAACTTTTGTTATTTTTAAGGTTAAATATAAAAATGACTCATGTATTTATGTTTTTATCAATTTAATACTTAAAAAAATTAAATTTCAGTTTGATACTCTAACTTTCATTTTATTATCAACTTTAATAACGTTACAGTTAACTTGTTGGCATGACATGATATTCAATAATATATTGATATGTGTCAACAAAATCTAATCAATATTACATCAATAATTATCACGTCAATATTAAAAGAAATTTTCTAAAAAATTTTAAAAAATTTTAAATGTTTGAAATATTTTAAAAATTATAAAAATGAAATATTTAAAAAAATTAAAAAATTATGAAAACTTAAAATTTTTTAAAAATCTCATAATTTTAATAAAAAATTAAAACTTCACAAAAATTAGCAAAAGTGAAAATTTCAACAAAAATAATTTTTTCTTAAAATTAAAAAATTATAAATAAATAAATATAAAATATTTTTAAAAAATATAAAATTTTTTAAAAATTATGACAAATTTTCATATTTTTAATCTTAAAATTTTAATTTTTTTTATATTTATAGAATTTTTTTATATTTTAATTTTTTAGATTTAAATTAAAATTAAAATTTTTCAATTTTTCAAATTTTCAAATTTTTTAAAAATTGTTGAGAATTTTTTTTTTATATAAATTTATAGATTTTTTGAAAATTTTTAAGATTTCTTTAATTTGTAAAAATTTTCAAAATGTTTTAAATTTTAAAATTTTTTAATTTTTTTATGAATTTTAAAAAATTTTATTTTCATTAAAATTTTCAATTTCTTTGAATTTAAGAAAATTTTCAATTTTTTTTAGTTTTTTATTAAAATTTTGAGATTTTTTTAATTTTAACTTTTTATAATTTTTTAAATTTTTATAATTTTCAAAAATAGTTCATATTTTTTATTTTTTTTATATTTTTTGAAAATATTTCATATTTTATTTTAAAATTTTTTAAGTTTTTAAAATATTTTAAAATTTTTTAATTCTAACTAATAATGCAATATTAATTGAATTTTTTAACATGTGTTAGTATTTTATTAAATATTCAAATTACGTAAATAATTTTTCATTAATTTAAAATATTAAAATATTTAATGAAATAAAAATTAAAATATTAAATAATAATTTTAATTTTAAAATATTAAACTAATAAAAAATATTTTTATATTTAACCCTTATTTTTAAATTAGTGATGGAAATTGGAAAGATAACGTGGTAGCTGTAGCAGTATTTAAGAAAGAAAAACATGATGAATGTGATAGGCTGTAGGTTGTAATGAAGAAAACAAAGCACTAGCGCGCGATCTAAAGTTGCTTTCACAGTCAGAATCAATATTTGAAAGTCAAGCCGCCCATGCCCACCCCAAACTTAGAAAATATATACTAGCATCAGACAATTGCAAGACATCAAAGAGAACGGGGAAGCTAAGTGAGATCCGGTTCATCTGAATTTAAGCTCAGCCATTGGTGTTTAGGGATATTGGCCCAAAGGAGATTTTGGGCCAGAAGATAAGAGAAACTACGGTTGGCAGTGAGGTTTTCAGCCAGGGCACAGATAACTAGGACCTTTTCATCTTCCCTTCTACTTCTGTTTCTGTTTTCTTTTCTTTTCTTTCTTTCGTCATACCGTGTCTGTCTGTTTGTTCCCGTTCCTAATATTCTCTCTCTCTCTCTCTCTCTCTCTCTCTCTCGTATATGTGTGTGTATATATATATATATATATATATATATTTGTGCATTGCATCGCATCGACTTCGTCGATCACACACACATATACATTTATAGCATATAGAAGAGAGAGCCCAAGACCCAATTGCCAGCCAACTGCCCCGGAATTCGGACAATTGTGGAGCTGTTTCCTTCTCAGTTGCAGCTGGTAAAGTAAGTCTATTTGATTCTCTGCCTGCTGAATTTGTGATTTACTGTTGGATTTAGAGGTGTTAGCTCAGCTGTCTGGCTCTTCTCCTTCTCATCAATATTACGGTATACTACCACTAGTTCTTTAGATCGCTGCTGACTGCAAGCTGACCCGTAGTAAAGTAGTTTATGTTTTGTTGTTTATTTACTAATGCTTTTTTTTTTTCTTTACATAGAATTAAAGTTTTTTAAGTAAAGTTTGCATGGTTGTTACTCTTTAAATGATCAAATAGAAGTTAAAATTGAAAAACCAAACCGATCGTTTATTGATAAAGTTCAATGACACAATTTGACACATATTAGTTGAATAGTGATCGAAACGTCTTCGCAAATTTCAAAAAAGTATCAAAAATTATTTAAATGACTTCAGATTTGTATACATAATCTAATATATAATTTCTGTCTATTTTCCTTTCCTGGCAAAGGATTTTTCTCTTTCCTATCAAACGGCCTCCTTATTGTTTTTGCTTCCTGAATTTATCTACTTGCTTTAGAAAGCAAATGCATATTATTCAAATCAATATCATAATGGATCAAAAAGTTATAAATGACTAAAAGCAATACTAAAATAAAAATAAATCAAAATCCTGCATTTTGTTTTTCGAAAAAGATCATATTTTTAATTTTTCAAAATTGTGTTTACTTTTTTTTTTTTTTGAAATATTCATTTTAGTTCTATATCTTGAAAGGAAAACACCATAAATACAAACAATGACCAATCCCCGTACATAAGTGACCTATCTTTTCTTTTTGGCAAACAGAACACTTATGCCTTTCTGGCAGCTCAGTTATTTTTGAGATAATTTTGGGATGAGGGCTAAATCGTTATTCTAGAATCTAATGTTTACCCCATTTTTCCTTTCAAAACTCCACTTATTTCTTCTTTTAACTTAGGATGAAACCTTTTTTATTTTATCCATTTAAAGTAAATTGATGAAAAAAAAAGTTGGTGATTACAGATAATGCAAATAATGAATGCAAATCTATATTACCCCAACAAGGCAACTTTTAATCCCATTACTGTATTCACTTACTTTTTAGTTAATTTTCCTTCAATGGATAAAATTGAAAAGGTTGCATCCTAATTTAAAACAAATAATGTAATGAGTCCTGAAATAAGGAATTTGGTAAATGTTAGATCCTAAAATAAGTATTTTGCCTGAATGAGCTCATAAATAATCGATTGTTAATTTCATATAATGATATTTGCTAAAATAGATATTTGAACTTACCTAGCTTGTCCCTTCCTTTCTGCCCAAAACTTTGATAATCTTAATGAATTCCTTATGTGATTTTACTTACAATATAACAGACAGATGTATAATGTATAGGGAAAATGTACTTCTTAATGCTTCCTTGCGTAGGGAGGAAGTGGAAAGTCAAGGGTCAAATGAGTGGACACTTTTTCAAACTGGTTCAAATCGTCTTATAAACTTTGTTTGAAGCTTGTTTCTGAAACCAGAATTTATTAGAACACTCGGGTTTCTGATTATTAAAACACATAAAATCTTTATAGTATACTTTATCTCATTGATTTTAAAGTGTATTTTACTTGAAGATTTGCACACAGGTGTGTCATGTTTTTGTCACATGTTTTCTGCGGAATCTGCTTTGGTAATGTTGATCCTGGATCTTGCAAATTCTCAAATCTAGGACAGAGTATAGAAATTAGGACTTAAACCATTCATATAATTTTTCTTCTCTATTGAATTTTGAGCTCTTGTTGCTTATTTCTTTGCAACTTTTTTATAATGTTAGATTGGCACCATTCCTTGACCAGTGAAAATAAGATTCACGTTCATGGCATTAATGTTGTGAAGGGTCGGGTTAACTGATACCGTTCTAGGCCCTTAGTTTTGCAATTGCTAGGTCAGTTCATCCAGCAACATTAGCTATAGTAGACATGCAACTATTCATTGTTGAAGCCAACACAAAGCATATATATGGGATCATCACTACATATGACGGCCACCTGTTTTTATTAGTGCTTTAAAAACCAAATGCTTTAACATCTGGACGTTATCAGTAGGGTGACTTAGCTACTAATTATAGATGAAAGGGAAGAAAGATGGGTGGTTACTTGGGGGGGGAGATTTTTGAGAGGAGCAACAATTACGTTTTGACAACTTCACTTTCTAACTTAGTTGGTAATATGCTCACCGACAGCACTGTAAAGTGTTTGAAGGATATGCTCTACTATATGGTTTACTTATGTATCAGTTATGATTCTTCATTGCCAGCATTTTTTATGAATGCTTGTTTTAGTCTACAAATTAACTGAATATGCTCTAAAATATGTATTTATTATTTGAATGAGCAGAAAAATCTAGATGAGCTTCTTATTGTGCAGTTGTTATTCATGATAGCAATCCCTGTAGGAAAACGAATGGCTGCCTTTGCAACTGCCGAGGCTTGTGATTCAAACACAGCACTTTTGGTGAGTGGTGACTTGAGCGCTCTAGAACCAATCTTCAAGATATATGGCCAGCGTCGTTCATTCTCAGGACCCATTGTAACACTAAAGGTGTTTGAGGACAATGTGCTGGTCAGGCAGCTTCTGGAAACCAGAGGTGAAGGAAGAGTTCTGGTTATAGATGGTGGAGGAAGCACTAGATGTGCTTTGGTTGGAGGAAATTTGGCACAGTCAGCTCAAAACATGGGGTGGGCTGGTATTGTTGTCAATGGCTGCATCAGAGATGTGGATGAGATTAATGCATGTGATATTGGGGTGCGAGCACTTGGATCTAATCCCCTGAAGTCAAATAAAAAGGCTGTTGGGGACAAGCATGTCCCAATTTACTTTGCAGGAACTTTGATTCGTGATGGGGAGTGGTTGTATGCTGATAGTGATGGCATTCTTATCTCAAAAACGGAACTGTCTATCTAAAGCAGTAGGTACCAAGCGAATAAGGGGACTGAGTTCTTTGTTACTGGCATCATCCTAAATGTCAGTTGTGAAATGGATGGGTTATTTAGTTGGATACGATGATTTTTCTTGTTCAACTTGTTTTAGCTTTGGGATACTATTACAGGCGTATTGTTGAATCTGCAATGCTAATTGAAATTCGAAAGTTTGGAAGTCTTTCTTACTCTGCAGTTAAAAATTACAGATTCCCCACATTTGGGACCAAGGTTTATGCAAAATAAATGGAAAGCAGGATATATATAATATGTAGTAATATGTAATAATAAAATGCCGTGTAATTGTGTTTCATGTTGACTGCAGCATTGTACATTCGTTAGTACTTTTCCCTTCTGAATTTACGAAGAGCTTTCCAAATTCTTTACTAATATAATCACGTATTCTTTTTTTAAGGTAATACTGTATATATCTGTACACTTTTAAGCACATAATAACATTTTCCTTTTGTGGCCAGGAGAAGATTTCAACCTTGAACCTTTGAAACCTTATTTGTATAAGGTGGAACTATAATTAGATTTATCTTGGATTGCTAGAAACAGCTGTTTATTTTCAATTACAAAATTTATTCAAAGAAAGTAATTTAATAAAATATGATTTTGAAATTATCAAAGTATATAATAAAAAATTCAATGCATAGTAAATATTATCAGTGTGCTAAAGGCTCTTTGTGTTAAGGTGAAATAAATAGCAAGTGTCGTAAACAGATTACTAATAATGCGGCAAAAAGTCGTCAATTAGAATGAGCTTGTAATTTTGTGATGCTTAAGGACGCCTAGCGAATTTGGGGAAAGATATATATATATATATATATATATATATATATATATATATAAAAGATTAACAACGTGTCCAAGGAATTAAGAGCAGATTAGCTGCAATCATTTGCAGGATTGAAGCCCATTCATTGATATTTGTTGCGGGGTTGTGAGAATGTGAATGTGGGCTCAATATCCAACGGATCAGTCCAGTAGCAGCAGAGACCAAAAAAAAAAAAAATCGAAAATCGGCAACTACTAAAAAATAAACTAAAAAAAATCGCAGGAATCGTAGAAAGTCGAAAGACTATCAGAACCCCGAATCATCCTCTCGTAAAATCAAATTCAAAAAGCTAAGAATGGCATCATCGTCAAGCAGCGGCCTCACCTTCAAGCTGCATGCGCTGGTAATCGTAAACATATCGGACCACTACACTCGGGTGAAGTCCCAGATGAACCCTCCACTCACATCCACCTCTTCCACCTCCACCGTCAATAATAACAGCAGCAACGGCATGGAACACCATCAGCAAGCTCCTCGAGTCTACGGTTGCGTTATAGGGGTCCAGAGGGGTCGCACCGTCGAGATCTTCAACAGCTTCGAGCTTCTCTGCGATCCCTCCACCCACTCCCTCGACCGCTCCTTCCTCGAGAAGAAGCAAGAGCTCTGTATGATTCTATTTCATTGTTTTTTTAAAACATTTTATTGGTTTATTTACACCTCGAATTAAAATTTTTCTTTCAATTATTTTTCCCAGATAAGAAGGTTTTCCCTCACTTTTATATACTTGGATGGTACTCCACTGGGAGCGATGCCGAGGAATCCGATATGCACATCCATAAGGCCGTATGTTTTCTCAGCCGTTCCTCGCATCTTATTCTTTCTTTCTTTTTTTTTAATTTCTTTCTTAGGCCTGTGACCTTATTAATTGTTTGTTAATTTTTCATTCATTAGCATTGCTGGAAAGCCAACCTTTTCTGCTTTCGTGGCTGTTGTTGCGATTCTGCAATACAAGCGTTGCAATTCTCCGTTGTCATTTCATTCCAATACTAGTAATTACTTTATAATTAATTTTGATTGATCTAATACAAAGTATTGTAATGGTGATCATGACGATGAAGGGATAGCTTCACAATACATTAATAATGCTTTACCAATCTCATATGCTTTTCTGTTTCTATTTATAACTTCTAACTACCGAAGGAACAATATTACTGTAATAATTGGTTGCCTCTTCTTTTTATGTAATGCATTTCAATACTAATAATTCCCTCTTGTTCTTTTGTTACAGTTGATGGATATTAATGAAAGCCCTCTCTATGTGCTTCTTAATCCTGCAATCAATCATGCCCAAAAGGATCTTCCAGTCACCATTTATGAAAGTGGTATGAAGTTCTTTTAGCTTTATTCCATTCTCTTATGTTAGTCTATATTTTTCCTCTCTTACTTCGTTTCCAACGTTTTGCATAAGGTTTAAAGCTTAGCTGACCTGAGTTGAGTTGAACTGCTGTCCATCTCCTTCATTATTGTCAGAACATGCTTTGTTCCGATCATGAGATTTTTATATGGTCTATATTTGCTAATTTGATCCATTTGTGTTAACTTTTTATTTTAATTTTTATCTTGGAATCATCAGTTCATGTTCTTGACTATAAGTAATTTCTGAGCAATTGTGCTGATTAGAAAGGGGTGTCGATATCAATAATACTTATCTCCTAGAAGGACGTCAATGACCATGTTGTGTATTATAATAAATTGCATTTGATAAGGAAAACACACAGCTTCTTAGTTTAGTGTGATTTTGATAACATTTACAGTTCATGGTTATTCTTTGGCGATAACATTTTCTATTCTTCTTGTTTATCATCTTAACTTAAAAGAGCTGCACGTCATAGATGGGATTCCACAGCTTATTTTTGTTCGCTCAAGCTACACAATTGAGGTTCATACTTTAATTCGTATCTACTCAGTTTTCTTTTAAATTTTACCAACTGGGATTGCTAAGATTGCTTTTTCTTTTTTGGGCTTTACAGACGGTTGAAGCAGAGAGGATATCTGTGGATCATGTCGCCCATCTAAAGCCATCTGATGGAGGGTCAGCAGCAACTCAATGTAAGCCTGCTTGCTTCTTTTCCTTGTTCCTAGTATTTTCTATGAAAAGTGATAATCCTATTTGATGGAAGCCTTTTATTTTCTGTATTTGATGATTATCAGTGAATTCTTTTGTTTGTGTTTGTGTATTTTCCCTGCATGCAGTAGCTGCTCATCTTACTGGTATACATAGTGCCATCAAGATGTTGAATAGCAGAATCAGGGTGCTTCATCACTATCTTGTTGGAATGCAAAAAGGTATATGCACATTCCTTATGAATGTAGTACAAATTAAATTTTTTGGAATGCATGAGAACATTTGAAAGGTTGTTTGACATTTCTTTAAGAAAAGGAACCTATATTTGTAGTGTAGAGTGTGGATAAAAGCTCTAGACATGGAAAATACTTCAAAATAAGTTATAACTTCTCATTTTGTTAATAAGTTTTGAAGACTAGATTTGACAAAATGTCCTGCATTTTTTAAAGTTTTAGATGTCAACATCTTTGATCGTCCTTATGACTTTTGATCAGTCATTTCTGATTTCCTATTGATATTGTATATATTACTTTTAGAGGATAGGCTGTGACAAAGTTTCACTGTTATTTGGGCTATTGTGGATCAGACGGCCATGAATTAGTTGTAATAGAATTCGTTCTCCATTTCAGGTGACATTCCTTGTGAAAATTCACTATTAAGGCAAGTATCAAGCCTCCTCCGAAGGTTACCTGCCATTGAATCAGAAAAATTTCAAGATGACTTTCTGATGGTGAGCCCTTTTTTTTTTATCTGTTTGAGCAAGTGAAGGACTGTTAACTGTAGTAAGAAGGTAGAGTTGTTTTCTATCTATTGTTTTGGGGATGATTTGGCTTTTCTAGCCAATTTGTCATTATTACCATCAAAAGTCTGGCATTTTAAAATAGGCAACCATCAGCTCATCTCGGTTAATGCTGTAGTACCAGTTCTTGTGGCCACCAAATTCTGTATGTTAAGAATTGGAAAACGAAATTACATCTAGAAAGTTCATTGGATTTTTGGTCATATCATGGTACTAGGATTTACTAAAACTGGTGATTGATGATAACTTGTTAGAAAGACTTTGAGAAGGTGGTACTTGTTACTTGTTTGATGCCACAGTGGAAAAAGAAAGATATTTGTCAATGCTAGTTAGCAAGGCTATGTTGGAAATAAAACTGTTGTAGGCCTCTACAATTCAAAAGTTCACATAATCGGCATAAAAAATATTGGCATAGGTATAATTGGTGCCTAGTTCAAACATTTATGTTTTTTTGGATTTGGTGACTGCTTTTTGAGGATTGGCCTAATTATTTTTATTCAGGAAATGAAGTAAATGACTAAGCTGCATTTTCATCCTTTGATCACTTACATGCTTTTTTTTTTTTTAATAATTCACAGGAATATAATGACACTTTATTGATTACTTATCTTGCAATGTTCACTAACTGTTCAAGGTAAGGTTTTGTACCTTTGTTAAGAATTTGATGTTTTTCATATGCCTTTTGTGAGAGGAAGTGATGGCTTGTTTTGTTCTATTTTGGGTGCTTTATTAGATAATATGCCTAATTTTGCTAAAATAATTCCACCCTCCCCTCTCCCCCTTTTTTATATATGTCTTTTGCAGCAAAATGAATGAGGTAGTTGACAAATTCAACACTGCATATGATAGACACAGTCGAAGGGGTGGACGGACTGCTTTCATCTGAATGTTGCTAACTTGATGACTATTTTGGGCCCTTTTCTTTGTGCACAGCACTTGGATGCTTAGGAGTTATGTTGGGAAGGGGTTGCTAGACAAATAGATATGAAAATTAGATGTTATCACTTTTGTTGTTATTATTTATTACTGGTTTGGATTTTTGAGCGGAGAGATTGGTGATGCTGTTTCTGTTTGTGGTGATTTAAGGTGTAAGGGAATTTAATTAGTTCCAGCACTTAATCTAATATTTCTATTATATTACAAAGATATTTTATATTATCAGATACATGATATCTGATAAGATTTGCCATGTACACTTACACTATATTTTTAATTAACTTGCAACTTGTGTAATAAACGATTTAATTTATTTATTTAAATACATGTATATATACACAAATTAGTATTATTTACAAAGTTATATTAAAGTCTTCAATATTTTAACATATGAAATTTATATATGCAATTGATATCTCATAAAAAAATAAACTTTTAAAATTAAAATTGAATGTTTTTCATTCTGAAAACAATCATAGTAATTTTTCATTTTAATGATTCTAAAAATATAGATATCTCATCAGGATCTAAATCAAAATAATGAGAAAAAGAAAAAAAAAAATGTGTATCAAAATACAAAAAATATTATTGAATAATGAATTACATATTAAAATAAATATTAACATAATCTGTGCTCTTGTTCTTAATTAATTTGTTGAACAAGATAATAAAACAATTAGTAAATGTCTACCAAAAGAGCAAACGAATTGAAAAAAATATTAGTTAAAAAAATAACTTATCATTACTGTTGTTTTGGGATTGTTAAAAGATTTTAAAAACATAAAACATTTATCATCGATTTTTTCTTATTACATTGGCTATTCAAGAAAATTTATTTTTTAAAATAATTTGAATTTGATAGTATGATTATGTGTGAAAAATTATTAGAACCTCCATAATATCAATTTTAAAAATAGTATTAATTAATCATGTATTATCCTTTAATATTAAAAAAAATATCTTAATTTTAATATTTAAAAATAATTCTTTAAATTCATTTTATAGTCACAATTTTTGTTTTTCTGCTTTTTTTTTCACAAAAATTCTCTTTTTTAATAAAAAAAAAATATTGTTATCATTTTTATTTGAAAAATAAAACTAAAATCTTATTATCTAGGAGTTTTCAAAATATTCCAATACGTTATTAATATTAAAAAAAAATTTTACCTAAAAATTTTTTAAGAATCACTATTTAAATTTTCTTAAAATCTCATTCTCAAAATTCATATTTATTAATGTGAAGAATATGCAAATAATATCCATGTATTATTATATGTAACTTTATTTTAAAAAAAAAACTTTTTTTAAAAATTTTCTTCCTTTTTTAAATTTAAAATGACAATAAGTAAATGAAAATCCTTTTTTATTGAAGCTTTTTCCTAAATATTCTAATACTTTAATTACATTTTAAAAAAATACCCTTACTTAAGGATTTTTAAGTAATTACTATTTAGACTTTTTTAATATCCTATCCTTGAAAAGATTTTCCCTTACTATTATTTTTATTTATTTCAAAATTTCTTCAAATTACCATTTTAGATTTAAACTTTAAATATGCAAAAGAACCTATAAAATAAATTGAATAATAAATAAAAAATAATGAAAAATTACTGAATCAAGCCGATCGATGGCCCAATCAAAAGTGGTTAACTAACCAGTCAAATTTGGTCAAACAAATAGTCAACAAATTGGTCAACAGAAGCTAGGAACAAGTCAAACGTGCGACTCTCGAATTGGGCCAAGTTTATATACGGGTTAGCTCCTTTATTTTTTTTAACATTATAAATATCAACTTTTTCACTTCATTTTCATCTCTTCCAAAAAAAATATCTCTTCTCTAAACAACACTCCAATAGTTAGCCACCCATTCCTAGATTCTGATGATTTACCATCGTGTCAGCTGTTACCTCCAATCATCGGCCATCACTCGTTATCATTGGTTTGAATCCAAATTTCATTAAAATATTCTTCTCAATCTCCTAAGCATTTCTAACGGATGTAATTTTTCAAAATCTATAAATTTTCCTATATTTAGGCAAAAAGTTTAGGCTTCAAAACTTAAAACACCCCTTTTTTGCCACATTGGCTAACCCCATTTCCTCCTATGTCCCTTCCATGGTCTTAAACCTCATTTCTTTCGAAAATCACACCCTGAAACAACCCAAAACTTCCCTAAAACCAAAGCTCTCTTTCTTTCTCTATGTTTCAATGTGTTTTTTTTCTTTTTTTTTGCTTTACTAGCCTACTGTTTCCTACGGGGATGTATTGTTTTTTGTTGTTAAGTTTTTTGGTTGCTTGAAGGGAAAGTCTAGTTCGCAAGTTTTGAGTTTGGTTGGCAATAATTTGGTGCTAAGTTTTGTAGTAACTAGTGTAGGTAATGAGCTCAGAGATTGATCTGCACGATTGGGGGTTATGTTTTAGAAGCTAAAGGATGGCAATTTAATAGTGGTGGTAAGGGATTTAAGGGATTTTTTTTTTACTTTTGGTAGTGTTTTTGTTGGTTTTGGCAGTTCAGAGGAAGGTTATGTGGGTTGTTTTAAATGGTGGTGATGTGAAGGGTATTGGTGTCTTATGGTGGTAAGGTTTTGACAGAGTTATTGGATGGAGGTGGTTATAGTTGTTCAACTAGAAGTAGGGGTGGTTAAAAAATTTTTTGGTAAAGTTTTTGCTTGACAAAATCACCCCCTCGTGTCTTGATTTTGCAAGTTTATAAAAGTTTTGGAATCCTTAGAGGTACTGAAAAGACAAAAAAGGGATAAAGGGGAAAAATATGAGTGACAGGGTAGAAGCAAGCTGGTAGCTGAAATTAAACTAGCATGACAATTGTAAAGTGATTATGGCAAATGCTAGGGTGTGGCTGATTGATGCCATATATGGCATTCGTTCCTCTTATTTTTACCCTTTCTTTTTTGTTGATTTTTCATTTTTAATTAATTTTTTTAATTAAACTAATTAATTAATTCTGATTAAAAGAATATGGGCCTTAAATTAAAAATAAATTTTGGGCTTTCAAACCTAATTGATTTGGGTTTTGGGCTTTCTAACCCAAATAACTCATACAAACTTAATTGGATTGAATTAGACCCATGCAATTAAGTCCATTCAAGCCTAAATGGATTAATTAGACAAAATCCATAAAAGATGTTCAAATGGACTTAAATCGAGTATAGAAATGTGATCCGTTTCAATCTATTAGGACAAAATTAGTGTTTATAATAGTTCTTCGTACCTTGCTAGAATTAAATATATGGCAAAGATGAAAATAACAATTTTGTAATCTCAAAGATCTTTTTAGTTTTTTTTTTGGACATTTTTTTATGTTTGTTTATTTTCTCAAAGGTTTTTTAGAACTCAAATATAATCATTGAAAATGTTAACGACAATCTAAACTTTGACCATAAAAAATTTGAATATCACAATTGAAAAAAACAAATAACATCAGATATTACCGTTAGAAAACATAAATAACTCAGATATTACCGTAAAAAAAATGTAAATAACTTTAGATATCATTATTGATAAATACATATGACTTTGGATATTGCCACTGAAATTTTAAAAGAAAACTTGAATATCATTATTGAGAAAGTACAAATGACTCTTGATATTGCCAAAAAAAAAAAAAACTTAGATATCACCATCAAAAATAAAAAGTTCGAACATTACCATTGAAAATTTAAAAAAAAAATTCAAATATCACTATCAAGAAGTCAAATATCGCTGCCAAAAACTGTGAAAACAATTTATATTATTGACTGATTCTAATTTCATTAAACTTAATACCCATTCATGCTAGCTATATTGGGTTTAGAATCTCTACCAGTTCCATGAGCTTAAAATCTCATCTTAAAAGTCTAAAAATTCTTAACATTTTCTTTTTACTATTCTTGTTTTTTGGATACCATATACATTTTCCATTTTCATTGGAAACTCTTTCCTTTTTTTGTTGGTAAATTTCTTCTTTTGTTTTTACAACAATGTTTATATTTTCTCTTTTTTTTTTCACTTCAATATTTACAAAATTGACAAATGCTATTACAATACAAATGTCTACTCTTAAAATGATGGTGCAAATGCACATGTTTTTATGCAAATGCAAATGATATGTACAAATACAAAAATCCTTACCAACAATATAAATGCAAATGCCCTTTTATAATGCAAATACCTTTTACAAATATGCAAATGCATACATCTTTACCAATCATGAATATGCTAATTTCTTCCATGATGCAAAAATGAAATCAAAAGATGCAAATACTCATAATTTTCTTTTTTTTTTTAAATATTTTCAATTTTTTTTCAATTTCAAATCATTGGCTTTTCTGGCTATTCTTGTTTTTTGGATACCGTATACATTTCCATTTTCATTGGAAACTCTTTCCTTTTTTTATTGGTAACTTCATCAATCAATTCAAAAATGATATAATTGTTAAAGTAGGTTATCAAGCATCCAACTTAAAATCAATTGACAATAAGTAAAGTGATCCAATCTTAATATAAAACCAAAGAAAATTGGATATTCATTAGATGTAAGATAAGCCACTTTAACAGGTTCTCATCATGTGTAAGCAAAGATGAAAGAAACTTTCTATGTGACAAACGAGAAAAAGGCAATGGAAGGAAAGTTCTGGCTCTGATATCATGTTAAGCATCAAATTTAAAATCAATTGACAGGAAATGAAGGGACTCAACTTAAATATAAGACTACAGAATATTAGAAATTTATTATATATAAGATAACTCACTTTAACAATAATATATAGCCCCTAAATGAAATTAACAGATTAGGAATGAAATTTGAAAGCTTATGCCAATCAAAGCCACAACTGCAAAGGAACTTTTGTTCTCTATAATACTCTATATGTGATATGAAGCAAAGCCGGATTGGGTGACTCTTGTATTGGCCAAGTTCTTTTATTTTGGCAAAAGAATCTCTAGTTTATCGCCTCCAACCCACCTGCACCCCCAAAAAGAAATACATGCAAATTCTAATGTATGTAAACTTACTTGCATTTGTAGTTGTACAAGAATATACTTCCATTTGTAGTTGTAAAATAATGGCCATTTGTAATTAAGTACCCCCAGGACAAACTCTTCAGGAAACTAAACTAAAATGCAGTACCTGCACTAACAATATCCAAGTCACATAGTTTTCAGTTTCTGCAGAGATTTCTTGTCTTCTCACCTTATAAATAAAATATATAAATGATCGGTTAAATGAATTTTGTTGTGCAGGTATTGTAACTTGGAGCTGTTTTATTAAACTTGAGAACAGTGTTCAATAAGAATAAAGAAAAAGGAAACTTGAGAATAGGGTTCACATTAGTCCATGGACTAATGTGAACAGCCAAAGTAACAAGCATTCTCATCAACAAGCAAAACTTTGCGCATATTAAAACTTAACTAGAAATTGCAGACTTGAAAACTTGTAATAACACAAGCAGTATACCTGAAGCAATCCCAAATGCTGCTCCAGCTCCAACAAGAGCACTCTTCCTTTCTCCGTTGTTTTCCATCATTAATGAGAGTCCATTGGCATATGATTTTCCAATGTCTACACTGGGGCCTTAAGGACCCAAAGAACAAGAAGTACCTAAAGTTACGGCAGACTGGAAAGCCTTTAATGTGGGGAAGACTCCAGCAACCATATCGAAACCTTGTTGTTGAGAAGAACTGGATTGCCTTATTTGGTTCAATATCTCTAGTAAACCATGCATCATTCCAACAATGACACCCCAGTGACTGGTATCAAAAGAATTCAATGCCAAGTGTGAGTCAGTCTCTTAAACGAAGGGATGCAGCACCCTCATTTGGAGTCCCAACCCATGCCCATTCATGTATGACGTGAACCTGAACGAGTAATAGAAAACATCAATAGAAAGCAATTTGAGCACCAAAAATGAAGCAATATTGGACAAGAGAAATATTTATCCTGTATGGATTAGGCTACTTTGCCAAATACTGTAGTACTATTGAAGTAACAATAAAAAACCTGTAGTGGAAGCAGTTTACACTAGCACAATAAAGAGAAAAGCAACAAGGGAATCAACAAGAAAAGATTTATACAAAGTTTCATAGACGAAGTTCATAAAAATTTTTTATTAAAAATGAGTAAATAAAAAATTTAAATCAATAAATTAAAAAATTAAAAAATCTCTTTACATACATTAATAGTGTAAAATTTGAAAATATCTTAATAAATTTTGATATATTTATTATGTAAATAATTTTAATAAAAATATTGACAAAATTTTTATAATTAAATAAATTTTGATCATTGAATTATAAATAATATTTCTGATAATTTTTTTCATATTATTATATTATAGATTTTCAAGTTAATTTTTTTATTAAAGTTTGAATTATCTATTAAAGTGTTTATCTACTTATTTTTAATAAAAAAAATTATTAACTTCATTTATAAAACTTTATGTAAGCTTTGTCTGAAGTAACATTGCGCTGAAAGAAAGGAGAAACAAAGCTTTAATTCAAGAAATAGATGTATGGTTGAAAATTTAGTGTTACAATATGCGGACAAAACCGTCAATAAAAAAGAAAAAGAAAGAAAGAAAACTACATTTTTAGTCGCAGAAGAATAGTGAGAAGATGGACCGTATTGCATGAATTGACTAATCATGCCCCCGGTCCAAATGCTTGAACGAATTGTTGCTGTTGCTGCTGCTGCTGCTGCTGCTCAGCTGAGTTCCACGTCATCCTGATCATCGTTATCATTATCGAGTTCATCCTTATGGGCTGTTGGATTTCAGCAGGTGCCTTTAGTTGCTGTATTCTCCGCCTCCCGTCATTTCCTCAATTTTCTTCTAAATAGTAGTATTAGCATTCCCCCATCCAATTCCCAACCCTTTAAAAATTTTATCTCTCTCTCTCTCTTTTTTTTTTTTTTCCTCCAAAATTTGTGTGTTGTTCCGCTGAGATCACAAGCAACATTGAAAACGAGAGTGGCTATTGCTCTTTGGTTACATGGAATTCACTCTTTCTATTTCCAACCGCTCGCTCTATAAATAACAGGAAACAGATTCATATCTAACACCAGCCAGACCCAACTTGCATATATGTTTAAATAATAGGGTCAATGTCATCCAATTGAATCTCGAATAAATAATGAAATTGAAATGTTATTAGTGAAAAAAAAAATGTTTCTTCCACTGCTTAGGTCACAAACAGTCACACCTTCACCTTGCTTAATTTGTTTTTTATAATTATTATTAAGGTCTACTTTCTACGACACACACATCAGAATTCAGATCCAAAAAGAGTCTTGCTTTTACAACCGCATCCCTCTTATCCTAATCCCAATCCCAATCCCAATCCCAATCCCAATCCTCCAACAACAATCTAACGTTATTAGTCCTCTCCTAATCTTGGGTGAAAAATGCAACACTACTAACGTAACGTGGGCATTGAGCAAACCATGAAGCAAAAGCGATTCCTTTCTAAATTAAACTGAACTGGAAATGGAATGAATATACGTACATAAATTTATGGAATGGAAATGCAACACAATATCATATTTGTTTGCTAAAATAAAATCCCTTAGCTTTCATTCATTTCAGTTGCTGTAAAAAAATTTTTAAAAAATGTGACTTTTTGGACTTCATTCCTTACGTCGTGCTTGCTTGACATAGATATTGACCGATTTATTAAAATTTTATGCAAAACTCGATAAAAATTTTATGATAAAACAATCATAAAATTTCAATAAAAAATGTTTATAATTGTAATAAAATAATTAAAATTTCAATAAAAAAAATTTTTAAAGCGAGATGCTGTTTTGCTTCCATGTCTCAACTTGACGAACAAAGAAAAACCTCAATTTTGACACACACCAAAGCCAAAAGCAAAAACAAAAATCATATTAGAAATAGGAGGAAATTTTTGGCTTAGCAAAAACAACAACAAGAAACGAAGCAAACAAAAACGCGGTTGGAATTTTTGTTGATTTCCAAATAAAAGGAGCCGTTAGTGGATGAAGGGATTATTGTTATTATTATTATAATTATTTTTCTTGACGGCGATCGATGAGGTACATGTACTTGTTGGATCTGAAACCCTGAAACTAATTGGTTATCTACTTCTTCTTATTCTTCTTCTTCTTCCAAACACAGACATCATTCAATAAAAAGGTTAGATTTGCTGCTTCAGGCAACCAAGATTGCACCTTTGCCTATCATATCTCCAGTTCTTGGAATCCCAACAACAATAATTGTTCTCCTTTTCCACTTATCAAGCTGACTATTTAGATAAGTCTTGCTCCTCATTTCTCACTACCTGCTAGCCTTTTAGCTCAGCCCAATCCTTTTTTGTTTTCCCCTTTCCTGGGATTCTATTTTGTTCTATATGTCTAGCCAAAAATTGAAAAAGATATAAAGTAGATAGGGGAAAGATTTAATTTTGTGGACGCCCAGATCTTTATTACTATTTTCTAGGTGGTTGATAATTAATATTTGGGTCGTTGTTTTGTTCTGACTTTCCCAGCGAGCCAATAAAAAACCCAAAATTCTTCTAATTTCCTGTGTTTCTTGTTTGCCTTTCCCTTATGTATACAACTCCTCTCTAAGCTCTTACTTTCTTGGGTTTTACTTGATTTCTTGGAGTGCACTCTGTAGATTTTACTCACCTGCAAACATGCATGCTAGGCATAGAAGTCCTGGGAATGGATATAGGTCTAGTTCTACGGGAATTGGGCTTGCTGCCTCCCGGATATCCCCTGAAACTTCGGGTAGAGGCCATGGCTTTTATAATTCAGAGCACCGCAACTTCAAGCGTGGTTTAGGTCGTGGCCAGAGCCATCTGAAATCATTTCAACTACATCCACCAACACCACGCAAAGGCAGTGACATATTTATGGAAGCAGGCCGTCTTGCTGCGGAATATTTGGTCTCTCAGGGATTGTTACCCCCTAGTGTGCTACCTGCCAAATGGCAGAATGGTAGTTTAAAGAAGCAGATGGGCGATTATCAGGATTATATGTCACAAGAGGTTGATAACTTGCACCTTCCCCTGGATGGCCGAACATCAGTCCTTGCTCGTCTGGGAAATGCTACCTCTGATTTGGGTTTAGACAGAAGGAGATACCTTGATGATTATAACTCGACAGGGTCAAGAAATGTTTCTAAAGGAAGAAGGAAAGAGGGATCTTATCGAAGTTATAGGTCCGATTGGGGTCAAGAACAAGGGAGAAGCGGATCATGGTCAGATAGAATTAGGGCTTCTCCATATTTGGAGGTTGACGAGGATAGTATTTCTGGACATCATGAAGAGCCATTAGCTGGTAAAGATGTTGGTAATGGATTGCAGAAGCCTGTTTCAAGCGAGTTTGCACCAAAAAGTGAGGAATTAGATAACTCAGAATTTGATGATAAGTACAATCTACAGCATGAAATGGGTTCAAAGGCAAGTACTTTCGGTGCTGGGAAAGATCTAAAGTTGGAGAGTGATGGCGAACTCTTGAATGGATCTGATGATTCAACGAATTTTAGCTCAGAGGTTGGAGAGCTGAAGGATGGCAGAAATAATGTTGAAACTGAAGAGGATGGTACAATGAAGGATTTATCCTACCATCATTCTTCTACAGAGGATGATCCCTTGGTCAAGACTTGTGCAGATTTACTAGCAATGAGCAAATTTGCCAAGGTGCCTACCAAAACACGTTCTTCCTTGACATTGAAGAACTTAAAAGCTGACTCAGTTGCTACCAATGAACAGGAAAGTGTTTCTGATATTGGAACTACAAATGGTCCTCAAGTCTTACTTGAAGACAGTTCTCTGGGAGGTTCCTTTGGTGATATGCTACTAAATAAAAGTCAGGATCCAAAATGCTCTGATTCTGAATATTCTAAAGACTTGTCTTTTCATTCTTTTGGGGATGTGAGGTACTTGGATCACATTTATGATGTTGAGAAAGGTAAGTGTTCAAGGTCTCAGTCTTTCCCTAATAGAGCCCTTTTGCTTGACAATGAGCATGAATTAGTTCAGGGGATGCCTGGTCTCCAAAGATCCAGCCCTATGGTTGTGGTTAAAGAGAGGGGCGGAAAGCGGGGTTTGGAGTTGAGTGATTTGAGCAAGGGTGCCAAAAAGCCAAGAGAATGGCTTCGGCCTGTGACTAACAAGGTTGAGCTCTTGCCCTTTTCTGATTTTGGTGACGAGAAAGGACCTTCAGTAGAAGGGACAGCTTCACCTTCTGAGAAAGTCGGTGCGACTGTTGATAAAGAGATACAAGACAGTTTGGTCACTAATTCTCAATTCCCAGATGGAGATGGTGAATCAAGTGTCAATTATGCACAAGAAAAGCAACTTCTTCCAAATGCATTCAAGATCTGTGACCTTAATCTGATGGAAGCTTCTGATATAAATGAAAATCATCATAATGATCCAATTAATATGTACTCCACTGCTTCAGAAACCAAAAATGAAGCGGCAACAATTGATAGAGATTTGTCAATGAGAAATTCCAACAACTCTGGCGGTGGCAATAGGCATACAAGCAACTGTAAGGAGATTGAAGTAATTGATCTAAAGAATGATTCTACCCAAGAAGACAAGGGTGTTGATAATTTGGAAAGAAAGTAAGTTTCCTTTATCAGTATGCTTTATTCATAATTCAGCTCATCTTTGATTCACCTGTTTACTAATAGTGATCAAAAAATTTTCTCAACTTAGTTTTTGGTTTGTTTCCCCTGTTAAAGTGCAAAATGCCTCATGCAGCAGCTAATTCATCTAGGGCCTGTCTTCATGTTGAAATTGACTTGTTTATCATGTAGGTGTGAAACAATGTTTGTGAGCATGAATGGCGATATGACTGATGTACCGGATCATTATGATGGGCTTACGATTACAGAGTTCCTCAGAAATTTTTCCAATTGCCCTTCAGAGGATATCAATCCTTACCCTCAACAAAATGAAAACATTAATAGTCTGCAGATCGAGGACATCAATCCTCTACAGAATGGGATGTGTCTTCATAATGGAGAGGTACAACCCTAATTGCTGCGAGTAGGATGTCCATAATGTGTGCAAATCTTTACTTACTGGTCTTAATGTTACAGAAAATGTTGAGTGTTTCTAAAAGTTAAGTTTCTTAAAACATGATATTGTGGTGGTGACTCTTATTTGTTTAAAATAGCTATACTAATGCATTTCAGTTGAATAATTTAAGTATTTGCTTGATGAGTAATTTGTTGCTTTTTTTTAATTTGTTTCAGGGAACTCTTGGAGATGACGACTCGATATACATGTCCCTGGGAGAAATACCATTAAGTATGCTTCCTGTCTAATTTTATGGTTTGCTTTCTCGTAGATCTAGGCTGTATTTGATTGGTCTGATCTGGTGTTTTGCTGGACTAGTAATAAATACATGCGCATTCATGCATCAACTGAGTATTGCAGAAACATGATATATGTTTGACTTTGCTGCAACAACAACAACAAACTAAGCTTTATATCTCATAACTCTGGACTCGACTTAATGAAAAGCAAAAAAAAGAAAAGAATCATGTTAGGTTATAGTTTTGAATTTTCTTACACTACTTATTTTTATAAAAAAAAAAAAAACCTTTTCATCTACTTTCTTCACCTTCATATTATATCTTATTGCTTGCATTCACGTTTTTCTGTGGTTTACCTCTGGAAGCTTTGGTCTTTCCAAAGCTTGTTTCTCCTAACTGATACACATATAGGCTTACATTTCACATGTCCAAACCATCTCAAATGGCCTTTCTCATATTTTCCTCAATTCAGACTACCCTTAATTTTTTTCAAATCTCTGTAATTTTGATTTTGTCTCTTCTAGTCTTACCACAGATCCATCTAAGTATCCTTATCTCCATTATGTTCATGTTCTTCTCATGTTGTTTCTTAACGGCCAACACTCAATTTCATATAACAATATAGGCCTTACAGTTGTTTTATACAACCTAGCTTGAAAAAGATGTTGCGATTACACAATACACCCGACGCACTTTACCACTTCATCCATCCTGTTTCAATCCTATGATTTATATCTTTTTCTATCTCAGCACCACTCTAAATAATTGATTCTAAATATCGAAAATGACTACTCTTTGATATTACAACACCATCCAACTTAGTCACTTGCTTCTCTATGACTACTAAACTTATATTCCATATATTCAGTTTAAGATCTACTCAATTTAAAGTCTCAAACTTTAGCGTATGCCTTCATAATTTTAATTTCGCATCTTACATCACTAGTTTCAACAATTAAGATTATATCATCGACAAATAACATACACCATGGCACATTATCTTGGATATGTCCAGTTAGTTCCTCCATAACTAATGCAAAAAGAAATAGACTTAGTGCTGAGCTTTGATGCAATCTTGAGATAATGAAAAAGCTATCAGTCAAGCCCCAGACATCTTCACATTCATTACAATTCTTTTATACGTATTTTTAACTATATTAATATATTTAAAAGGAACACCGTTCTTCATTAAACCCACCAAAGCACCTCTTGTGGAACTTTATCATATGTTGTCGATAAATATCATATGTAGATTTTTTTTTTTTTAACCCGAAAACCTTTCAACAAAAACCTCAATAAGTGAATTGCCTTTATTGTAAAGCGTCCTGACATAAACCCAAATATATCAGTCAAGCCCCACACGTCTTCACATTCATTACAATTCCTTCATATGTTTCTTTAACTATATTAATATATTTAAAAGGAACTCAGTTCTTCATTAAAACCCACCAAAACACCTCTTGTGGAACTTTATCATATGTTGTCGATAAATATCATATGTAGATTTTTTTTTCACCCGAAACCTTTCAACAAAAACTTCAATAAGTGAATTACCTTTATTGTAAAACGTCTTGACATAAATCCAAATTAATTTTCGAAAATAATAGCTCATGTTGCAACCTACATTCTATTACAACTCTCAAAGTTTGACAGCTGCTGCTAAATGAAAGAAATGAAAGTGCGAGGAAACTACTTTCTTTGTTAGGCATTTTAAAAAAATTCAGAGAATATACTTTTAATTTAAGTTTTCCTCTTTTGACTGTCACCATTTTCATACAATGCATCTGGTACAAGCGAAAAAATTGGCATTTGACCGCCAAATTAGCCCAAGTCTACATGATGCTGGAGGAGAACACATGTTGAAAGAAATCTGCAATTACCATTAAATTGCTTGTAGAATCGGTTGTTGTGAGCTAAGGGAAGTATTAAGGAACAAATGTTTTTGCGTTTCAAGAATTGAAAGAATTATCATCCAGCAAAGAATTGGACTATGAAACTTCTTGCATGTGCATGCAAGTGGCCTAGATGCTAGATAGTTTGTTTGGCAGTCCTAAATGGAAAGATTAGTAAGAATAAGCTTGACACTTAGTAAAGGAAGGAAAAGTAGGAGGCTGAACAGTAAAAGCTAGCATCTTATGTTTGGTTTGTTGATGGAATAGAAGATTAAGGACAATTTAGAAAATTGTTGTTAGGCTATAAATCAATCATATAGTGACGAACTCATCAAATCCAATTTCTTTTCTCCTTAGGTTTGATTGGAAAAGAAAACTAAATAGTTTGTCAAGGAATACTTAAGCCTTTATTGTCTCTCCTGTGGTGACTTCTCTTCCTCTCCATTTTCCTCTTTCAGTCTGAACAGAGAAAAGTAATGTTTTCAAAAACCAGGGTTTTGCAATGACCCCAAGTTATGCTAAATTTGTATTTTCTTTTCCATTTCATGTCAATCAGGTGCTTTGTGGTGAGGAAAGTTACCTGACCCCCATATGGGTTTTCATTTTAGCTTGTGAATACTTATTTCTAATATCAAGAAGGTCCTAGGATGGTTGTAAACTTGTACAAGTATTATTGTAGTTCTGGTTTAGTTCTATTAGGCCAAAAAGCTTTTCCATGATTATTTTCCCTTGAGACTTTATTTTCCCCTTTCATAGTCCAAAAAATTATGCTTCAATCTACCATTGTTAATTCTGTATCACATTTTAATATATGCTTACTGCTAGTTTGTTACTTATTAATGGTAAAAATAAGTTAAAATTTCTGGTTACCTTGTAGATATGCTCTTCTAACTAAATATGGTTCTGCTGTGATTTCTTTTTCATCCTTTCCAACCCATTTATTTTCTACCCTGAGAATCCTTTGATAATTTGTTACAGGCTTTTTGCCAGCGTGGCCGCAACCACCAGTGCAGGAGTATGAAAAGCCCTTCTGATTCTACAATTGATTTGTAAAGTATCTTTCTTGTCCTTTTTTTCTTGAACTGAAGTGGGATCTAGAATGATATCAAGTAATTACTTAAGGTCTCTGTAGGCAACATATGTTAGCAATTTTTTGATGAAGGAATTTGAGGACAATGCAGATTGAGATCAATTTTGAGAGGGTTGTTATATATGACTACGTGCCACTTGTCAGAGCCGTCTGTAACACATTCTGATGAGCTATGATGCATTCATGGCAAGTCCTACTAAGCTGTAAAGGGCAGTGATAATTATATGTTGATTCAATATTCCGGGCTGTTTAGACGGGAAAATTTTATGGTTTTGGACTGTAGAGCTTGAGAGGTTATTAGATGCATTATGTGTAATAAATCAATACACAAAAGAGAAATAATTTCGTAACATACTGGATATGGTGTTATGGATGCCATGCCGCAATGACATTTCGACCTTGGATTTGTGCATTACTTCTAAGCAAAGGAGTATACAGACTGGAGTGACTGTTGAGTTGAGTTAATGTTTTTGCTTGTTTTTTGTTGAGACTGTAATTGCTGCTTTTTTCTTGTGCTCAAAAACCAGCTTTTTGATTAGCATACTTTCAGTAATTGCAGTACGTAGCAGCTCTTCACAAGATTTTCTGATTGAAAAACTTATTGAAACCACAACGTTATCATTAAAAAGAAGAAAGAAAACAGGAAAGGAAGATTCAAATTTTGGGCATCAGATACATCAAGAAAACAAGGACAGGACCTTGAAATACCAAGACATCAAAGGCAGGACCTTACATGCCTGTCCGTAAGAGCAGATACTCATACAAAGGGATATTCCAATTTGATGAGATATATAGCAAAGACAGACTAGGCTTCTTTGGTTTCAATTGGAGCATCGGTCAAAGCTCACAACTTGACTGATGTGCTGTTTGGCATGTAAAGCTCAGTGGGTTTAGGGCTGTTTTCAGTGGCAATATTTCGCTCCCACTGTTGCCTTCTTTCTTTTTCTTTTTCTTTCTTTCTTTTTTTTTTCAATCATGCTCATTCTATTTCTTTTTAACCTTTATGACTACAATACAAAGACGAAAATATTCTTATTACTTGCGCTTTTTTTTTTAATCGTTTGAGAGTCGTTTATATATAAAAAATAATGAATAAAGATAATAAAACAAAAAGAACTTACCACATACAACGACAGATATTTCACTTTATTTTTGTTAAACTAAAATAATGTCGTATATCATTTTCAAAATTATTATAATTATATCATTATTGAAGAGTTTTTATTACTAAAGTAATTTTATTATTTGGAATTTAAAATTATTTTGTTTGATTATCAATAATTATTAATAAGAATTAAATATGGTTATATTTGATATTATTATAAATCAAATATTATTTCATTTAAAATTACAAAAATGATTATTTATATTATAATAGTTATACAAGTTAATGATTTTAATGTCGTTCAAAAATGATATAAAATATAATAATATTTGTTTATTTTATAATAAAGTATAATTAAATTCTTAAATTAATAAATATATTTATTTATTAGGTAAACCAATTTTTATAATACAAATTATGTAAAAAAAAAATTTGAATTAAAAAATAAAAATAATCTATTAAAATCATAATAAAAAAAACGTAAAGATTATGTTAAATATAAAAAAATACAAAAATTATTTTTAAATTTATTACAAATATTAATTTGTATTATATAAAATAATTACAATTTTAAAAAGAAATAAATTTTTTATTCATATGAATAATATTGACTATTATTAATTTTACAAATCACTTCGTCTCGATAATAAAAATTTTTTATTTTTTTAAATAAAAATTAAATTATTTTTTAAAACAATAACATAATAACTCTAAATAATTTAAAATCATTATCATATCAAATATCAAATATTTATTAAACATGATAACCTAATCACAATTTTATAATTTTTAAAATAATCACTTCATGCCAAACATTATCTAAAACTTACAGTGTGTTTGGATTAAGGGGAGAGGAAGGAAAGTAAAAGAATGTAAAAAAAAACAAAACATTTATTCCTTTATTTAGATAAATTTTTAATTTAAAAAAAAATATAAAAATTAAATAACTTTTGATTTTTTTTATAAACTCAAATTTTTTAATACCTCAATTTAAAGAAAAAGTTAAAGAAAGAAAAGTTGAATAATATATTTTTTATAAAAAGACTATTATATTCCTCTTTTTATTAATACAAAAAACCTAATAAAAAAATTAAACAGATCACAATCATACTGTAATTTTTTCAAAGCTATCTCTTTTTTCAAATAAGTTTCTTTCAATATAAAATTTTTTATAATTTTTGATGATTTAATTTTGATGAATGGTTAAATATAAATAGATATATTTTTTGAGTTTATAAGATAATAGATTATGTCAAAATTCATCAATGCATATTTGTAAAATATTTTTCTATTTCACTTGATTAAAAAATATTGATATAACAATAATTGTGAGGTCAAATAAGATAACAAATATATTATAGTCCAAAAATATTCTAAAATCACATGTAATAAAATGTTATAATTGAAAAAATTATTATAATGAATTTTTTTTTTTTTACTTTTTATCTAAATAATAATTATTAAAATATTTTTTTATTAATTTTAATTATCTAAATAAAAATTATATGTATCTTTTTTTTTAAATTTTTTTTATTTTTTTATTAATATTTATTCGACGTTATCTTTTGCATTTTATAATCCTACTACCGCGAGAGAACAGACGGAATATTGCCTGCCTTAAGCCTTAACTTAAAATAAAAAAAAAAAAAAAGGCTCTTAAGCTTTAATTATTATTGGCTTGTTCTAGGCAAAAAGGAAAAAAAAAAGAAAAAGAAAGGTGCATGGTGAAAATTTGATTAGAGGGTAAAAAAATTTGATTTTTCATTCCAGTATGGATATTGGTTTTGGATGGTGATATTGCGATCCCTTATTAGTATAGAAATAATAATTGTTAAAAGAGGAGGATGAGCTTGTCCTGTAGCGGGCAACATGGGGGTTGGGATTGGAGAAAACAAGGAGACTAAAACCGACATTTCAGTAATTGATTGATAAAAATCAAGGATAAAAAAAAGGAAGAAAATGAAGGGTAGTACAGCTTTTTGTATTTCGCAATAAGAAAAAAACAGTCGCCCTTGCTTTTTCTTTTCTTCTCTTTCTTTCTCTTTTTGTTGAGTCTTGAACGCATATTCACTGATGGGTTGGGGGGGGTGAATCTTGGTGGGTAATGGTATAAACTCGCTTTTTTGTGGAGAGAACCTGATGCCCTTTTGATGTGTGAGTGGGTGGTGCTGTTTTTCTCTTATTCTCATCTCTCTCTCTCTTTTGCCTAGGCAGTACTCAAAATTACCTCATTTTTCTCTCTTAGTCTCTCCTAAAAATTCTCTTTCAAAACTGCCTCAAAGTCAAATTCCAAAGGTTTGTATTTTCTCCTAAAAACTCTCTTTGATTTCATCCTTTCTGGATTTCTTCTACATTTACTACAGCCGCTGTTGTTCAAAGCATCCATCTTTTTTTACTGCGTCTCTTGTTGGACTTGTTCTTTTTCACTTGTGTTCAACGTTGAAACTTACTTGTGACTATGATTTCACCATCTCTTTGTCTTCTGCGCTTCTGGGTTCCTTCAACTCTTGCTGTTTCTTAGCCCAAGGAGGAGGATAATCTAGTCCATGAATTTTACTAGATTTCTTTTATGGTCTTTCAACTAATTGGGATTTATGTTTTTTTGTTTTTTTTTTTGGGTTTGTCTCTACTTTCAACGGTCTTTTTTTAACCCTGTAAGTCTCTATCTTTGCTCCCTTTCCTAAAGCTTTCTTCATTCGCTGCATCGCTCAATTTCTTGCTCATCTTCAAAATTTTATGTAATAACCCTACCTTTATTCTCTATATTAGCCTATGATTTACCTTTTATGTGATTTGATCATTTCTTGAGACTTTGGTGGTGGATGGTGTTGCCACAAAGTCTCAAATTTCCGGACTTTATTTTTTTTTTCTGGGTTCGCCCACATAAAATAACGCTCCCCATGAACCTTAGACTTTATTGAGCAACATCTTTCCTTGCGGGTTATGTTCTTTGCTTGTTTTGTGCTTTACTTGATCAATCAAAGCAAATGCTTCAAATTCACTCCTTCCCTTCACATAAAATTACGTTCTACACTGCTCTAGAATCTCTGAGTACCTTCTACTTCTTGTGGGTCTTTCTGGAAACTCTTGATCTCATCTTCTTTCTCCTCTCTACTGCAGGCTAAATGGATTGTTTGATCTTGTGAATAGTACTGCTTTCTTTCGCCGCTGCTGATAGGTTTGGAATTATCAGAAGCTACTACTTCAGAGAAATAAGAGACAAGCAAAGAGGAAGAGAGAGGGGTACTGTTATGCTGAAGATCAGGGGCAGTCCTGGAGATAGAAGCAGTATCAGTGTGCTTGTGACTGTTGTAAAAACAGCACAAGAAGAGAGAAGCTTTTCATCAGATGTTATCCATTGAAAACCCTCCACCAGATCCCCCATGTCCTCGCCAATTTCTGCAGCTGAAAAGTGGTAGTGATGAGATTGAGAGACCACCTCATAAGCTTCCCTTGCCTGAGGTAGATCTGCTAAAACGGCCGTCTCTTGATAATCATCATTATCATCATCAAATCCCACTCCCCAGGTTCTCCATAAGGTAATTTAGTTTGATTTTCTTTTTCTCTATCTTGCTTTCTCTTCAGGTTGAGAATGAACAGCAGCTTTGATACATTTATTCATTGCCGTTCTAACAGCTTCTCTTTGATCTCGTCTTGAGACTTTTGTTGGGTCAGAACAGAGTTTGATGTTGCCTGGTGACTCAGTTCAACACGGGGGCCCTAATTATATATTGAAACACCCCCAATGTTGCCTCTATTTTGGTCTTTGGAGGGCTTTTGCTTATGAATTCCTTCACTGCTCTTAATACCTTCAGCCATAAGATGATGTTTAGTCAACGTGTACTTGGCTCTTATTTCTTGATTGTGCCTTCTTGATTTCACGTCACTTTATACATGGGGTTTTAGCTCGGAGCAAACTGCTGGACAGTTCTTGGTTTCTCTTTGCTACCTGTGTAGTTGTTCCACACTTTACAATATGACGCAGCAGGCTGGGAGCCTGGGAGTACTTTTCATTTTTCCTTTTGTGTGTGTGTGTGTGTGTGTGGATGTATGGGGGCTCGGTTTAATATATAGATCACTGAATCTTGGGTGTTGTTTTGCTTGGCTGTTTCTTTACTGTTGATATGTTACTCTCTTTTGAGTATTTTTATGGTCCATGTGTCCCCCACCTTCCTGAGTTAGCATACAATATCAGAGTCTTCTAAATTTTAACCTTTTATTCCCTACGAAAACTCTTTGACGAGTTATTGCTTCTTTTCTTCTTACCGCTTTGAGCATATGAAATGTTTCATAAATTTATCCTAGTCACTAACAACCAAGAACATCTTGTACTGTAGAGATTATGTATTCACTGCCCGAAGAAAGGATATCAAGAAGAATTGGCCGTTTTCTCCAAAAAATTTGCAACTTTGTATGAAGCATGGGTTGAAGGATCCATTGCCACCATTTCAGCCTCTTGATACAGTAAGAAACCAATCCATAAAGAGATATGTGGTTGAAACCAATCCAATTGAGAAGCAAAATACAAGGACATTCGATGAAGAGCTATCTGGGTCAACCGATCATGTGGTGGTAGAGTCATTCGATGATACTCGCTCGAACCATAACCTAGCGGGTACTTGCATAGCCAATAGCTCGTGCATATCCGGAGAACATGAAAATGATTTACCCTTTACAACAACAAGTGTTTCTCAATCTGATATAGACTCGGTTCTCATTGACAAGCAGTCCAACCTACCATTAGAAACTGATACATCTGTGGAAGGATCGGCAGAAGTTCAAGCTGCTGTTGCTTTTAAGTCCCAAAAGACTGAAAGCACAACCCGACCCTCCAGCAAGAAGTGCAGATTAATAGTGAAATTTGGTGCCCATTCTGATCGTAGCTTGACTGAAGACATTGCTTCAAATTGTATCATGGTATCAGAATTGATGGCTTCAAAAGTTTGCCCTGTTTGTAAAATTTTTTCTTCCTCTTCTAATACCACCTTGAATGCTCACATCGACCAGTGCCTTTCTGTTGAGTCAACTTCCAAATGGACAGTGGATTCTAGGCTGACAAGGCATAGAATTAAGCCTCGGAAAACAAGACTGATGGTAGAAGTCTATGCTACTGCCAAACCGTGCACATTAGAAGAACTTGACAGGAGGAATGGTACAAGCTGGTTCACTGCGTCAAACATTTGTGGACAGGATTTTAAGAGACTTGAAATATATGATGAAGGGAAAAATCAAAGAGTTTCCCCAATTAATCCTGAGGATACTGGCGATGTAGGTGCTGTTTATGTTGATGCCAATGGTACCAAACTTCGGATTTTATCAAAGTTTAATGATTTGCCATCAGTGTCAAAACTTGGAGATGATCTTGGAGCGCACCAATCTTTGCAAAGAGGTGTAGGAAACAAATTCTTTTCAACCAAAAAAAAGAGGCACCATGCCCCAAAACATCACAAGAATCTCAAACTTGTTCCTCAAAGCAGAAAATTTTTCTCGCATAAGACCTGTTCTTCAACGGTACACCTCTTTCTTTTCTGTATATGGGTCTTCTGCCCTCGTACCAGATTATTTTATATTTCTTTCTTTGGTGTTTTAATGAAATATTCAAAAAAAAGAAATTTTTGGCCTTTAACTAGCTGATTGGGTTGTCTTTCTAAATGCCTAGAAACATAAGTATTTTTGAAGTGAATATATTAAACAGCCTTATATGCCCTCAGTAGCAGAATCCCCTCCATGTTTTTGTAGTTTGCGATTACAAGTTTCACATTGACCTTCGTATCTACTTAGCAGCCAGAATAGGTATAAAAAATACATGTTTTCTTGACCTATTTGATGCAAATTTTCTGATCAAAGTATTAAGTGTTGGTAATTAGTTGCTATACTGTTCTGAAACAGATAGTTGGCGGCCAAGAAGGATATTGTGGAGTAGAAGAAAGTTCCAAAAGTGATGGATCACATGTGCCAAAACAAATCAAATCAAGTAATTCTAGAAACTTTAAGGAAAGGGTGTGCTCTAAACAAGCAGGTCTTTCAAGGAAGCCTAATAAACGAGATAGAGATCGACCTTTGACATGTAACCAGCATGTTACTTGGCACTTGTGGCTTCAGAGTGACCAATCCCATCAAGGTGATCATCTTGTGGAAAGAAATTGTGTTCGCAAATTTAAAAATTCATCTGAAAATCCAATTTCTTCTCCTGAGAAATCTGAGAGGATAGAGAAGCCTGTTTATGAAGCCCCAGTTATTGATAAGAAGGAGCATTCTTTGGGAAGAAAGAGAGTTAGGAGTCCCTTGTTTGGAGCCAAAATCCATAACAAGGTGGAGAGGTCTTTTCACCAACTTAAGCAAAATGCAAATCAGTTCAGCAAAGACCATCCCCATCTAGATGACAATCATATGGTGAGATCTCTGAACTCTGGTGGAAATTGCCCATCTTCATTGAGCAAAAAGATTGTTGATATTGATGCAAATAGTAATCCTGGTACTCATGTCACTGCTACTGCAACTATTAGTCATCAATTGTTTGCATCCAAATGCTTCAGATTTTCCTCACAAAAGAAAAATGTGCTGTCTGCTAGCAGCAGGTCAGCCATGGTTGAATCTAGGTCTAACTTGGTTAAGAAATATTCAACAAGGAAGAGTCGAATGCATTTTATGGCAGAAATAGATGAGGAGGCTGTGGCCTGCGGTCCTGAGGCAGATCAAGAATGTAACTTGGTTCATGATGGTGCTAAAAATCAATGTGAGGGGATAGAGATAACTGAAGAATTATCATTTGGTGGAAGCTGTATCCAGGGAGCTGGAGAACAAAGAGGAAGAAGTATTTCTGAGAGGAAGGAAACCATGGCTTTGAAGAGCATACAACTGGAACCTCACTGTTATGATCATGATGAGAGGGAGAACACAGATTCTTCTGCAAGAGGCAGTGAGGATATTCTGGATAAAGTTGATGGTTTGGAATCTGTTGAGGAGACGGTTACTAGTTTGAGTCAGTCAGTAGAAACCAACTTTAACAAACTGAGTAATATTTCCAAGAATATATCCAATTCTTTACAGACTAAAGAAGATTGCGGCACACCTTTGTGTGGGGGGGAAGGACTGGCAGACCCTAGTGGGTCTAGTCTTGTTGATAAACCAAAAATGTTTTGTGCTGAAGTTGGCCATGGTATAATTGGGCAAACTGCTAATATGGGAGGAGAATTAGATTTTGATTCGGCACAAGGGAACTCTTTTCCTGAGGTTGATCCGATACCTATTCCTGGTCCACCAGGATCATTTTTGCCTAGTCCTAGAGATATGGGTTCTGATGATTATCAAGGGAATTCATCATTGACTACCATCCAGATTCAATCCTCTCAAGATCATCAGCTTGATTTGTTAGATGGGGACTCATCTGATTCATCCATATCTGCAGTGTCAACAATCTCTAATTCTGTGGAAGCTAGGTTAGATTTGAAGTATGCAGAACCATTAGCATTTGTTGGTGCTCCTGCTGCTATAGACAAGGATAGGTCTGGCTACTCGACTGGCAAGTCTGACCACTTAGTTGAGAATGGTGCTGCAATTCATCAGAAAAGCGAAGGACCAGAAAGAACATTTGAAGGAGAGAAATTTAGAGTCCAAAGAATATCTATTGAAAAGAGACCTTTCATTTTTAAAAATGATGATCAGCCATGCTGTTGCCAAAGAAAAGAGAGATCCTCTCAGGGTTTTGCCCTAAATTATCAGAAGTCACAACTACCAAGGCAACGAACAATGGCCTCAATGATGGTGCCTGCCATTCAAATGCAAAATGGTCCCATTCCCAGTTTGAATCCTAATAATTTGGATGCAAGACCAGAAACATTTTCTCTGACAAGCAGTTCAAGTTTAGGATCTGAACAAATAGTCCTCCCTGTCATGAAACCTCCTGCAGCTCCCATTCCTTTTAAAGGATGCCCTGATGCTGGTGTCAAGCTTTCCAGTTGCAGTGACCGTGATTCTGCTAGTCCATCTTCTTCTAATCCCATTCTCAGGCTGATGGGAAAGAACTTAATGGTGGTTAACAAAGAGGAAGATGCATCTGTGCCACTTATTCACGGCCAGTCATGTGCCCAGAGTAATTGTCTAACTCCTAACTTCCCAACTTTTTCTGGAATCTCTTCTAGCAATATCCAGAATCAAAGTGGCCTGCCCTTCAATCATGCAATACCTCTGGGTTCTTTAATCTTTTATCAGAATCCAAATTATTTGGTGGGGCAATCTTTTGATGTCCGATTGACAAATGGCTATAGAAACCATGCAAATCTTGCGACACCGCAAACACCTTTGCAATTTCCATCTGGCTTGTTTCTCGATGAACATATGGATTGTGGTTTAACTACCTCCATGGAGCTGTGCAAGTATGAAGGTAACTATAATTTGCCAACTCAACCGGATAGACCTAAGAACAAGCTAGGTCCAGCTGCAAAATATCGTATGGAGAAAGTTGCAACTCTAGATTGCCAACATAGGAATGGGGATTCTGCTCTTTCCAGTAAAGAAGTCATTGTCATTGATGATGCTCCTGAAAGTGAAACAAACAAGATAGCTGACATTGCCAAACACTTTGAAGGCTTGAGGGAAAGCCAATTAATATCATCTGGCATTTCAATGCCATTAGTTCCTAATCATAGTGTAAGGAGCATGAATCCTTTTTCTCATTATCACTCAGAGGAGTCTTTACTAGGTGACCCAACAGTGTTGCAAAATAACAACTCTCATCCAATCCCTTCCAGACGAGCCAATACAAGTCCTGTTAGGTGGGATTGCACTGCAGAAGGTTCTGGTGTGCCGCAGCGGGGTCCTTTTAAGGCTGTATCGCCTTCAACATGCCGTCTCAGATCTGCACTTTGTTATGCTCCAAGTTTGTCGTAGCCGCATTGTTTGGGATGGGAAATTTTAGATTGTCTGTGCGTCGGCATGTTTCATATCAAACTTGGTACCGAATCTTGAGCTTCTCCGTGACTACTGACAGACAGAAAATTTTTGGGGTTCAAAAATGATTTTCTATGACGAAAATGATGGCAGTTTGATGATTTAATAGATTCGGTGCAAGCTTTGCAAGATCTCAGAGTTTTTATTTATTTATTTTATTCACATACTGTCGGGCAAACTTTATGCAGTTTTTGAGGCTTCTGCATAGGCAATTACAAAGTTATCCCAAAGACTAGATAATATATAGGCAGCAATCCTCGAATAAAAATTGACAAAGGGACCTTTGGTTTAAAGCCAATGGAGGTAAGGTCTTCCAATATAGTAAAGAAGTATTTATCTTGTTTTTATAATTTTATTATATTTGTTGGAACTGTTTTCACATTTTGAAATCACTTGCATGTGAATCAAGGAAATGCTTTTGTCGATATCACTAATGAATGGTGAAGGCATTATGATCAGTGATAAGTATCGTTCATTAGTTGATGAACTCATGATCATTAAAAGTTGATAATGGTTCATTAGATGCTGAATTGTTGTTGTATATATATATATATATATAGATGTTAATAGTTCTGAGAGTGTGTGGTATATAGATGTTGAAGATGGATGGTAATAGAAGAGCTTTCAGATTATATCTTTCACAGCTGAGATAAGCCATTGATGAGAACTTGGGTTGAGAATCTTGCATGGCAGCATCAGCATGCATGGTCTGACACTATACTAGTTTTTCAGTGAGGAAAAAAAGAACACCGAAGATCCTTCTTTCTGATGATATAAATAGAAGATCCATTTATATTAATGTAACGTTTGTACTTTCTTAGATTTTTAGATCAAAATTATTAAATTTAAAAGTATTATTTTAGTTCATATGCATAATGAATTTAATTTTAATCAAAGGTTTCAAAAAAGAGTAAGAATTATATTAATAGAAATGGATTCTTACTCGTATATATAATATATATTTTTAGAAAAACTAATTTAAAAAGGAAGTGGACATGTTTTACCGTATTAATTTCATTTATAAAGTTAAAAAAAATATTCATTAATAGTGTATCAAATAATTTCATTAAGTGTTACATAAAATACAAAATCTCTGTGCAAATTAAGGATAACAGTAATACTTAGCTGCAATGCTTGCCATTCAATTAATCCAAGGAAGGATGGTTTAGTAATTAGAAGAATTGTGAGTAAATAAGTAAGTTAAACATGTAACGGATGGATCATAATCTTTAATTGGATGTGGGGTAGGTAGCACATAGGAGACAAGTGAGCAGTAACACAGCCAAATGTATTATTTTAATCAATTGATCCTACTCAAATTTAAAAAATTATAATTATATAGTCTATGCATAAAATAATGAAAAGAGTAAAATCATAATTATTTTATATCATATTTTATTTGTATCTAAAAAATTGAATAAGATTACAAGAAAAATTAATCATTTTCTTAATATAAAATGATTCAATATTTTTAAAGTGAAGAGAATTATTTTTAATCGAAGAGATTGAACTTACATATTTTATTATATTTTTAAAAATTACATCAATAATTTAAATTGTATATACTAAAAAAAATATAATTTTGATCAATAAATAAATTATCTTATTATAATCTTTCTATATATCAAATATAAGATAAGATAATATTATTTAATTTAATTATATTCACAATATTATTTTATCCTATCTTATCATTATCTTATATGCCAAACACATCCTATATGCATATAATAATAAAATTTGTGTAATTTTTTTTAAGTTTAATAAAAACATAGAGTGAGAGGTTAAACAAAAAATATTTATTTTTATAAGGAAAATATCAATATCTAGATTTCAAATTAGTTAAAAAATTTTACATTTGTGTATAAATATAATTATATGTTAAGCACATATGAATAATACTCAAATACGGGCACTAAATTAAGATTATTAACTTTTATATTATTATAATTAAAATATTAACATTATAAAATATTTAATTTTTATTTAAAAATATCTTAGTTGGAGGATGCGATTTATAGAAAGTAATGTTTACTTAGATAAATAACAAAAACAGACTTCAACCTCTTGATCTAATGACAAAGAAGTCTTAAAGAGAATATGAAGGTTTGGGTTTGAACCAAATCATTTTCTCCCTAATCCTCAAATCTTGTAGACATAAAAAAAATAAAAAAAATAAAAAAAATAAAACAAAGCAAAAACAAGAACAATATTCAATTCAATTTATAAATTTAAGAATGATTATATCATACTATTTTTTTTTTTTGAAGTATACTTTTTTAATACAAAAAAAAATGTAATCTAATGATATAAGATTGTAAGTGTTAAAATTTGAATTTCATAAATATTATATGTTATATATTAAGATAATTGTATGAATCAATTTAATTACATTTTAAATGAATATAATGTAAAATTTTTTAAATAATATAATGTAAAAAATATTTATATATTTATATAATATAATTTAGTATATGAATACGTACGTTCTTACTTCATCACTGCAAGTGAGTAGCTAGAAACCAAATGAAGTTGCATGTGGGAATATTGTAGGACACTCAAAAACACAAACAAGAGCAAGTGGTGTAGCTTTTACTGTTGACTTTATTTCCTGTATATATATAATAATTAATCACATTTAATTGTTGTAGCTAATTATAATGAGATGTGAGGACAAAGTCATTCCGACTGAAAAGCATGGAAGTTGCCTAGTCGCTAATTGTAATTAAATGCCACAAAAAATAAAACAAAGTGTAGATTATGGTACGTAATTGCCTAGTTGGCCAGCAACATTTAATATTTACCAGTAATAGTAGTATACAATTCATAGGATCTGTTGACGATTAAGCTGGTTAAAACAATGAAATTGATTGTTTACAAATGAAACGACATGACATATGTAAATATCTTAGGGTTAATGCACAGAAAAAGTCTATAGCATTCAGTCAACTGTAGACAAAAGCCTCAAATTAAATGTTCATTATCATGGTCAAAGTCAAATCACATAGTATTCAAATGTCATTTGTTTCTAACTAAACACTAACACTATCTTCTATTTTATTGTAAAATAATATATTTTTATATCTTTAATATTTTATAGGCAAAAATAATTTCATTCCAATGGATAATTTAAAATAATAAAATCCCAAAAAAAAAACAAACAATCCTTATTCAATTCAATAAGAACTTATAATTTAAGTCTTAACTTCACTTTAAATGATCAATTATTTAAAATTAATGAATTATAAAATATTATATGCTTATTATATATTTTATATTTATTTTATATTTTACAAAGCAAAAATGATTGCACCCAACGGATAATTCGAAATCATAAAACTCAAAGTCAATCATTTAGCCCTAACTTTTTGCTGATTTTTTTAAATAATAGGTATTAGGGTTTAGATGCAAAAATTAAAAAAAAAATCATTTGTTGGTAGAGAATACTTTTGTCAATTAAGTTGTGAAGTAATTCTAGAGGTTCTGAAGCTAGCTCATACTTGGTCATTGAGAAATTATTAGTTAAACATAGATCTTTTCTAAATTTATGATTGGCATACCTAGGCTTCTTAGAAGGATCTATCTATCAAACTTTCTTATCATTTCATGAATATAGTATTAATTAATTAATAATAGAATTATAGTAGCTAGGAAAGAAAATCAACATCTTTTTTACCACTAATTTAATATAATATATATATATATATATATATGCAACTCGGTAAATTATTCATGCAACAAGTTAATAAAATTAAATGGAATAACAATGGCTATCAAAGGCATCGGAGAACTGGCCTCGATGGATATCTGCCAATGGGTATTCCCACAAAATTATTCTGCATGTTTTTAAAGCCAATGGGATAGATATCGACGTTACCTAGAACTTGCGAGTGGATCACTCGCTTTACTCATCACAGTGCTTTCCATGTTAGAGACAAAACTTATCTCGGAATTCAGACACAGTCCATAATACATCCCGCCCGGCCCCTCCTTTTCAGTTTATAAAATGCATGCTACATTTTCCGCTGTTTGCTATAGGAGTTTGTTTTCAAACAACTGGTTAGATCATAAAGCATTAGTAATTGAACAAAGCAGTGGCATTTCCTATATAATCCAAGGAAAATACAAATTCTTACATTGTGAACAATTAAAACTCAACTTTTCTATTGAGATTGAGCTTGTATCATAACTTGAAAATTTTTTCTCTTGTTATTATATTTATTTCTATAGGAATTATATTTGTTACTCCAAGCTACAAGCTTGAAATGCATCAAATGAAAGTGTAGAGATGTTGTCCTCAATTATGAATTCGATAAAATTTATACATTCATCAAGTAAAAAGGCAGGTTATTCAAGATAATAAGATCACAAGGTAAAACAAATGAAGAGACTGGAATCAAAGTCAGGCTATTACATGGATATATTAGTTTCAAAAAGATAGATTACAAATTTATCATTGCGAAAATAATGAGATTGTAAGTAAATTGGAATTTGGAAATTTTGAGTTCCAAATCCACAAATGATTATTTATCTTAAGTGATGCAAATCATTATAGATTGTGGTGATCAATTTATGATTTACAGCACAAAGATCAAAGATTGTTTAAAAGAAGCAAATACTTTGCTATGAGAAACAATCATGTGGATAAAGGTAGGTAAGGTATAACCTACAAATCAAATGTTAGTAGATTCTCATACAAAACCTTTATCTTTTGATAAAATTGTTGACACAATGAGTGGTATGAGACTAACACCGGCTACTAGAGATAATCTTGATTGATATTAAGTCTACCTCATTGATTTCAATTAAGAAATTGATATTTTAAGTTTAAAAGATAATCTACTCATTTGAAAATCATTGTGTATGAGAGTTCAAAATGATATCAATTATGAATTATTCAAAAAATTTATATGCAAGATATATGAAATTTCTTATGCAGCAATCTTTGAAATAATAGGAGTAATTAAAGACTATTTCTTATAAAATTTCATATCCAGATGCATCGTAATTCCACGGTAAAAGATTGGACAAAAGTCCTTAATAGACTTATAGCTTTTGAGTAGAGTGTAAAGTAAAAAAAAAAAGTTGTAAAACAGTCTTCATAAGCCTACTTTTGCAAGTGGAAAAGTGAGGACCACTTCTTATGGATTTTCGATTACTCTTAAGAGTACTTGTTAGTACAAGATAAAAGCAAAGATCCATTAATACGTTATTTTAGGAGGAACACATGATTTAGTGTAAGGTGTAAATATGTTTTCTTGTGTTTTATATTTAATTTAAAGATTCAAACCTTGGTCATTTTTAGAAGTTCACTTTGCATAAGAATTAAATTGCATTTTTTCTAAAAATTGCATACATTTGTATTTTTAGTAATAAATAGGAGATTGTTGTATGTATTAACCTAAATACATGTTTTCTAAAGTGTTTATTAAGTGTTTATTGCATTTGTGTTGAATAAATGAAGTTTGGGAGTATGAAAATAAACTTTGGAATACAATTAGCAAGAGCAATTGACCGCTTTTGGGGTGGCAGTCGAATTAGTGCCATGCAGGATTTCAAATTCTGTATGAAAATTTGCCTGTATCATTCGAATGTCATGGCTCAGGCATTCGAATTCCATTATTGAAAATTTTAAAATCTTATTTGTTGAACCTAATGCTTCATTCTAAAAGTGGTGATTTTCTTTTTTTTTTTTTTTTCATAAAGAGTTGTTTTAAACATTATTGGGGTTTATAAATATTTTCATTAATGTTTATTTAACCCAATTTTACATATAATCATTTGAATAATTAAATCATTCTCTTTCATTCTAATGTTTTGGTTTTTAGTACAAATATGTTAAAAAACCTTGAAACGCATTGTTGTTTTTCTTTAATTTTGACATTGTATTGTGTAAATAACGCTTTCAAGTACACGTAAGTAAAGAAACTATTATCATAAGATAATTTTTCAAGCCTAGCTAAATTTTTTTTCTTCTTCAATTTATTTGCGTTAATCAATATCACATCCAAGACATAACGCATATGACTCAGTCAACAATCTCATGGCTCTCACTATCTGAACACTTGGCTCTATGCCTCTATCTGCAACAAATTAAGCAAGCAATTCACTAAAGCTGCAGCTCTAACTTAAGCCAATTGTGGAAGCGAGCAAAGTTTAGATTTCGACCGACGTGGAAGCCAATGAAAACATCGCAAGTCCTAAGTTTGGCAATAGAAGCCGTAGAAACATGAGTTTTTGAGAAACAAATTCGAGGCACTAGCTAGCTAGAAATGAGAATGACATGCGTGGAGCAGCTTCTGGGACCGGAACACAGGTTGTCAGAGTATTCATATTGGTCTGATGGGTGAGAACTACTTGGTGTATCATCAGATTGTGTATGAGAATGGTGGTGATGGATGAGTAATAGATATAATTGACCGTGAATGGCTCTGACCAAAGTCTATGGCAGAAGATAAATGAATGCAAAAATGAAGCCTTCACACGCTGGAAATCTGCATGTGATTTATCTGGCTAATTCATATTATGGGCCTCGCTAGACATGTTTTCTTGTGCCCATGTTGGAGTAGATGTAACCGGAAGTATATATATTAACAGAGAGGATAACAGTCCATTAAACCATGTACATAATTAAACTGCTATATATAAGCATTTAGTTATTATTTGATGGAGACGGGAATCATTCAGACTTAAATGGATGACACTTACTGATTAATGTTTAATAAATTAAGACAAATATATATATATATATATATATAATATAACAAGCGTGTAAAGCAGTGCTTAATTAGTTTCATTAACTTCATATATCCATGCTAGAAAACTGATGATGCAATAGAATAGAAGTTTACTTATAATAAACTCAGCTTTGTTTTACATTGAGGCAATGGAAAAGAAGAGAAACCCTCTGCTGCAAATCCTGAATGGCCTTAATTCTCTCTCTCAAAAGCAAGCTGTAGAGAGAGAAATGGGAATCGAATGTTGGGTTGGGTCTGTGAGGTTTTGAACATTAAGTTTACCATGTGCCTGTACGTAGAAAGCTTGTATTAATTTGTATATCTTTGCTAATGTGGAAGGAAGGCTGTTAACTTAAGGCCATTAGAACCATGGCCATGGGGCTTGCCTTCCCTAATCCTAGAGCTTGATCTCTTTCTTTCGGCAATAGATTAGAAATTATTAAGCTCCTCCTCATGTCTATGACCGTAATCATATATAGATCAGTTATTGAAAAATTAATTGAAGTTGATTAGTTTACGTACAATTAATTCGCAAAAGATACCCTACCTACTAGCTAAGTCTACAACCCTCGTCTTCTTTTCCACATAAATATATAAAAAAGAAAAATTTTATTTGTTTGCGGAAGAAAATTTTTGAATCAAACATACATTTACTAATTAATAGTGTTGAAAGAAAGCAAAACTATATTATTATTATTATTATTAATATTAGTAAATTAATATTAATAGTATATTAATATTATTATTAGTACATTTACTAATTAGTATTAATATAATAATAATAATAATAATTCTTCATTATTATGCTGTAAATTTAGGCTTTAACTTTTATCATTTTAATAATATTTTCTTTTTCATATAAAAAATTTTATTTTCATAGTTAAAGCAAACTCGCAAGTGGACCTGTCGGCTAGCATTGATAATAATAACAGTTCAGACCACTATGTTGTAATTCCAAAATCCATATCAGATCAGTGGCCAGCAATGCCCACTTGGGTCGGTTTGATTGTGGGCCCACGCACCATGTGGCCCACGGCCCCACTTTCATTTTCATTTATTTATTTATTTATATTTTTTTGAAAAGTTTTATTGGTTTTTACTACTTCGGGTCTTCTGCTTCCTACTGTACTATTTTCTATTTATTTATTTAATTATATACTGACTTGCCAATTACCATCATCAATAACATTGCACTACCAATTGTCAAAATATTTACTAATACCATAATTTCACTCCCAATAATCTCATGGCCTCCTATATAACTGCAAATCTAACTCGAATTTAGGGTTTCCCATTTTCTTCAATTTATCATCATCTTCTCCAATTCCAAACCCTCATTTCCATCTAACACAACATATTCCTTTGACTATACAAAAGGTACATATCCCGAATTTTCACTTTTTTCTATTTCCCCATTTTTTTTATTTGAATTCAATCTTTAGTGAGCTTTCATTTATACATATGCCTAGAAAAAGATTCATTAATTGAATTTTGATGCAAGATTCTTGTAGAGAATGGTTGGGTTTATTTCGTGTCTTTTTCCAGATTTTGGTTGACTTGGACATGATTTTACTGGAATGATACTTATTGTTCTTGATCTTGATCTGAGTAAATCTTGAGCCAAACCCATATCAATAGTTAATGTATCCGGAAAGTGAATGTTCTGAGCTTGAATTTGTGAAGTATAATGAAGCCACTCAACACACTTTACCTCATGTTGATAACAATATGATCAAGGATAACCATATCCATGTTTACAATATTAAGGATGATGGGTCCTTTGCAAATGATAACGAGACTCGGATGTTAGCAACTGATGAAAGAGTCGGTTCCAATGCTTTGACAGCTGATTATCATGTAAAGGGTACTGTTGAGGTTGTGCAGCCAATGCATTCACCTCCTTTAGCATCTAAATCTTCTGGTGGACCATCACCTTCTACCACCAAAGGTTATGGCTTGAAGAAATGGAGGCGTATCAAGAGAGACTTTGTTAAGGATCCCACTGCCACTACGGACAGCAGTAAAATATTGAAGCGGGGTTTGTCTGGTTCAGCAAATCCAACCAAACCTCAACATATGACATCACCTGAGATCAAGCAGAATAGTGAGAGTCCTGTTGGACCGGTGAATATGTTGAAGAACGCTAGTGTTGCTCATGGTTTCATGATGCCTAGCCCCCATTTAGATTCTAGGTTGGCAGTTGGGGCTGCTTTTGCTGCTGCTACACATTCAGAAAATAGTGAGGACCCTAGTAGCAAGTCATCTACAGCAGCTAGTGTGCCAAAGGTGAGGTATGACCTGCCTGCAGTTTCGGGGTATGTGCACCAGAAAAACCTGATGAAGAATTTAAGTGGGAGGAGTGTAGGTAATTCAAGTCAAAGAGTTCAACAGGGAAAGGGTTGTGGTGGAAGCAGTAAGAAGCCTAGTGGAGAAAGGGGCAAAATTAAGAAGGAAAAATCTCATTCCAGCATGGAATCTGACTCAAGAAGCTTCAACTTTGTCTTTGTGCGTGATCCATTTTCAGTGACAAGTAATGGAAAGCAAAGTGGAAAGTCCATGAATTGTGAAGGGGAAAATAGTGATGAAGCTCATGAAGGCGAACACCAAATCAGTGAGGAAGATCAAACTGCTTATAGGAAAGAAAATTCTGGTGAAATTGAAGAACTTCCACCTGATTATTTAGCTGCAGATTTATCTTGGGAGACTAAGGTAGAAAAAAGTGAGAATCACCGGCCTTCACCAGATCAAGACCCATTGCTCGAGTCTATTCTTGCTCTCCAATCTGTCCAGGAAGCCTTCGAAAATGGTGTGTGATATCTTTCTGATAACTTTGATAAACCTTTCTCATGGTTTTCTAATATATTCTTATTACTCATAAGTACTGCATTATGTGTCCCCCAAATCCTGCTCAATGACTGTGCTGCATCTCTTAATATGTTCATATTTTAGTTAGCTTATTTATTTAACAATCCTCAGAAATATTTCTGTAAGTATTTATTTAAAGCAGTTGGTGACTATGTCCTCCTTTGTTTCAGAGTTGGGACAAAAATTAAAAATAGCTGTTGTTCATAAAGTCTCTGTGCATGTTCCAGGTTGAACTGGCTTCAGGTATCTTAGATAAGTCTAGAACAAGCATCTTAATAAAGCAGGCCACAGTCAACACAGGCTGTGAAAGCTAATGCAAATAGCGGAAGGGAACTTCTGATTATATTATGTTAAGTTAGTTAGTGAATCATGTATTAATAATTAACTATTGATGGCACCGGTAAGTATCTGGTGATGTCCCGATATAATCAGGAATAAGATCAACCAGAGAAACAGTAATTAAATTCAGTTTATGGGAGAACACCAATGATTTTTTCTGGTTTTTGCCTTTTTGGTCAATGTTAGCTGAGGGTTGTGAATAGGGAATGCATGCAGAAAATGAGTTGTGGGAAGTCAGAGAGGAATAGGAGTTATTATGGCATTGTCACACATGTTTGGGTGGTCTCAAATGCATAATGGATATTTGATGGTTAAAATTTAATCATATGAAAGAGTCTAGGACTATGACATACATGTTTAGTGCTTGTTCTTTCATGGTGAAGTTAATGTTGATTGTCTATTTTACAAAATACTGGTCAATTCATGCTAGCATTATTGTTGACTCTGTCCTGTTTTTATTAAGTTTGATGGAGCAATTTTTCCTTGCAGAAGTCAAGAAATTAGGGGAGATAGGAAAGGAACCTACATCTCTACATGATGATTCAGTTAACATTACCAGTGTTCGTGTGGGTTCTACTTTTGCTGATAAGGAAGTCCATGAAACTAGCTCATCTGACCAATTAGCTTCTGAAAAGATAAGAAAAAGTGTTGCAGGCTCCTTGGAAACTGTGGCATTCACTTTAACTCAGAAAGTAAAATATTTGGAGAGCAAACTGGAGGAAGCAAGGGCTGTATTGCAGGCAAAGGAATCAAGGATTTCTGAACTGGAAACCAGTGTAAACAGTAGCATGTCAAGGAAGGAAGAATCAGGAGGCACTGCAGAGTTGCAGCAAGATAAATATAGAGAAATGGAATTTGACCTTGAGGGTCTCTTTCAACAGAAAATGGAGGCTGAAATTGAGTTTCTAGCTTTAAACGGGGCAGTACAGAAGTTGAGAGTTTCTTTGGGCAATCAAATCACACTATTTGAAGAACAAATATCATTGGCTGGGGGGCAAGCACAGACGCTGAATAAACTTGGAGAGGCAGAAAGCAAGGCTGCAATGCTAAAGAAACAATCTGAGGAGTTGGAAAAGTATTGTGGAGATGTTCTAGGCACTGAAGAGGTTTTGAAGATGCAGAGGAGGGTATGTAAGGTTACGGCATGCTTTTTTACACAGTTGGTATTTCTGGTTTTAGTGCTTTGGTTCGTTGTGTTGCAGTTGTCACCCCATTCAGGGGTGGTTGTTCCCACATGAGTTAAACAAAATAGGTCCTTTTTTTGTGTATTAATGTTTCTAGGCAATGATCCAATTGTAAGATTTCATTGTTGTTATAATTAGAGCCATTTCTTTTCCTTTTCCCCTCTTCTGTTAAAAGTGGAAACCTTTTCAAAACTCTTGATTTGAGCTCCTCCCCAAATATTTGTACTTACCTACAAGATCGTTTTTTCTGGCAAGTATACTGCAATTCTAAACTAGACATATTTTATCGCCTCAAATTGTTGGTGTATCTTGGCCTGAGAATGCATGGTCAAGGTGTGCTGCTGGCTTGGCTTTGTGTATGTACAATTAATGTCTGAAATGTGCTGCTTGAGTAAGATAGCTTTTACCATCAACTATGTAATATTGGAGATGAAGAGCTCATGGGATACTGATTCCTGCCGCTTGAGGCATTGAAGTTTCGAGGATTCGAGTCTAGATCATTCAGATATTGTCATCAATCTTTAACCCTCGAGAAGAAATACCAATTCTGAAGCTGCTGGGCTGGCGCCTTAAAATCTCGAACAAATCAACTTTATGTATCATTAGGCTATCATCGCATACTTTCTCAATATACAAATATAATTTGAATGGGAAAGCAGTCCCAAAAAGGTAATATATAAAACAGTTATTTCACGACAGCCTATCTCTTTCATTCAAATTATATATATCAAGTAATTATAGGATAAATATTTATTTCAACAGTTTCATGCATCAGATGTGTAATAAATAAATTTTTTTTATTAATATGATTAAGTAATATGATTTGAATAGAAAAAATTAGCTGACGTGAAGTAATTGTTCCTTGAAATCTTTTCTAGCAGACCCCATGGTGAATATGATGACAGTTTATACATTTTGACACCAAAGTATTCGTCCTTCAAGGTAAAACGCTATAATAAACCAATAAAACTGCGCTCTATATTAATAATTAATTTCCATTTTTAATTTTCTTGGTATACATATAAGATAATGTTCTGCTCGATAATCAATAAGTACTAGTATTTGTTTCCGCCTGGTATTATTAGTTGTTCAGTCATTAGGGATATATAATTATAATTAAATGGAATGAAGAGAAAAATTCATCCAGCCCTGTTACCTTCTCTCTCTCTGTCTCTCGTCTGGACGTACGATTAAAAATCCAGTTAGTGGTAAATTTTGCCAGAGGATATCGGAGTTTAACTCTTTCAATGGATCATTGATGCTTGGTTTAGTTGTAAATTCTAACATGCGTACATACATGCATACATAATAGCTAGCTCTGCTAGCTGTTGATTTGATGCTGGAATCATATATACTTGCAAAAATACTACTACTACCATATGGAATGAATTAGGAATGAAGATGGAGAAGTTCGCAGCAATCTCATCAGCACAAAAAGATACAGTCCCATTGCATTTTTGCCAACCAATTAAAACCCCGAAATTAGCAGGAGAAAAAGTAAGAATTCAGAAACAAGAGATGCAACGTCCCCAACCCCATCTAATTAATACTGAAAACTATACAATGGTTTTAATCAAATAGAGCACAAGAAGATGAGGTTTAGGAGCCAAAGAACTTGGGATGATAGTCATTACTGGATGTGGCCAAGATATAGTAAGCAACAACATAGCCAATGGACCCCCAAGCAAGAACATCCACGATGTTGAATCCCACAGGATCGTTGGACTCCAGAAGGCCAACATACTCCTTGGCTCGTGTGTCCCCCAGCCTCAAAGTGGGTCAACCCGTTTTGCTCAGGCACTTGCTTGGCCACATTCTCTCTTTGGAAGTTAAAGAACACAAACCTACCCAAGAAGAGGGATAGACCCGTGCTGAGGCTTATCACTATAGGGGTGCTAAGCTCTGCGTTGACAGCAAGCCTACCAGATGAGTTTCTGGCAATGTTAGTGACCTTAGACGAGGATTTGGCCTTGGTGAAGGGCCTTAGTCCTTGGAATGAGATGGTGGGTGCCAAGGTTCCTTTGGATGGTGGAGTAGATGGGGGTGAACAAAGTTGATGAGGAGGCTGCCAAGGTGCCTGCAGAATGTGGGTTGAGAGAGGCTTTTGGGTATTGGATAGTGAAAAAAAAATGTAGATTTTGTAGGAGATGATTTGGGGAAGTAGTGTAGAAAAGATCATATGGTAAACAAGTGGTGGTAGGAAGGAGGAGAGTGGGATTGCGAGGATGGGAATGGTGGGAGAAAGATTTTGGATGTCGATTTGGCTTTGTTTCATTGGTATCTTTTGAATCAGAGATTTTTGTTACTATTTCGAAATGGCAACAGCTGAAAACTTATTGGACAATTGGAGAAATTTAATTTAGAAATATTGTTAAACAAGGGATTGTTGAATTGAATTAAGGATCCGTCGCACAATGGTAAAGCGTATAACTGCTGATCAGAAAGTTGTTTGATTGATTCAGGTCAGATTCAGTTCATATACTCCGAAGTTAGAACCGTTTTTACCTCTAAAATTTTACGTAAAATAAAAATGCCTACTTTAGTTATCGATTTGTATCAAGCACCCTGCACCTGCTGGCTCTATTAAAAGTTAAAACATGGTTGATTTGCAAAATAGGGATCTGAAATATGGTTCAAGCTCAACTCGTAACTGATTTACGTGCAGCTGCAATTCGTATGGAGAGTGAACGTTTGGTTCAGCTCATTTAGAAAATGCCTGCGTATGGTTGAGGTTAGGTTGATTATGTACAAACAGTACAAGTTAAAACTCATTTCGGCCTAAAATCATGAAAATGCAAAAACTCAAATTATCCTGGAGAAGAGGATCACAGTCAATTGAATCTCAATTCATTAAAAAAAAAAAAAAACATAGGATGAAAGAAGTGACACATGTAAGGGGGTAAAAGACACTCATACTTTCAAAGCAAACCGCTCATAAAATTGTCTAGCTCCCAAGGCAACCATAGTTCTCTTTCATTCTTCTTGTTCACATGAACAGTTCTTTCCAGCCTTCTTTCTGTACATCCCCTCTCATTAACATCGTACGATGATTGACCTCCACAAGTGGTAGAAAACTAAAATCTAATTGAACAGCAATCACATAAAGGTATAGAATACATTTTACATTTACATCTACAACCTCTTCTACTACTTGGAAAGTTACTTAGTTCCTTGAAAACCATCAACCCCCACAGCGACATGCTTATTTTGCATACTGCACAATCAACTCACATTAAGGAATCAAGGTATAAGTAGTTCCTCCGACGGCCATACTCAAGAAGGCTACCATATGTTCGATCCCATACACCAATAAAGAGAGACTCTGTGTCAGGACTAAAGGATAGACCAGATATCTCACCAAAGAAATCGATTTCTTGCTCATTCTCATACCCACTTTTCACATCATACACATGCACAAAGTCAGCAGGCTCAGCCATTGCCATGTACTTACCATCAGATGTGTAGCGAATGGACCGTATTGCTCCAAGATTTCCCTTAAGAACAGCAATTGACCTGGACATGTTCCGGACATCCCAGATTCGGCAAGTTTTGTCTTGGTTCCCAGTTGCAAAATTGACACCATTAGGGTGCCATGTTGATGCAAATGAGTAGTCCAAGTGTCCACGCAAGGGCATAACAGTCTGCAATGTAATTGGAAATCAGCCGATGCCACATGCTAGCCTTTGCTTTCTCCAAAAATGCAAAAGATAATGCATTTACCATTCATGGAAAAAAACCAAGCAAATAATTACCTTCCCCGTGTCAGAGTCCACCAACATAACATCAGGGTTGTCTCCAACTATTATTAGAAGTTTCCCATCAGGGCTCAGAGAAGTATGCTGCAAAAGCAACAAATAAGCAGAGGTAATGGTATTTATCCTCACCGTGTGTCTTTACAGTATTAATAGAACCAATAATTAGCATATTGCAAATAAAAAATTTTACATGGAATAATATTAAGTGTATGTTTACCAATCAAAAACAAGAATCCCAATATAAGGAACTTACATTGACTGGCCAAAGAAAATGAAAATGCTTAGAAAGCTGATATTTCTCCATATCAAAATCTCTGACTCCACAATCATTATTTGAGGCCGTAAAGTGAACTGCACCACTGATAATTCAAAAACAAAGCAAAATTAGGTTCAGGTTGAATGTGATTGATGCCCCAGCAGATCAGGGAACAAAAAATACCTTGGAGTAACATAAATTTCAACAGCATTTGTAATGGCATTGTCGTCATAAGTTGTCCTGCAGCAAAAGCTTATTCCAGGTCGATCTAAATGCTACGTTCCAGATCAAAATCAACTAATTAATTCTTAACATAACTGGCAAGAGGGCAACAGTAACCAAGAGCTCAGCAAAAAAAATAGCTCTTCTCCAATATAAATTTTTAGCCTTTGCAGCGTTCTCGAAGTTTTAAGCAATAAATAGTTCAAAACAAGACGAAGATGTTGATAAATTTTGGAACAGAATGAGCAAGAAAACAAAGCTCATAAATTCTAAAGAGCTTAATAGAATCATTTAGCCGGATCCATCTTATAGCAAAACAGATATGTCCAACAATGGATTGAACTAGAATAATATTAAAGCTAAATCTAAATAGTCGACTTCAAGTGACTAGCAAAACCCAAGAAAGAGCTATATTGCATAGAAAAACAGCTCTACAATTGCAGCACAAAGGCTTAATCATTTTTCTGATCTCTTTTTTGTCAGTAAAGGATTTAAGGGGAAAAAAGTCACAATACATACCTTGCATATTAGTTCACCCTGGAATCCTCCAGCAACTAGCAGCTTATCTTTTACTGCAAGAGTACTTACTTGAGTTTGTGTAAAACCTTCCATCAGACTTCCAGGATGTTTCTAAAAGGGGAAAACACGTTGATCAATCTCAGAGGAAATTAGATAAGAAAAGAAAAGAAAAGAAAATGGGAAAAACTGACAATTCAGAGAAAAAGCTAAATCACTGCCAGAACACAGACCTCAGCTGGTGCCACATGCCCAGAAACATTAAGAATTTCACGCTTCCTGTGTGTCAATGAAGACCAATGCATGACAGAAAAATGTGACAGAAGGTACACATCATGTTTTGATGTAGCGCATACCAAGTTCCTCAACTACATCACCACAAATGGATATGTTTATCAGTCAACAACAATGATTACCACACAGACAGAAAGACCATAAGGAAAGGACTGGCCAGTAACATCACAAGTTATGAGAAGAAATTTAAAAAAATAAAAAAACCTTCTGTGACATAACAAAATATTAAGGGGGTAAAGATAGCTGATATTAATTAAATGAAAACTTCCATTAACCTGAAAATGAAGTATTGTTGATTTCACAGATCTTGAATTTAGTCTGAAGTCATAATATGAGGCACCCTTCTTGGTAATTCTGCAATCCTATATACAAATTGAAATTTCAACTTAGTTCAATTACTACCAAAATATTAGATCCAATAATTGTCATAAAGGGAAGAAAGCAACTTATAATGACTTTTACCTTCCCTGAGCCTTCTCCAGAGTGAGGGATATTCTCATAGTTCTTGTACTGTTCTAGCCTAGTTTGCCTGTATTTTTCCCTGGTGATACTAAGCTGATCCCAAGGAATTCCCTGGATGTCTTTTCCTCTTCTAGCTTGAGCAGCAGAAGTATCAGATATTTTATTATTCTGCAATACAGTCAAGTCACATTAGGCTAGCTTGAAATCCATGAATACTGGAAAAAAAGCTTCAAAAGATTTTAAAATAATTACATTAGGCTGGCTTGAAATCCAGGAATATTAGAATAAAAACTTCAAAAGATTTAAAAATAGCGAAGCCATACTGCATATTTGGCTAAGCTAATGATGCATGAACTTAGTTGTTTAAGAAGTGCCTATGTGAATCTTGTAAAACATAAAACAAACCGAGTAGTCATATTCATCAACATCAGAGTCCGAGCCAGACATATCTCTGCCATGAAACTCTTCATCCACGTCATCATCTATGTCTTCCATGTCATTCTCATCTGCCATGTATTCAGCATCATCTTGGTAATGGGACATTCCACTAGACAAAACTACACCTACAGCAATATAAATTCAAGCATCAATAATAAATTAATAGTACTCAACAATAACAACCACACCAATAAAGAAAAAGTCACACAATATTAAATTGGAAGATTGTCTTCTCTTAGATTTTTAAGAGTAAACTTTGTGCTATAAAGTGATGATTATAATTGATCAGATGATGCAATAGCAGTAACATGGCATGTACTGCCACTACAACTCATGCAAGTTACAATTTAAACAATGTAGTGTTTAAGACATTAAAATGACATTAATGAAGATTATAATTAAATGATATGATCTAATGGCCCTGTTTAAGGATATTGAACAGGAAAATGTGACACTAACAGAGACTAGAAACCAGGTCCAAGTCACAATTAAAGAGAAAACCAAATCTGCTGTTGGAATAGGACCCCCTGCAAAAGCAAAGGGAAATGGAAACAAATATCTAAAAGTTACATGCACCAAACAATCACAAAATCCATCGTATAAGTAATAGTTTTATGCTGACATTCAACATGCCTGAAACACTTACATCAGCAAGGAGATAAACTAATGAGAAGGAGATAAACTACTGAGAGATTGATAGCTTCAGTCAATCCAACCATTGGTTATTTACGGGAAACATATGTTATACTGCATTTTGAAGTAATTTTTGCAATATTTTCAATTCAATTACGCTATAAACATGTTAGGGTAGATATGAAATTAGCTTTTTCATTCAATCATGCAACATATACGAAAAACAAGACTACAAATCGTTTCCCAGGTCCCTAAATTTGGAAACTTTTACTTCCTATAAAGATTGAGATTTTTTTTTTTTATCTTTACATTCCCCTTTGCAGGCATATGCATCCTTCTGGATTTTTGGGGCCCAAGAAAGAAGTCAAGTTCCATCAAATTCATATACATGTGAATTTCGCGTTTCTATTTTTTTTTTTCTAAATTTAAATGGCAGACACCCTTAAAAACAGGAAAAAAGGGGCACAAATAAGAAATGACCTGATTAATATAACCATAATGGAAATTCGAACCAAAATTTAAACTCCCAAATCAAAGAAATCATGCAACAAGAAGACTCGATTGCAAATAATAACTCTTATCCAGAAACAAAACAATAATCATAAAAGAGATAAAGGGCAAACGCTAAAAGTGTTTACATAACGAGCTAATTTCTAAACGCAACTGTAAATCTATTAGCATAAATGAGCAAATAAATAAAAGAAACTCATGATCGAAGCTTACAACATCAAAAAATGAATCATATCCACCTTTTAAAATATAAGAGATTATAGGAAGTTGATCTTCTCCTCGGATCTGGAGATCAAAAATGTCAGCATCAGATTTGCAACCTTTTTGTAAATACGATTAATATAACCGAATAATTATTTTAATCGGTACAAAAGAAAATGTTTTTATACTAATATATGCATTTAATATGATAATAATAATAATAATAAAATGAGAGAAGAGTAGTATTTTATTTTTATTCAGTATAATATAATTAGAGGGTGAAGGAAAGATCGGGAGATTAAAGGAATTAGTACTATTTTATTTTTTATGGTTTTTTCACTGCTTTTATTTTCAGTATTCTCGCGAGGTGAAAGAACGAAACGGACTACTTTTTTTTAAATTATTTATTAAACATTAAATAATACTATTATTATATTTTTAAAATAACATAGATCCTCTCATATTACTATTATTATAGTGTTTGATTGAATGAGTGTCACAAATTGATCAAGAAATTATAAAAAAATAAATTTTAAAATAAAGAATATATATTAATAAGGTCTTTTTTTTTTTTTTTGGGGTAAAGATTAATATAGCATAACGCGGTTGAAGCACACAAAGGCACTTGGTGAAGTGATTCATCGGTTTAGCTTTGGCATGTGATAGTCGTTTAGTTGAGAGTGTGGATAAGTTAAAGCAGGGTAAGCGGCAGGTGAAGCAACCCAATAACTTTGGATTCTGTTTACCACCCTTCCAATTCCGTCGTTAAAAGATCAAATCCCATTGAGGGGAATGCTTTCCAACTCTCATCTATAAACTATAATTTCCATAAGAATAAAACCCTAAATCAACTTTGGTTAAAAACATGCTCTTTGATTTGGAGTAAACTTCATTTGGTTTATCTATTCCCTACATTTTTCATCTGTAGCTAGTAAGTTGCAAGTGTCACAAGGCTATAGGGAACGGAGTCCTCTAGCTGCAGCTGTCCCATACCTCCCAAGTCCAGCTTTAGTTCAGGCATGTAGTCCAAGTCTAAAGCCAAACAAATCTACTTTTCTCCTTCAGGGGAGAGATGAAGTTTTAGGTTAGACAAGGATATTTTCAGCATCGATTCTATGCACTAACATAAATTAATTGGAATTAAAGACATTTCAGAGCAGCGTACCAAGAAACTATTCATAGCCCGATGGGCACACCCAATCCATGCCATTACCAGCCTACAGAATGCTTGCATCTGAGATCATCCAGGAAAACCATTAACTCATTTCGTGGCTGCAAGCAAATTACAAGTGAAAAGCACCATTCTCCCCAACTTTTAGTAGCATTCCAATGATGTACATAAATTAAATTTCCAGTATGACAAATCTAAAATTATTATCTCTACCACATTTTTACAAGTACAAAGAAAAGCATCGCTGAACCTGATGTATGAAAATACTGTAATCTTCACGTGTGAAAGTGGGAACAATTGGAATAAATGTAATTCACTTCCAGCTCCAGCCTCTCATAACAACACGAGTAAAAACACTACGAAGCCAGTTGTGGCCATTAGCAGTACAGATGGATTACATATTAGCTGACAGCCACTAGCATTTTCTGATGTTGATGGGGGTGAGGCAGGGCATGCAAGCCCTTCTTTCCCTTCACGACACTCGCTAGCAAAGAGACCTGGAGGATATTGGCCATGAAGATTAATGTTGCTGAACATAATTGAAGCACAATCACTTGTCAAGTCATTTATCTGTTCCTCATAAGGACAAGCAAATTCCTTAAATGCTGAACAACATCGATCAAGTGGATAATGAGGTCCTTTGCATTGGCTTGTGATAATCGTATAGTTCTGAAACTCAAAGTTAACTGGGCAAGCTGCATATAAAGTAACAAAACAGTATATCATGTTTAATATCCATCCATACCTAAATAGCAGAGCCCAACAAAAAGTTTGCTTTCAATTTGTCATCTATAAACTACAAGCTCCCAGAGATCTTAAGATGGAATCAAATTTTTTTAATGGTGCCGTCTGATATTCAAATTATGTGATGCACAGGCCTTAAGGCGATGAAATACGCTTTTGGAATCTTTGAATAGACCAAGCAAAAGACGCATATGCACTCAAAAATCACCATGCTGAGCAGTTGTCATATGGGTATCTTATTATGTGAAGCATGGAAAGGGAAGGAAAGATGTACGAGATCATCTAATTGAAGGCATGAGTCTGATGATTTAAGATTTGCCACAATGGTTTGCAAATCTTTAGTCTCATGTAGCTCTTAGAAAAGAAAATGATAGGGCCTAATCTGCGCAAGTATAAGGTGTCCTTTAGCATAGAACAACGCCATTATGCACCTGGAAAAATTCCCTTACAATGGAACAGGAGACATTGTGAAAGACAAAGGAATTTGCACGCAACATCAATTGAGCGATAGAACTGGAAGCTCCATAAAACAAGTCGCTAACTTACAGGAGCACAAAAGAGAAATTAAGCGATCGACTGGTTTTGAGCTTGGAAAATAATGGCTTTGATAAATTATAAGCTTAAGCCCTGTTAATTGGTCCGTTAATAAGATGAGTTGAAGCTATAAGATGAACCAAGAAAACACTGTCTGACAGCATTTTTTGCCATTACAAATTACAACGTTAAGCATCTATGAAGATAAACACCTTAATCAGCAAATTTCACGTCTTCAGTTTGATGGAAATCATTTTGGTAAACTGTGAATGAAAGTTGTGATGGTTATGATTTTAATTAAAACAGAATGGCAAAAGCAAGAAAAGAATTTCTCCACCATAGCTTCCACTTCCAGGACAAGAAAGACAAGATGAAAAGTCCCCATTCGATTCCTTTCTCCCAGTGGTAGAGATTTTTAACAAAAGCAGAATTTCATCATCTGAGATTACGGCTAAATCATTTGTACGGAATTGGCAGGCACGTCAATCAAACTCATGCATTTCCTTGAATATGATCAAATATTAAAGAGAGAAGAGCTTAAATGGGCTCACACCCCAAGGCATCAATGTGGTAGCAAAAGCTTTGTCTAATTCGCCAACAAGCGGTTGGTTCAATTCTATACAACATTGAGCCCATAAAGAGAAAGTGCCATTGAAATTGCGGTATCAGAAAGGAAATTAAAAAAAAAAAAAAGAAACCTTTCTTTGCCTGAAGGAGGTTCCTTCCTGTTGAAGTGAAAGAGTGGAGCAAGACATCTGCATCCAGATCATCACATATTAGAAGGTGAACAATGGATTCAGAAGCTGTAGAATTTTCGAATAAATACCTGAAATTGAAGTGGAATGTGAGACAACCAACAAAAGGAAGAAAACTGCAAACCAAGAGAACGACTTTTCTGTCTCCATCAATTTCTTTTTTGGTTTCTTTGAGGTTCTGCCGTGGACTAAGAAAAAGACAGCGAAGAGATCAGCCTCTTTTCTGGGGCAGAGTAACACCAACTGCACAACCTTCTTTGTTCTTGCAGCTTCTGTTTGTTTCTCTTCTGGGTATTCAATTTCGATTTATCATTTATCAATAATGATGAGCTATCCTACTAGGACTCTTCTCACCACAGGCACCACTGCTTTTTTTATTCACTCTCTGGTCCACGTTTCTCTTTTTCCTGGAAAAAAAGAACAAAAGTCATTGTGGAAACTATGGATGGATGATGACCCATTATGTAAACTATATAATTCGGGTCTTTAGTTTTTCTTGTTACCTTCATTTTCTTTGCAAAAAGGGCTATCTTTTGTGTTTGAAAATGGTGAACTTAAAAATTGACCACAAGTCAATGGAGGCATATTTCTTTCGCACCCACCAACCTCAAAATTGATATAGTTACAGTTTTGGCATAAAAAATCCAAGACATTAACCTGCTACCATAAGGTGGGGTTGCAATTATTTAATAACCTAAATGCTTGCTTGGTCAGCTTTCCAGCTAGAGCCAGCCATGTAATTATGCAAAATAAGAAAAACGGAACAAGGAATATCGACCCACCATTCTTTTATTTCATTTCATTTAAACATATAAAAAGGATTACCAAATTCATTATTTATAACTATTCATTATCATAAAAAAACTAATGCAAATTACGGGCAACACCCCTTTCATATGCATGAGCATAATCACAACAAACTGGTACTTAATTTCATGATCTTTTTGGGTTTAGGGGTAGACTCAATTAGTAACATTAATCAGGGAAGCTTGACTCAAGAATCTTCATTTTGGCGGAATTTCAAGCCAGAAGAAAGTGCCTTGTGCTGGTCTTGCACTTTCTCGCCATGAAACCATCAATGCTCGCATCATCTTAAAGCAGCACCTGGGGCAAATGGTTTCGTTCAATGGGTTCTATTTTAATTAAGAATCCTCTGAAAACGGCATAGGTTCACTGGTGGATTGGCTAATCATGAAAGATCCATAATCTTACCAGATTAATGTACAGGATCTGTCCTGGCCCTGGGGGCTGGGGCTGGGGCTGGGGCTGGAGGTGGATGCTTCACTACTCCAAAATTGCCTGCAAATGGATACTCCTCTCAGCTCCAGCAGATGAGCTGTAGCACTTGAAGGTAATCCATGTTTAATGGTCAAGAGAAATGGACAAAAGCAAATTGATTTCAATAGGGAATTTATATGGCTTGAGCTTGCGAGTAACTGTTGCACTTGTAGACAGATATATTCTCTCTCGGTCTCAATTCCCTCGAAGTAAAAGAGTGCAAGCTATTTGCTTGTACGTGCAGGGAAGGGAGGATATTTTCCATTTATCTATAGATATAGCGGATGATGATGTTGATGTCTTGGATGTCACCCCCTGTCTGAAATAGTGAAAATGGGATATAAGAGGAAAGCTAACTGTGTGTGTTTTAGGCTTTCTCCGTAGAAGACCGAATATATATATATATATATATATATATATAAGTTAGGACTCAAAATTCCATTCACAATGCTCACTGTTTTACATTAAGTAGGACATGGCCACAGTCATTCCAATAAAAATTTTAAAAAATGCGATGCCGCATTGTAAGTAATAAGATCCATTTCACTTTTTTTTTTTTTCTACACTATTTCAAAGCTGTGATTTAGAAAAAAAAACCGTACAGCTCAAATGTAACTTTAGCTATGTGATAGGAGTTAAAAGGGGATGAAGAAAGCTAAAAAGAAAATGTCCACGTGCCGCGAACGAAGATAGTCACAGATGACGTACTTTGTCTGCATAAATCTCCTATTAGCTTTACTCTGTCTACAACGGTCAATCAACAGAATAATCTTCGTTGCTGTAACAAGTATGCCAACAACCATATCACTCCTCACAGAATAAATCGGCATTTGAAACTCTAAAGCATGGCTAGAGGCTATAGCTCATATTTCATACACTTCTAACATTTTTCTTTTTCATAAGCAGATTAGCTACATGCTTTGCCTTTCGCAAATAGAAAGTTAAAGCAAAGTAGGTATTGAATTCCTTTTCATTTGGTGTAAAGTCAACAATGCAATGGCTTCACTTATTACTTATCCCTTCTTTTGGCTGCCCCTATCACAGGATATTGTACTAAAGACATGCAACCTCCTAAAGACCGAATACAGGATCATGCTCAAGATTGCAACACTGTAGAATATACTATTTTATGAAGAATGGAACTTACACGACGTCTGGACTCACGTATATTTTCCAGCAACTCTGCAATCTCAAGTTGCTTCATTACTGTAGCATGTAGAATCTGCAACATGACACCATTGTCAAAACCAAAAAAAAAAAAACAACTTGTGATCATTGAAATCAAAGTCCAGTCCAGTCCAGTAAGATGAGCCATACTCGCTTTGTTTTCTCAAGGTCAAACTCAACAGATTTGATCCGGTCCAGAGATTCCATAAGCATTTTCTCCTTTTCTATGGGAATTCCAGCAGGCTTGTTGCTAAGTTCCTCAAATGCATTCTCCAGTTTCTGAAGACGTTCTATACATGGATGAACATGATCTTTGTTAACAGCTTCTGGTGCTACTGAATTTGAATGGCTATTCATGTTGGATTCCGTCATATTCAAAGGATGAATATTGTTTGGCTTTCTCCAAAATTCAAATAGAACAGTACAAATAAAGGCAGCTAGTCTGACAAATAAAGCTATAAGCATTTGCCCCACAGAATGAATATTCTTTCTCCCAAACTTTTCCTTGACAGTGTCAAACCAATGGATTATTGAAGTTCCTGAAATTTGGTATCAACTTAGAAAAAAAAAATGCAAAGGATAGGAAATAACAACAGAACACCCGCCAAACATATGGTAAATTATCTACATCCTATCTGTGAAACCAGATAGTAAACTAGAAGCACCCTCCATGCACTACCAAACAAACCATATAACAATGGTAAATTTAAAGTATCCTCGTCAAAGAAGAGAAACTGATTACTCTGATAAAATATCATTTTCAAATACCTTCCAAATAAAAAGAAGATGCTCGTTGATGAGATTGGCTATCCACGTTACTAGAAGTAGGCAATGGATCCATGGAATACAGCAGTCCTTGGTCACTGTCTATAGTTTTCTCCGCGAAAGGGAAACTATCATCACAACTATAGTCAGCATTTGGATCTGATACCCTCACCTGCATAAATCACAATCAATTTTATTAAAAAGCCACAAAAACACATTATTTAGCACATAAAACATAATTATCTGCTTTTTAAGCTCACTTCTTCACGAACTGGTGCCAAAGAAGGAAATGCAGAGCTTCTTCGTCCAATTGGAGAACATTGGACATCAATATCTGACCCAGACTCTGTTGTTGATGTGTCAGTAATCCTTCCCTGACAGATTATGTGTTAAAGCATTAGCAAAGAAGATGTAATCACAGAACATTGTTGTGCTCAATGATCACAAGGCTCAATATTTACCTTTAATGGCCTTATCTGAACATAAGAGTCATATTTATGCTGATCATTAGATACTCTGGTGATTTGCCTCACAAATGTCGCTTCCGCATCATATACAAGCTATCAATGGAACCACATGTTAATCTCAAAAGTTAAAGTAAAACCTAAAATCATGTCTAACAAACAACTCGTGCTTAAGAGGAAGAAGCAGCATATGATATTACATAAAGAGAACTGCTTTAATTGAAAGGATGGCTACCTTCATTATCTCTGGATCATTCCATGGACCTTTATTGGATCTAAGACAACCTCCATCTGTAGAGCAAGCACACGACCCTCCTAAGAAGTCTGGCAACTGACTGAAAGAGGTGAAGGAAAAGCAAGGACTTAGGAGGATGGTAGGTTGAATTCAATATCAGGTAAGAATGAAAAGAGATGATTAACAGACCTAGCATCAATGATCTCCAGTAGCCTACCCAGAGATTTGGGCTCCAAAACCTGCAATTTGTAAATAAAAAATTGAGTAAACTGTGGAGCAGGAGGAGGGGAATAAAAAGAATGCCTAAAGTAATATCCTTTACAGTTATCTTTCCGATAGTCTTTGCATCAAGAAATTTTTGAGCAGCAGGCCAAAGCATCTTTTTGAATCCAGGACCAGCATTGACTATGTACATTCTGTACAACGTCTGTAAAGCCATACAAAAAGAATTACATGCCTATTGGCAACAGAAAGTAAAAATATAAGTGGATCGGATCAGATACCTCAGGGTAATAACTGTTGTCTATTTTACTCATGGCACCCAAAAGATTTGCAGCAGTCCTGCTAAAATTCTTCATGCCCTACTTTCGAAAACAACATTTAATCAGTGATTATAATTCTACCATTAGGCTGCTTTAAATAAAACAATAAAACAGCCACCACTAAGGGGAGAAAATTTCAACATTCTACAGTAAATATGACTGGCTCTACAGTAAATATGACTGGCCCAATTGCGTGAAATTAAGCTTTTATGTTCTGTTCTAGAGGTAGACCTATACATAAAAGAAAAAATTTGAGTTCATTGGCAATGTAAAATTTTCTAAAAGCTACAACGCAATCAAAGTTCTGCTATATGGGTATATGTGATGTTGTCAAATCTTTTAAATTTGATAAAGGATGTCAAAAATAAGAGCCAAATACCAGTCCTTGTACATCCAATATAGTAGTTGTTGAACAGATTTGTCGCTTTGCTGCAACCGAACAAGCAGGGAATTTCTCCAACAGAGCTCTCTCAAACTCTTGGACATGGTACTTCAAATACCGATCTATGGTGGTGATACGCATGAGCCTACTTGGATGGGCTTTCCCTAGCCGCTCAATGTAAACAGGTCTCCCTTCCTTGTCAACTCCATGGTACCCTTGGGGATAGTATTGCAATACTTCTTCCAGCTCTTCAAACTCAAAATCCTTATTATTGATTGATTCGACAAAAGGTTAAACTTGTATGATAAGAAAGATACATGAAACTATAATCCTAGCTCTAATATACAGCGCATTATAATCACGAAAGCAACATAATCTCTGAGGTGCCAGAAAACTATTCGGCCATGTCCATATGATGCAAACCATTCATTTGAGGTTTTATTTGTTAGTTAACACTGTAGACTGGATTAAAGAGATACAACAAAGCTTACGTTTCTCACCTGCAAAATGGTGTCTGTTCCGAACTCTTTCCTCCACTTAAGCATTTCTTCCCACATCTGGATTGTTTTTTCAATGTTAAACTCTCTAGCTTTCAAGAATCTACAAGTCAAAAGTAGTACTACTTCTCAGCATACTTGAGTTGGCCCGATTTAATTTGAAACATTCAATAAATAGAGCAGTGGAATTTGGCAGCTTAAGTTAACAAAGGCTACATCCTCGTGTTTAAAAGCACCAACTGAACTGACCTCAACAAAGTATGATAATCATCATGCCTAGAAGGCAACAAATCCTTAAGAAGAAGTTTTTGACGCAATTCATGAACAGCACTCTCCTCTTTTGCATCCCTGACATCCTCAATGGATACAGAAGGGACCCTGTAATCGATTTTCCTCTTCCCCCTTTTCTTAAGAGAATGAGTAATCTTGTTGGATGCATTTATAGCCTTCTTTTTCAGATTCCCAATTTTTGATCTCCTTCTCTCATCCTCAGAGTTGTCAAAATCTGACCTTCTGTCTCTGCTTTCATCATTTGCTCCAATTTCTTCCACCGCTTTCCAATATTTTGACAAAATCAAAATAAATTAAGCAAGACAGGCGCTAACAGAAATGCATTATTTCAAGAACTAGCAAATTTATAGTAGTATTAATTAATATACCTGACATCTCAGGCGCAATTTAAAAGGAAAAGCTTTTATCTTTGAAGCTATTAGTATTGTTCACTGGACTGAAAATAGAAAAAAAAAAAATCATCGTGTTCTGCACATTGTGGAAAAGAATTAGAAAACAGAAGCTGAAACTAACGAATCCAAATGAATCATTTTGCATTAAGAAGCAACAAGTGTAAAGGAGCAAAATTTATGAAAAAGTAAATCTAAAATGAAAATAGATTATTATCAGAGCTGGACATGAATGAATAAGCTTTTCTCCCAGTGATCAGTAAAGCTTAGCTTATAATGTCTATGGAAGTTGAACTATAAACTTAAATAAAATAAAACCATATTCCCAAAAATGAAAAATATATTGTCTACCAAAAAAGAAACATCAAATTTCAGTGCAAGTAGAACAAAACAAAAATGAATAATTGTTGAGAGACTGGAAACAGTGAAAACCGTTAAAAAAGAGAGTAAAGCACAGTTAAAGCTAATAAAAGATGAAGACGCCGCAACGCATTCAACCTCTTAGAATGCTGATTATTGCTACAGAAATCGTACGGATCTAGCCTCCTCCATTTTCTCTCTCTCTCTCTTTTTTTTTTTTAATGAATAAGTTTTCGTTTCAATTTAAGAAGTAAGAAAAAGAAAACGCACCCAGTGACACCAGAGGCGGAACATGAAATCAACCAAAGGTGCCGCTAATCTCTCGAGAAACGAGAGAGAGAAACACCAAAAATAGAAGAAGAAACTTTCCGGGAAAATGTGGAGGGGTTTGAAGAGAAAATGGTAAAAGTACTAATTAAGTGTGAAAGAAAAAAGAAGAAAAATGCTTTAGAAAGATGGGATCTGATTGTTATATTTAACTTTTTGTTATCTCAGTTTCTATCTCTTAGTAAACAAAATGAAGAAAATGCAACCACACTTCTGCTCTGTCTCTGTCTAAAAAGAAGAAAACGAAAATGGAGAGGCAGAACAGGCAATGAAGGTTCCAGCGAGAGAGAGAGAGAGAGAGAGAGAAAGATCTTTGCTTTGCTTTGCCTCCTTCGGTTTACTTGCCAGCTGGGCTTTGCATACGTGGCCTTTTCTTGTTTTATTTATTTACATTTATATTATATGCTTTTATATATTTATTATTATTAAAAGTGAAATAAATAAATAGTACTACTAGTATTTGTGGTTAATACTAGTTTTAGTTTTTCTTTTTTTTGCCAAAGAGTAGTTTTAGTTTATTTAATTAATTAATTAATTAAATTATTATTATTAGTATTAGTAGTAGTAGTAAAGTAATTTCTTAGTTTAATTTTAATAATAAGATTTTCGATAATTTTGAATATAAAAAATAATTCTCTAAACAAGGCAGGCACCAGACTAAAGGTATTTAATAATAATAATAATAATAATGAATATAATAATAGTTGCAGGAAGGCCAGTATGGAATGCGAGTGATGCTGACTTCTGCTTTTGAGCAGCAAAGCATGCTTGCTGGTTTTCACCTTTTTTTTTTTTTTTAAGTTTTATATTTCACATTTTTTATTTAACTATATATATTTCATTTTAAATAGGAATAAATTAAAATATGCTCCCCAATTCCATGTTTAATGGATTAATTAATATTTTAGTCTAAACCCTTGAAGAAAAGAGTCAGTCAAAGTTTGGCAGTGTGTTGCGTTCACCGTCTCTTTATTATTTTATTTGCCAAAATTACATTGGCTCTAGGCTTGCTTGCACAAGGGCAGAGAGAAGCCAATGCGAATGCCACAACATCGGGCTGTGGAGACCATCAGTAACATTCCACAAATCAACACCCATTATCCATTTTAAGTGTTAGACTAAATCTTCTTCAATACTTTTTTTTTTTTTTTGGTTGAAAAAATATGAGATACGTAATAACTTCGACTATAACTAAAACCGGTAAAAACTAACTGACGGTAGTTAATTAAAGTAGTAAATTTGTTCTTTCGTTTTTTTTCCTTCATTCATTATCTAATTATTATATTATTGTGCTTTTTACCCTTCCTGGGAATGGTTTAAAACAAAAAAAAAAAAAATCAGTTATGGCCTGGGGGAAGGAATGATAGAGTCATCATTGCTGCCTGCAGCTACTCTACCCTCTTCAATGCTAAATGCTAATTATTAGTATTATATATACATATTCTTACGCATGCACATTGTTTCTAGTCATGATCTACATGGCTAGTCAAGGAAATGGCTTTTTTAAAATGGCACTCAGGTTTAGTTTTCAAGTTGGTTGTATGGTTATGAGCCCATCTTAAGTTGAGTTTGTGTAGAATAATGAATTTGGTTGGTAAGCAGAAATTATGAAAATATAATGCAGATGGAGGAAATTAACAATTAATCCTAGTAAGAGTAAGATGTAGTGATAATTTGGTAAGTAGGGGGTGTAGAGTCCAAAAGCAAAGTTGGAAGGTTCCTGGGGGCACATAGATAGCTAGCTAGGGTGAATTCATGCTGATATCGAGGTGCAAAAGTAGAAAAAAGATCAGCTACAGAGAAGTCACTCTCAAGAAGACAAAGACCTAACGTCCCAAACCTTCATTGCCATTTGCCAAAACCAAGAAATATTCAGCAGTTACTAGTCCATGTCATCGATACCTCCCCTCTTCCTCTTCCTCTTCCTCTGCTGCTAACTATATACTTGCATATAAATCTTTCATTAATTATACGCTATATATAAACTGAAAACAACTGAAAAGAATGAATATTGAATGAAGAGTAGTCTTTTCGATCTGCCATGCATCTTTTGCTTTTTCTCTGCCTGCAACTGCATACCATGTTGTCTTTGGTACTGTTTGCGATGGGTGAAGACATTCCTATATGCAGGCGAATGCGACAAATGTGCAAAGATCCCTGTAATCCCCTACTATTACCTAGCCTACCATTCCCTCTCTCTTGTCTTGTTGGATTTTCTGTCATTTTTTTTCTGCCGTTTACTGTGTCTAACACTCCATGTAAGTAGTAGTAATAAATTTTTGCCAAAGAATAGAATTCAAAGCCCGTGAGTGGTGAGTGATTCTTCTGTCTGTGACATTAATTGGCTTAATTCGGTTTCAATGCAACGAACTTGGGCACGCCATGCCAGGCTTGTATGCATGCTGTACATAAGGTAGAAAAAAAAATCAAAAATTTGATTTGAAATTATAATATTGAATTTGATTCATATTCATTTTTCTTATTTTGTTTAAATTAAATTTAAATATTAAATATATATATTAGATTTAGATTAAATTTTGAATGGAAAAATAAAAAAAAAATTGAATCAAATTGAATTAAATTATATATTTTTTAATTTATATATATTTTCAATTTTTATAAAATTAAAAAATAATTTTATATTAAAATAATATATAAAAATTAAAAATCAATAAATTAAACCAAACAAAACTTATAAAATTTGATTCATTTTAATTCAAATAAAATAAAATTTTATATTCGAATCAAATTTTAAATTTTTATAATATTATATAATATTTAAAAAATTAAATTAAAATCGATTCAAATCGAACCATTATTATTTTTATATGCACGAAAAAATATTATAAGTATTAACATAATTTATTTATTATTAATCTGAAGGAGTACTGAAATTAAGAGGAATTTAGGAATAATTAGATAAAATTAATGTTTGTGTGATCTATATAATTAAAACAACATTAATTGTTTCGCACCGACAGCATTTTTGTTGGATGACAAACAAGATGAGAGATATCTTAGCCTCGGGCCTCAGGCTCTAGCTCAGGTCAAAACACACCTGTCCTTTTAAAAAAAAATTATTTTCTTTAAAGTTTAAACCATTCATCCATAAAATTAAAACGTTTGGTCGCGTCGGATGGGAACATTAACCATTTTGTATTCTGAATGAATTCCGATTGATTTATTTATTCCCTACATTACTCAATTAAAAGATATTGGCATAGTTAGCCAGGAAACTAATAAGAGTGAGTGTCCCAATTCGGCCAAAACAAAAAACACCGTGAAGAGGCAGAGCAGCACAGGGACACAGGCAGGCCTACAAATACAAGGACGTATCGTGAAACTTCGTTCTGCCTGACTCTCCTTTTTCTCTCTCATAATCTGTAAATGTGTTCTGGTTGCACGGTGCATGTGATTGTGAGCATTTTTACTAGTCTATTTGATACAATGACAATTAGAAGAGGAATAGATGATGTAGATTGTAGATGGCGAAAGGGGAAGAAAATTAAATTAATGGACACCATGCCATGGTTGGTACGTGCTGTGAATCATGCTGTCCTATTAATTGCTGAGGGCTGAGGGTCCCCCGTTCTGTCGGTTCCAAATGCTGGCCATGTACATTTTTATTGTTTTTTTTTTCTTGCAATGCGTGCTTTTCTTTTTTTTTTTTATAAAAAATAAGAATGAATTAATTATAAAATAATACGATGTATGATATGTTCAATTTTATTAATAAAGATTAAATTTTTAACAAAAAAATTCATTAAACATCACGTAGTTAGTCTCATAATGATTAGAATTATTACAATAATTGTTATTATCAAATCAGGCAAAAGCGTCAGCACACTTATGTTGAGATTTATCTTGAATCTCAAAATTTTATATCGAAAGTTAAGTGAGTTTAAGTTTGTCTTATATCCCATATCGGGAATTTAGTAAAAGTATAAGGGGTTTCATATTTATAAATATTATATTTTGTTTTTTAGTTTGGTAATCATATAGAGTTAGACACCAAGAAATAACTAAGTGAGTAGGCTATTAAATGGTGTAATTAGATTTTTGGTTAAGTTTTGAGTAAGGAGTTTATGAGACTTTTCTCATTCTAAAAGTTAAAGATTTATTTGTTAGTGGATTGTGTTTAGAGTAAGCTATTTTGAGTTGGGTCAAACCAAATATATTTGTATGTGTGCGTGGGTGTTATTTTTCCCAACAACCTATTCTGAGCAAGGTTCGATGTTTAAGGTTTGTAGGCCAATATTTGAAGATGTTTGAAAAAGGTATGTCCGGTATTCCTATGCCTAAGTTTGAGATTCCGTTATTTGATGAAAAGAGTAATTTTATGTTATGATAAAGTACGATTCAAGATCTGTTAGTACAACAAGGGTTGGATCAGGGATTAGAGATTAGTAAGCCTGAAGGAACAAAGGTTGGATCAGGCATTAGAGAGTAGTAAGCTTGAGGAAATGTCTGATGCTAATTGGAATAAGATTCAGAAGAAGGCTATTAGTACTATTAGAAAAAGGTATGTCCGGTATGCCTATGCCTAAGTTTGAGATTCCGTTATTTGATGGAAAGAGTAATTTTATGTTATGATAAAGTACGATTCAAGATCTGTTAGTACAACAAGGGTTGGATCAGGGATTAGAGATTAGTAAGCCTGAAGGAACAAAGGTTGGATCAGGCATTAGAGAGTAGTAAGCTTGAGGGAATGTCTGATGCTAATTGGAATAAGATTCAGAAGAAGGCTATTAGTACTATTAGATTGGCATTAGCTCTAGAAGTAAAGTATAATGTGTTGACTGAGAGTACTCCGAAAAGTTTATGGGATAAACTTGAAGGTATTTATGCTTCGAAGTCGTTGACTAATAGATTATGTTTGAAAATAGATTTGTATTCTCTGAATATGAAAGAATGTATGAGTCTTCATAATTACTTGAATGAGTTTAATAGATTGGTTTCTCAATTGCTAGCGATTTTTATTGATGAGTTAAAAGATGAAGAGAATGTTTTAATTTTGTTGTCATCTTTGCCCAAGTCTTATAGGCCTTTAGTCAAATTGTGTTGGTGGGTAGGTTTACTTTGAAGTTGGATGATGTGACTGTCTTATTGCGTGAGAATGAAATAATTATAGGAGCTCAAAGCTCATCACCTAGGACGAGTACACTAGCTGTAGAGGGTTTTGATCGAGGGAGGACTCAAAAGAAGATTGATGGATCAAAAGGGAGATTCAAGTCAAGAGACAAAGATTACAGTAATACAGAATATTATTATTGTGGTGAGAAAAGACATATCCAAGTACGCTGCAGGAAGCTGAGAAGGGATATGGCTATTTTCAAAAGGGCGAATGATGCGACGAAATCAGATGAAAAAAAGAGTGATACTACTGCTGTCGTGTCTGATGATGATGATGTTGTTTTGACAACTTGTGTGGATGAGACTCAGACTTTGAAAAATGATAAAAGTTGAGTTTTAGATTCAGCTGCTACAGTTCATGTTTGCAATTATAGGAGTTGTTTTGTGGAGTTAGATGAGAATGAAAAGTATGAAGATATTATGGTTGCTAACAAAGAAAATGTGCAGATTCAAGGCATTGAAAGTGTTCGCCTTAGATCTCACAATGGTGTTATTAAGACACTTCGTCATGTAAGGTATGTACCAAATTGTCACTATAATTTGATTGCTTTGGGTGAGTTAGTTTTTCGGGGTACACATTATGATAGTAATGAGTGGTTGAAAGTGTACAAAAATGGTAGTGTGATTCTACAAGAGAATAAGGTCAATAATCATTTGTACATGTTTGATGGAGGCTCAATTGCTGAAATGCTTGTGATAAACGAAAAAAAGAAAAGTAAGCGTGTTAGCTTTGCAGATACTGTTGAAGTGTTTGGAGATTTAAGTCAAGGGAGGATTTGTTGGGATTTGCCTTGAATCTCAGAATTTCATATCGAAAGTTAAGTGAGTTTGAGTTTGTCTTGTATCTCATATCGAGAGTTTAGTAAATGTATAAGGGGTTTTATATTTATAAATATGATATTTTGTTTTTTAGTTTGTTAATCCCAGAGAGTTAGACACCAAGAAAATAGCTAAGTGAATAGGCTATTAAAGGGTTTAACAATTGTAAAGATTTATTTGTTAGTGGATTGTGTTTGGAGTAAGCCATTTTGAGTTGGACTAAATCAAATATATTTGTATGTTCTTATTCTTGATTTCAGCTTACTATTTTGTGTGGTTATGCCCGTGGGTATTATTTTTCCCAACAACCTATTCTCTTTCTTAAACACGTAAAGCATGCATTGATTTTTAATATCTTCCATCAATTTTTTGTAATCAGAGATCAGAGAGAATACCATAAGATTAGTTACCTGGTGATTTTTAATCATAGAAATAACAATTATGACATCGAGTTCAATTTTTAACTTGCGAACATTGAATTTTTTTGTAAAAATTAATCTATTTTTGAGAGCCTATAATTCAATCAAAATATTTGAACATATCCCAATATATCTAGTGGAACAAAAAATCTAATTTTTTTTACTATCTTGAATAATAGCTCCAACTCTTACTTTTTTAAAATTACTAAATATCAAATTATCTGTGTTTTATTTTTATCATCTTTTATTAGAAGTGTTTCACTTAATGAACACAAAGGATTGCAAGGGAGCCTAAACTCTTCTCTAATTTAACGTAAAAAATCCAGTAGCCTTCGTCAATTTCACCAAATTAATGATTTCACAATTTTATCTAAATTTTTTTTATTTCTTTCAAACTAAATCTCTTATAAAATATGAATAAATAACAAGTACTAAAAAATATTATGTATGGATCGATGCTTGTTTAAAGCATTTTCTTTGATTCATTGTCTACGGTCCAAGATTCGATGGTATAGAGCCTATCTTTATGCCTGCAAATTGCAAGGGTGAAATAGCATAGCATATCTTCTTCCTCTTCTTCTTAATATTTGACAATTGTGTCTTGTTGTGCATCAATTATAGTGTAAGTCTCTCTAGTGCTACTCTAGTCTCTGGGCGAGCAGTGATGTTTGTGAATATATTTTATTTTTATTTATTTATTAAATTTAATAAATAATTTTAAATAATATTTTTATATTCATTTATTAAACAAACTAAACATTAATACAAGATTATTTGATGAATATAAATAAACTCGTTTAAAGTTTATTTTAAATTTATTCATTTATTATTTATTTGTTATTCGATTACTATTCGTTTATAATAATATTAATAAAATTATTTTTTTATTTTTTATTTAATCTTATTTTGAGATTCATTTATATTTATTTATAGTTTATTTTTGTTCATTTAAGATTTGTGTGTTTAAATTTATTTGGTTATAATTTTTTTATTATTTATGAATATATTCATTTATATATATTCGTAAATATATTAATTTAATATTTACGAATGAACTTGTTTAATTTAATTAAATAAATAAAAATCAAACGCGAATAATTTATTATTTAAACGAACGAATATGAATAAATAAAATAATTTTTTTAATAAATACAAATCGAATACGAATATTTTTAAAAATAAACGAACCAACCACAAATAAAAATTAATTAATTCATATTCAATTTATTTACAACCCTACATATTTCATATGTCTCTTATATACGTGTGTGTATATATATATATAAATGTAGGGGTTTAATCTCATTTGGGACGATTTTAAATAGTGTAACATCCGTCGATATGCATCCAAAGATTTTATTCCCGTAATCCTTTCTTCCTTCTTTCCTTACATTTTCCTTCGACGGTTTGTTGCCCGTGAGTTTCACAAGATTAAGGAGTTAAGGACTGAGGAGGTAACCAATACCAAGCCCCAACCCACCAACCTGATGGGCCCCAGCTTCAAGTTCATACTACTCCATGAACCCAACCCTCACTTTCCTCTTACTCCTCCACCTTAAATTCAAGTCGGCTAGAGCTTCGTGTTCTTGCGACAAGTTACACCAACAAAGCTAACCATTGGACCTTAATTAGAAAATTAATCCCAACTCTTAAGTAACCGTTTGGATCCCACCGTAGCAGAAATGCAGTGCAATTAAACTCACCATCTCTCTAATTAAATCCAAACATCAACTCCAATGAAATTAAATCAACATAAAATTTTTATTAATTTTTTTTTCAATTATAGCTATAATAACTTTTTTTTTCAATTACAGTTATAATAAATTTTATTATCGTTTTTAATCTCACCATAATCAATTTTACCTTTACCGTCCATCCAAATGAAATCTAAACCTGCCTGTACCCGCTTAGAAGTCCGCAGGCATGTGATTCCTATCCAGGCTGGGACCAAAGATTCAAACCGCGCCAGCTCAAGCCCATGGTTGGTGATCTTCCAGAACTCCTCAGGAAGACTTTTTTTTCCCTTCTGCTTCGACACTTTTACTGTTTCAACTCTCCTTCATTTTCAAAATAGCTAATATTACTTAATCCACAATGACATCTCATCTGTAAATTATGAATCCCCAATCACGTAGGTGAATGCAACCAATTACTGATGTGCAGTAAAAAATAAATGCTTCGACGGAAAACAAGTAACTGATGTAACAGGTACTATCCCTGGGGCGGAAGGACTGGACTTAAGATGGTTTTGAGTCACAAGAATCTACCCTTGCCGGTCTAGACCATAAATTCAATTGCCAATCTAGCATCAATATTGTTTCACCAAACTATATAACCAGCTATTAGAGGACCTGTTTCAGCTTATAAATTAAGAGCAATAACTCTTCCAAATCCACATAAACAACAAAACTTATCAAATATGTTTTTATAATAACCAGACAAAGTTATTTCTATTATTTACTGGTAATAGGGATCAAACATGACATACTGGCAGACCCTTAATTCATTGCAAATTTCTGGGTCCATGAGCGGGCAGTGCTCTCATATTTGGCCCTATCAGTCTTGTACATGTGAGCAATCTCAGGCACCAGAGGGTCATCAGGGTTTGGATCTGTAAGAAGCGAGCATATTGACAGAAGAACCTACATAACAGACAGTTACAGCTTATTAAAATGTTTCAACGCACAAGAATCACAAAGGAATGAATGAAAAATATAACAATATATATGGCTGTTAGGATTGGAATAATGTTCATGATGAAAGTGCTGTCTGTTTATGATTCACACAGATTTCACGACAGGCACTACATTAAGTGTATTACCTTGGAGATGGTAAGGGCAGGGCTCCACTGCTCCTTGAGAATGTCAAGGCAGATGCTTCCGTTGCTGTTGATGTTAGGATGGAAAACCTTTGTTCTGAAGGAAACCTTTATAGGGGCAATTAAGACAATCAGGTAAAATAGAACCACCTACTTTTTCCACCTTAGTAGAATCTAAGCTCTTTAGAGGTCATACAATGATTTAAAAAATATAAAACTCATGCAACTTCAGAAAACAAAGTCAGCCAGAAATAGCAGGTAATAAACTTTCTTTTAAGTAACAAAAGCACAGGCACATAGATGACATAAACAAGTTCACCAATGTAAACAAAAAGCATGCTAATACATGTTTAAGACATTCATTTAAATTCTTGGTGGACCAATTTTACAGAAACAAAAACCAAATGTGGGTCAAAATATGGACACCATTATAAGATCCATTTTTTAGTGTACTAATTAGTTGCCTAATACTCCAAGCATTACTCTTTTTTCCCTATATTCTCGGTTTGTTAAAGCTGCTAACTCATAAATGGTTTAAATCTCTCTGATATGATTCTAACACAGTATTTAGCATTAGGGTTTAGGATTTAGGGTTTAAACTAACAACCACCAGCCATCCACACCAAAATTATGATAATGTTTCAATCATATATACCATAAAACTGATTTGATTAACAAGAGAAGAAGAGAAAAATCTCCCAGTATTCAATGACATGTGCACATGTGCACGAGAAATTTCTTGATAGGCAGTCAAGCAGACGCATACATAGTTGGATGAAATAACTTCCCTTTTTTTTTTTTGTTACCTTGGGTGGCTTGAACGGATAGTCAGGGGGGAAGTGAATGGCAACAAGAAAGACTCCTCCAGCAAAAGGACTGTCTGCTGGGCCCATGATTGTTGCTTGCCAGTGGAACATGTCATCGGCAACAGGGCCTGTACAAATGCAGCATTATTTTTTAAAAAAATTATCAAATTAATTATCATAAAAATGTACAATCAGACCGCTTTTGCTCTAGATAGCGGCCATTGTCAGGATATATTAATCAAAACCCCATCTGTATCTAAACACAATAACCAGTTGCCCCCTTCATGAATAAAACAGATTACTGCTGACAGCTTGTAGTATTATTATTTGCAACTTTAGACTTACATCCCCTATCTTGGCTTAACAACGATTTTCAATTCAACAATGAAGAATAAAATATAATGGGTGAAGCAATAAATAACAATGAATCACTGGGTTTCATTGATTCCACCAAATTCATCATTGACTGAAAAGAAACCAAATTGAATGAGTAGAGAAAACAAGGAAACCAACCGGCACTGCATGATGCAGGAGGGTCCTTCTGCAGATCCTTCAACTCCTTGTTAATCCGCTTTGAAGCCATTCAAAAACACCCTCAAGTCTCAAACAAACAATAGGATGAGAAACTGCAGCAAAATCAATTTGAAAGTAATTAAAAAAATGTAAAAAATCTAAATCTAAATTAAGAGTAACAGAAAATTCCTTTTTATTAAGACATTATTTTAATAGTCAACCAAGTCAACAAGAACTATTACAAAAATTTCAATTTTATATATAAAAGGAAAACTCAAAGGGCGAAAGCAAAGGGCTGAGCAAGGGCACACATATTTTTGAAATATAAAAAATTGATAAAACAAGAGATTAAATTAATATATATATATATCTATATATTTGTTAATTGTTAAACATAAAAACAAAAGAGAGACGTAAACTTCGATCCATCACCATTCACTAATAACATAATCAGATTAAAGTTATTGGGAATAAAAAATTATACAAATACTAGTAAATCAAAACGTCGAAACAAATATAAAAGGAAAAATCTGACATAAAAAAAGGAATCAAATTTGTTAATTGCTGTGAAAAATGCATCGGAGAAAGAGTTATCGATGAAAAAGAAAAAAGGGCGAGAAGAGACGTACCGTAGACGTTGGGGTTTGGCAATCGGGAATGAGTCGATTAGGCTATGGAGAGAAAAAAAAAAAATTATTAGTGAACAAAGTTGGGGCTTTAGATTTGGCATTCTAATGTATTTGTACAAACAGTCGTTGGTGGAGGTGATTCTCTGCCACGCGGCCTTTTTACAGGGCGCCTTCTCATTGGCTCATCCTTTTCTTTCCAAGTTTCATTTAGATTTTTTATTAATTAAAAATAATCAATTCCAAATCAAATATTAACTGAAAAATACCTTTATATAAAAACATTAAAAGGCATATATATTTCCAACCAAGTAAAGTACATTAATATCTCTGGCAAAAAAAAGGTCCATTAATATCTTAATTACCATGTGAAGTCTTTTTTTTTTTCCTAATCAACGATGGTGTGCTTTCTTTTTTTTAAGACTAGGGATATATATATATATATATATATTGATTAAAACGTGTTTATATTAGAATTTTTTTAAGTTAAAATTATAATAAATTATTATTAAATAATAATCAATAAATAATTGACTAACAAATTAAAATATAAAAATAAATAATTAAAATTAAAAAAAAATACAAAAACCGATTAACTCCTCTACGGAGAATGTGAAGAATTAAGAGTACAACGTAAAATTGTCAAGAGTCAAGCAATGACTAGATGCACGAGTCATGAAGTGGTCCCGACTTGTTTCGACTTTTCAATATGAATATCATACGATAGAAGTTTAAATCTTCATTGTAAACAAAATAGTATGAAATAAGATGAAGGAGAGATTGTATCACAATCATGCTTCTTAACCATTAATACTATGCAAGTTTGTCTTGAGTACAGACAACCAGATAGGATTTTCAAATGCAACACCATTCCTTTAATTGAACCCAAATTTCAGTCTCAAATAACAATTAATATACCCAAACACTCATCTTTCAAAGAGTAAAAGCAGCAGCCAAGCAATTGCAAAGGCACACATCACCCCCATTTACTTACAAACAAAGAATGCCTTTAATAACATAACATATGCTACAATTCATACTATTATTATAATATAATACTTTAGTAATACCATCTTAAAACTCCCAACTACAATTTCATAGAGATACAAAAAACCACCTTCTCTATCCCACCAACCATCCCTTAACTAACTTCCCCTCCCATCAAAACTCTCATTATAGTCCTCTCTCTCTCTCTCTCTATATATATATATATATATATATATTATTGACCTAGTAACCAAACTTATCCTCACACCAATTCCGTCACTGTTCCATTCCCTCACCATCTAATCCTACCATTCAACCTCTTCCAAACACAAAGATAAACACACTTCATACAGAAACAACTTAGAAGAACTAAACCGGCAAACAACTCTGCCAGTGCCCCGACTGCAGTTGGAAGGCATTCGCTCACACAGCAACACCAGCAATGTCAGGTGAACTGCTGCTTATGGCAGACACTAAGACACAAAAACCCCACATGGAGGGATCTTTTACCCCCTAGTCTTTGCTCGCTTCATTCCAAGGCTGTTCTGGAAGGGGGATACAGAACCTGACACGGAAGAACCTTCCTCACGAAGTGTACCATTCAGCATTGCCAGCTCTCGCAGCTGTTGTTTCTTATAGAAATCCTGGGATTCATCCTATTTTTCCAAAAAAATGAAAAAAAAAAAAATTTGATGATACCTGATAAACACATAATATAATTATCACATGAGAAGGAAATTTTACTCACAATAGGCTTGAGCAAATCTTCAAGTATCTCACGTGCTTGCATTAGGCGAGCATCAACTATTTCAACAGGTAATTCTGCCTCAACCAGGATATGAAGAGGTTCATTCAGATGTTCATAGCCAGGTTTTCCTCTCATCATTTCTTCCTTGAAAATTTTAAAAGACAACATTACTACATTTATATCCACATAAAGAGCAACAGAGAATTTAGTAATCACCAAAAAATTACAGAAAATTCAAGATCAGGTAGGCCGCTTCTTTAGAATTAAACCTGACCTAATTCATTGAAGCTAACCATATCGGGAACTCCTAAAAAGTTTAGGGCTGCATTTTTCATAGGTTTCACTTTCATCAAAATTTTTTGACTATGATAACGGATTTTCCAAACTGGTTTAATGAGCAATAACTAATTACAAACATGCAAAGAAAAAGACTCATTACCCTAGCTGGATCCTTAATACTGCCCCGCCCTCTTATCAGGACACGGCACTCTGTATTTGCTTCCACACGCTTAAGAGAGTTGCCCCTAGGACCAAGGAGGCGGCCAACAAAATTATACTGCAACATTAAATTATCTTAGATGCTGAAAAAGAAATTTTCTAAAATCACTGTTAGGACAGGAGTTCATTCGTACATTAGGATAATTCTCAACAGGAATATCCACTCTGATTGTTCTCTTGACAATAAGACCAGAGGAGCTACCTTGAGAACTCAGCCAGTTCTGTGCCGAAGAGGACTGTAGAAAACCTGACATCTGCACCATAGCATTCCAGGTTTTGTTTAAAAAAAAAAAAAACCCATAGCAACAGATTAATGCAAATGTCTTCCATCATATCGCACAGATAAGATAACAGAACAAAAGACCCATTCTTTTGACAACAACCAAGCATTCCCCAAAGACATTTCAAGACAAGTGCCTTGAACAGATCAAAAGATTCGTTCTGACAGAGAAGATCCATAGAAGAGTAAACAGAAATTCAAGCACTAACAAGCCCCAAAACATTACTATATGATTGTCCAGATTAATCTGGCCACTCCTAACACACTCAACCATCAAGTTATTGGGATCAGAAGAGACTATATAAGCAGCTTCTATGACATAATGGTAAGCTAGTATTTCCACAAATAAAAAGAAGGAAACTGGAATCATGAAAAGAACTTTCAACGGGGAGGGACATAAAAGGTTTAGTTATTGAAGTCAGCACTAAAGTACGCAGTTCAGAGAATAGCCCTCTTATCAGAACTCCTAATATGCAATGCCTCACACTTGATCAACATTTCAGGCTTCCATCCTAACAGAAACCACAGTTTAACACCAATATAAGATTATGGCAAACTGTCATCCCCTGAATAACTGATTTTATCTTGACAATAATAAAGACCAGAGAAAACACTGAATTATATTATTAGAAGCAACAGTCCAAATCCTTCCAAAAAATAAAAGAAGCAACAGTCCAAAGCATTTTCTAAGCTAAAACTATTTTTCAGGACTTCTTATATTAGCCTTAGCCTGCCTGTCATAAGAGAAACGATAATACAAGCTACAAGTCAAATAAAAGTTAGATTAGCATGAAATGTAGTAAAATACTAAGTCAGCAGTACCTCTAAAAGCAGTAAAACTAGATGGTAAAGGTTATGTTAATAGTTAGTATCCATACTTCTGATTGAAACCGTGATGCCCATCCATTCATATCAGCTCCTCCATTTGAAAACATTCCTCCAGAAGCCAGGGGGCTAGCTTGTTCAAGACCACTTTGACCTAAAACTGATGCATTCCCCAACAGTGTAGTTACACACAAAATTTCTGCTTCAAAAATGTCATTTTCAAGAATAAGATGTACCAGTTAGCATTTGTTAAGAAATCAGTTAGCAGTCATCACAAAGTGGAGAGACTACACGATTGTTAATTTAGTCAGTTATATCAACTCTTCCTTAATAAAATAAACTACTCTTCCAGTTGAATGCAACCTGGAAAGAAATGAAAAGAAAGATGTAATAAAATTCTATTTTGGTTTATTTACATATCAATAACAAACATTCTTACATAAATTATAACACAATTATTTGACTGACTAATCTTGCACAACCATGGATGCATCAAATCAACTGTTAGAATCTGAAATCATATGCGTGAAGAGAAAAAAAATCACAGGAAGCATGAAAATAATTACTATTTAATTGCACTGCCACCAAAACTTAGCACATTGTTGCATAACAGTTTTGTACAATGAACTGATGAAAGAGAAAACAAAAAACCACCTCTTTTGGCTAGAAGTTGGCAAATAAGATCTCTCACAAGTCACAACTAACCTGAAAGAACTAAATCTTACAGGCAAGTCCACCAAGATTTCTCAATTCTTTGGGAGACCTTGGGATCTGTGATATAATGGTGCTAAAATGGACTATTAATGCTGTTATTTCAGTAAATTTAAAATATCTTTAGTCCTCTCGCATTTGGAAGTTTAGAAACATACCAACCTTGACACATTACAAATTATGTTTAAACCCACCACAGGCTGCTCCCCAAGATGAATACCTGTGGACCAACTAGCTTTCCTCTTTAACTCTTTCTTCATATCTATACCTTCCTTCATCACTGTTAGTGAGATTCAGAAACCTCTTTTTTCTGCCTCTTAATTCTTTCTTCTTTATCCTTCCCTTCCATTGCTTCCTTAGGTATATCTATCTATCCAGTGTGACATAGAAGAGCTATCAAGGTTCATTTAAAATGTACGATTCATCCTGTGGATTTTTGGAACTAATTTAGAACCATAGTTTCTGCTGTATCATTATTGCTCTACCAAAAAAGTTTTGAAAATGTGAGCAAGCCTTCCATTGAGGACTTTAAATTGCAGGCAGTCCAGCCTCAATCATGATTCCAGTGAGTCTTAGTAATTGCAAGTTCTAACCATAAAATATATTGACACAAGACTAATGTTTCCATTCACAAGATTTAGTAAACGGATTAGCTCTAGCTATGAAGCTTTTGACAGGAAATTTAGTAATAAAGTTAGTATTAGTGGGCTGATCCCTAATTAGCATTTCTAGTCAGTTACTTTTCAAGTTAACATTTAGCTTCAAGTTGTTGTGCTAATGACAATAAAGAGGGAGGGAGATATTGTTCAGCATGATCATTTGACAAGAAAGAAGATTGTTGCTTTGAAAAACTCACCCTGGTTCAACAACCTATAGGTATGAGGGAGCACTGGCATAAATGGACTAAGCTTGTGACGCTCTGCCAGTAACGCCGAGAGATATCTGCAAAAAGGAAAATGGAAACCATCAGCCAATTGTGGATCAACACATTTAAACAAAAGAAACATCTTCAACTACTGTGGAACGAGATGTTAAAGTTCAGCGGAAACAGAGTCACTAATGAGAGGTACCCACAATCCCTAGTTATTTAGCTTCGATTTAATACAACTAATTCGAGATCACTACTTAAACCTATGAAAGCTTCAACGACTCGTAAATCTGAACTGATCTGTGAGTATAATCATAACATCATCAGAAATTCAGAACGAAAAGCATAATCAGCTCAATAACGAATCGATCGAGCTCTAGATCGTGGAAATTGCAACAGAGTGAACTAAGAAAACAAGTTTAACACTAAGCAAAGCAATTATAAGCGAAAGAGAAAGATTAGTACAGGAACTGCAAAGAAGAAAGAGATAAGGAATATCCAGCAGGATGGAAAGGGAAAGACGAGTGTAAAACCGAAGATCGCAAGGTGTTTGATTAAAATGAACGTAACAAGGGTGAAAAAGAAGAGCATACTTGTCTTGGTCGAGAAAGGCGGCGGCGGAGCGGAGGCCAGAGAGGTGGGGAGATTGAGGGGCGGAAGGCGAGGGAGAGTAGGCCATATATTTGCCTCCGCCAACGCCCGATGAAGTCATGAGTAGTAGAGAAGGGTGCGCTCAGGAAGCGTTGGTGGTTATTGTATATATTATTTTTCTTTCGTTCTGTCTTTATTTTTTATTATTTTTTTGTATGTAAAGAAAAAGTACAACCGGTAATCATATAATGATACATGAAATACATTGAGATCAATTAATAAAATAATTAATTACTGAATGGTGAATTAAAAAAAAAAAAAGGTAAAAATAAAAAATTTATTAATTCAATAATTAAATTATAAAATAAAAAATTTATTATAAAAATTTTAATATTAAATTAACAAGCTTTTACAAGCAAAGCCTCAAGTGGTAACATCATATCTATAGAAAAAAGAGGGATTCTGCTACAAGAAGAAGACATTGAGAGATGGAGGAGAAAATACCCATGAAGAATCTGCATAGCAGAGAGTATCAAGGTCACAAGAAGAAGGTATCTTTTTTTTTTTCTTTTCCTCTCCCTCTCATGATACTATATTTTTGTTATCATAGTGAAGTGAATTGATTTTTTGTTTCAAAGGTGCATTCGGTGGCGTGGAATTGCACAGGCACCAAGCTTGCTTCCGGTTCTGTCGATCAAACCGCTCGAGTTTGGCATATTGAGCCTCACGGTCATGTAAGCCCCTTTCCTTTTTCCTAATTTTCTGGATGAAACCCCTTTCTCTCTACGTTTCTCCCCTGGGTAGTTTTTCATTTCTCTAGGAAAGAAAGAAATCTTTGGGTGAATTGCATGAGCCCATTTACCATAACTCTAATCTACAGCACTTTTCTTTGCGTATGTTAAGTAATGGTTTGAATTGGGAGTGGATTCGATTCGAGGTTAGGCTTCGTTCTGATGGGTATCTTTTTTCTATTTTTTTTTTTAATTTCTCTTAGGATACACTAATATGGGCATCTTAAATGTCTCAATTTTATTGCATCTTCACCAAAGGCACGTTTGCTTTCACAAAATTTATCTGAAATCAATTTGGATTGTTTACCTTATATTGGGATGTTTCTGATTGTTGTTTGCAGTAACTTCACGTTTTTTTTATTCACTAACCTTAATAATGCAATTAATATCTTGGATGTTAGAATTTGTTATTGTTATTTTGTGGTGTCTGGTGCAGGGTAAGGCTAAAGATATTGAATTGAAGGGTCACACTGATAGTGTGGATCAACTATGTTGGGACCCTAAACATGCTGATCTCATAGCAACTGCATCTGGCGATAAAACTGTTTGTTTGTGGGATGCTCGCAGTAAGTGAATGCTCTTTTGCATTATTGTTTAGAAGACTGAAGAGCAAAGTTAAAGACAACTATAGTTTACACAGCTCAGCTGCAATTCTTATATTGAAATATTAAGAACACTTCATTGATTCTGAATGAAAGCTGCTTAGTGGAGGCTAGCTAAATAAATATTTATGATATCACTTAGTTGCTTAGCTGTTTACCTTGCTTCGGGTTTTGAAGGTGGAAAGTGCTCTCAGCAAGCAGAACTTAGTGGGGAGAATATAAACATCACCTATAAACCTGATGGGACACACATAGCTGTTGGTAATAGGGTATGTCCTACCGTCTTATCACTTATCTCACTTGGAGCACTTTAGCACATCTGTGACCTGGAACTTTTTACGTGTATTTGATTCTGAGTAGCAATAGAGCACTTTCTGTTGCATTGTTTCATCATGTTAATAAATTATTTTTATCATTGATCTTACTCTCTGTAATTTTACCATAGGATGATGAATTAACAATACTGGATGTTCGAAAATTTAAGCCAATTCATAGACGCAAGTTCAATTATGAGGTATTGTTGAGTTTAACTTTTTGGACCTAATAGCTGCCTTGCAAATTCAGTGGTTGAGTCATACACTTCTTTTTCCAGGTAAATGAAATTGCTTGGAACATGACAGGAGAAATGTTCTTTTTGACAACTGGAAATGGTTAGAACAATTTCTGAGTTAGCAATTATGCTTCTCTCTTTGATTCAAAAATTGTTTATTATTACTCCTTAAATTATATGATGTTTATGTTCTATATGTTGATTGTTCTTCTCAGGTACTGTTGAAGTACTTGCATACCCATTACTTAGACCAGTTGACACCCTCATGGCTCACACAGCTGGATGCTACTGCATTGCAATTGACCCAACAGGAAGGTTTGGTTTCAATCTTCTTGGTTTCTAAGCTTGTTTCATCTTTGACATTGTTGATTGCCCACCCTCATATCCATATGCATGTATCATGTAAGGGCAACTCTGGGTCTATGTACTAGAATTTATCTCTTTGATATTTATATATTTGTCACAACTTTCATACATTTAAGGTCATATTTTTGTTCTTTTAATGTGAGGTATTTGTGTTCGATGAGATTTCTTTTCACGGAGAGGATAAATGTTTCCAATAAATCCATTACTCATTTGTGGTAGATATTTTGCTGTTGGAAGTGCTGATTCCTTGGTCAGCCTTTGGGATATATCAGATATGCTTTGCGTGCGAACATTTACAAAGCTTGAGTAAGTTTTACCTGAATTCATAATTTCATAGTGTAATTCCTTGATCTGACATATCTGTACTTTTATGTATTTGAGGTTGAGACTTTAATCATATTTGTCATTTGCATGAAATGACCATTTGTGTTCCATAAGGTGGCCTGTCCGCACAATAAGCTTCAATTACACGGGAGACTATATTGCTTCTGCCAGTGAAGACCTATTTATTGATATAGTATGTATTGGTTGCTTTTCTTCTTTTGTGTAGGATGCATGTTTCTGTATTGTATTCATGTTTCTGCTGTTGTCTGAAACAGTCTAACGTTCACACTGGACGAACTGTGCATCAAATTCCTTGTCGAGCTGCCATGAATAGTGTGGAATGGAATCCAAAATACAATTTACTTGCTTATGCTGGAGATGACAAGAACAAATATTCAGCTGATGAAGGTGTATTTCGGATATTTGGCTTCGAAAGCAGTTAATGAAGCAGTTCTAGTTCTAGTTGGGTATTCATTTTCTCTGCAAAACCAACTGTTCTAAACTTATGCATTTGTGAATTTAGGTTGTAACACTTGATTATGGTTTTATACATTTATTCACTGAACGAATTTGAATTTCCATATTGTTTCTTTTCGTATTGCACATGGTCAATGCATTAATTAAAAGGGGGAATTACAAAAAAGGGGTGGTATAATACATATTTATTGGTTGCCAAAGAACAAATTGTGCAGAGAAATGATATAAAGACAAATATGGAACTTGGAAGGGATGGGATGGAAATGCACTACAATTTGATGAAAATTGAAAACTGATTTTTTTTTTTTTAAGTTTGACTTGAATAGAATAACTTCTTGTACTGCTAAAATTGAGCACACTAGTTGTATTGACAACAACAAAGATCTCAAAATCATCTTAGGAAATATGATACAAGATCTCAGACAGACGGTATAGAATGTTACAACATCTTCTAAATGGGAGGAATCGCATTTCAACGTATGTATCTTCTCAGATTCAATTGCGCCGCTACAAGCACTCAATAAAACCCGTCCTGGAACAACTCGTGTGTTTATCTGCTACTAGTAATGGAGTTCATAGCTCCAAAAGCTTGTCTAGTCATTATCGGACCAAGATGCTTCTTCATCCCCAACGAAAGCGTCTAATGGGATTCGGCTGTGAGCATCTATCCATATCGTAATTCTCCAATGAAAGCCAAGATAGTTCGTTCTCCAATAAAGAACTGAGTTGGAATCAGAACCCATCAAAGCCTCCATTTGGTATTGAAATTTCTGTCATGGATTGGCGGTGCAATTTACCTTAACTCATATTGATCAATCATAGATTATTGATGATTCTTCTCTGTTGCAATCTTAAACTAAACAACCTGCAAAGGTCGTTCCCGTTAAAATGTAGTAGAAATTATCAGAAGTTAACACAAGAATCAATTGACATTTTTGTTTTATACTTGATTTGAATGATTGAATCTAAACGGTAAAGTATGCTCACATTACCTTCAATTTCCAAGTGTATCTTGTGAAGGTGGACCCTTTGCCATGATATATATTAAAATCCACAGAAAATGAACTTGCAGGCTGGGCAAACCAAACCTGAGAAGCAAACAAGACAGATAGTAATCAGGTAGTGAGAGCACCATGTTAGAGGTTTCCATTTCATTTCAACGCTGGAGCTCTTCATCCTCCTCCCAATGTGAGGTTCCTTGGACAAATCAAAGCTTGCCCCTTTCATCCTCAGTTCTTGAATGCATCTTGTAAGTGCCCGCTTATCATTTCTCTCTCTCTCTGCAACTGCCTCCAAACTTTCTGGTACCAGCGAAGCTTAAGCTGAACCAGAAACACTAACACAAGCGAAGTTGAGACTGAAACAATGGATGGCACCCACCATTTCTTGCAAGTGTAGTGCTTAACAGAAGATGAAAACAAGATGTTGAAGAAAAACCCATTAAAGATAAAAAAGAAACAACACAATTGAAAGATCTCTTTATTGATACGGTCCATTCTAGATTCTTTAAGAGCAATTCTGATTCCAATAAGATGTTCCTCTCTTTGCCACAGCTTGAGAAGCAAAAGATGGCCTGGACTCTTGAGATATCTCCATGGGTGGATGGTTTTGGATTGCTGTGATAGTTTTGAAAACACATGAGAGCTTCTGCTGATGCTGTTCATCTACTGGGTTTTCTACAATATGGTCAGCTTTCATTTCAGCCATGACTGAAAAATAAACAGTGCGGCAGGAAACAAGAAAATGATTGTATTAACAAGTTGAAAACAGGAGAGATTAGAATACCTTGGTGGGAAATGAAGGCAGAGAGGTTCAGAAATATAAATTGGATTGCAAAAAACGCCTGCCTGAGATTGCTAACGGTAATAATTGACATTCCAACGGTCAGATATTGCTTCCAAAATTCACAAGAGATCTCATATTGAACGGCAACTTTTGTTCTGTTTGGGCTTCCACATCCACTTGAAAGAAAATTAACCCTCTTAACTTTCAACCCAATGGCTATATATAAATAGTAATTTAAGGATCATTGAGAATTCAGATACGCATCTCTACAATGCATGGCTGCCCCCATCCGTTGCAGAAGAGACCAAGAAGGAGAAGGAATCCTTCTCTTGGGTTGTTTCTTCTGTCAAGGAGCTTTATCGATCCAATGACCTTTATTTAGGTGGAGAATAAGGAACCTAAAACAGGCAGGTTCACCGAGGACGCTCGCTCCTTCTCCACTTAGTGAGTCGATTTTCTTCAAGTCCTATCCCAACTGTTTGCTAGCAGGTATCGAGAATGTCCGTTGCCACTGAGCAGAATAGAGGTGAGAGATGTGTGGTGGACCGTGGCGGAGCCATTGTCGTGGTGATCTCAACCATGAGGTGAGAGAAGGGCTTGTGGGTGACAGGATCAATACCCATGCCTGAAAGCTTCTTCTTCCGCTTGGTGTTCTAGTGATTTTGAACGTCATTGTCAGTGCGGCCAGGTAGCTTAGCTGCAGCCAATGACTAGGTGTAATGTGAATTGGTAGACTGAAATATGAATAAACAGAAAGTCTAATAGGCTTTATCTGGAACAAGGCATTCTAGTAGTTGAGAATGTGCATTATGCAGTGCATCAGAAATAAAAAGGCTAACAATAAGGTTATAGTCTTGGCAACAAACAGGGAAAAAATGAATAGAATAAGCAATGAACGAACTGCCTCACTCTTGTCCTAGCCAATACTTGATTAACTAGAAATAAAGAAAAGGACGTGAGATTTGTTTGGGGTACTTTTTCTAATTTGATGGATGGTTTTACTAAGAAAAGAAATGGTGAGTGGTTTATTATTTATATAAGAATCATTTTTCTTTGTTGCAATATCAATTTGTGTGAAATTTATGTGATTGGCTCAGTGTCTTGTAGAAAATCAAAATTAATTGGAACACCACACCTTACACAATCTGTTTTTCAAATAGGAAGGGAAACAAGGCTTAAAGCTTCCAATATATAAAACGTGGGAATTGGGCAGGTGAAGGTGAGTTTGGGTCCAAATATTAACCTTCTGAGCCATTGCCTGTAGACTCATGCTTGGATCGCGTTGGTTTGGGCCAGTAGTTGTGTCGGTTGTAATTGGCATTTGCTCAAGTTGAATTCAACTTTCAACCAATCCTTAAGTGAGCAAAGGCGCTGATGTTGAAAAGAATTAGAGTTTACATAACCATAAAAATTTTAAGAATCCTCTTTTTATCTACAGTATACACATTCAGTCTTTCTAATTCCCATATTCGCAGATGTTTAGCTCTGCATGAAATGTAGAACAACATAATGAGCAAGACAGTTGTTCAATAATAATATTAACTGAACAAGTATAAGCAGCTGGAAAAACTGGAATCAAATGTATTTACACCAGCATGTGGTTCATAGTTGTTTGGAATCCACCGCATTTTCTCTTTCTAGGTTTGAGATAAGTTCCACCCCTTAATTCAACTGTTTCACTGATCACGTTTGTGGTTGCTTACTTTCATCTGTAACATTGAATCGATTACAGCACGACCTTTACTAAAAAGTCCAAAACAATAACAACCATGAACAAGAAACCAAAAAGAGTGATATGGAAGAACTTACCAGTCGAGGATCGATCTTCATGTACAAAGAAACTCGCAGCCACTATAAGATAGCAAAGAATAAGCATTAATCCTTTGAAGTAGTTAGAAGTTCCTTCCTGCAGACCAAAAAAAAGGAAGTTATATCATTTACTTCCCACAGCCTTCAGCTTAAACTAGTATTCCAAGTCTCTTTTTCTTTTTCTTTTTTTTTTATTCCCATTTTTTAAGATTGCATTCATTCTTGTTACTAACAATACCCATAACTAGAGTATAAAGTATTATTTTCCTAAGTTCTTGACATACCAACCTGCAGAAAAAAGGCTACAACTATAACAGTTATAAACAGAGTTGCTGTCTCAAAAAGCTGGAAGTTTAAGTCCATTTCCTGCCCCATCATCCACCCAATCACCACACAAAAAGGAATCTGCAGATTCAACACGAATACATGCTGAGAAGACCAAGGTAAAAGAAACATCATACTAGCAAATACTAGCATATTAGCCATAAATATACATATATATATATAGTATCATGGCTTAATTTCAACTTCACACTCCGAAAGTTAATCAAAATTCCAGGACTTAAACGCTGTTTATACTTTACAAATCATCAAAACTTGCCATATATGAAGAGTTGAGATTGCTAAATAATTGACGGAGAATGAGCCACCCCTAACTAAAAGAGCACATATATAAGAATGAAATATATATGCTTCATTAATTGGTGCTAAGGCCATCAAAGAATAAAATCAAAAGCAAACTCAACAAATCCTGACATTAGGAAGTATATGACATAATGTAATAACAGAAATACAAAATGGGCACATCCAATTTACAGCATCTACCCCGAACATAGAAATCTGAGTTGATGACCCTATTGCCACTCCCAAGGATATGTCCTGCAAAGAAGTTTGTTAATTAGCAAGACACAAAAAATTTAATGTAATGAAAGTTAAGAGAATCACTTACAAGCTTGTCTTTCATGGCAAACATAATAGCACTTGCATGCTCTGCAGCATTCCCAATAATGGGGAGCAAGATTACACTAATAAACGCAATTGACACATTCCATGCCTCAGATGCCCCCTGAGAGAAAACAATCAGACAAGAGAGAGCAAATACTCTCAAGAATGTAGTTTGAAAAAGCAAATCAATCTCAAAAGCCTGCTAAGTGCTAACTAATTACACCCACTGCTAACAAGAGCAGATGGGACCTCCAACAAACTTACATACAGTTTATGCCAGGGATTCATATTCAGATTGGTTTGACTAGACCCATAAAGTCTGCCCAAAACTAAGGGAAATCCATTCCTTATTCAGAACCAACCTACCAACCTTTTAATCCTAAACATGACACCAATTGATGCTTATCATCAAATCATTATTTTAACGCCAGTGCACAATGTAACATGCACTGATTAATTTGGTATTGGCTCCAGAATTTAAAAGGTTAATTCTTTGACTGACCTATGATCTCAAATAGTTCAACATATACATCTCAATTAACCAAGAAGAGGAAAGATTAAAAACCAAATGTTACCTCTATGGCATCCACCAAATAGTCTGATAGGATAGAGATCCAAGCAGTCATGATTGCAAGCCAAATCACTGATTCCCATTTGGAGATCTCTGGAGCTTCATCATCATCATCATCTGAGTTCTCCCCATTCTGACTTCCTTCCTGATACCACACCATTTGCCACACCACTGAGTATTCTACACAAAATGCTTGGAGACGAGAAAACAATACTTATTATATCCAAAAGATAGTAATAACAATGACAACCAACCTCATCAATAGGGGCATAGAGATCTTTTTGACATTTTAACTGGAAAACAAGATAGGAAGCATAGGCTAGAAGCATAACACAACTGCTAAATCTTGATAGAGCCAACTCTGACTTCCCAGCATGGCGTTCAGTGTGTGTGTAGTGAAGGACTGCTGGAAAGAGTAGGCCCATGACAGCCATTAGCAGCAGTCCAGAATTGACAACAGCTGTGGCCTGAATGTAAGTTTAGTTCAGTTTAGAGCGATCAAATAAAAGTAACAGAAACAAAATCAGACAACACGCTATAATCTTTACCTTGCTAAAAACTTGTTCCTTTCCAGGATATACAAGCCCACCACAGAAAAACGCACATCCAAGAACAAGCAGCATGTTTGACAAAATTGAGCCTAACAACGACAGCTGAACAACACGTATCATTCCACTTTTCAATGCATAAATCGAAATAATTAGTTCTGTTGCATTCCCAAATGTAGCATTTAGAAGACCACCAACTGCAATTCATTTCAACATATTGAAGACCGTTACTGACATGAATCCTATAAATTAAAAAAAAGTTTAAAACAGCATTTTAAAAGGGACCTTGGCAAGCATTTTAAAATCAACAAACTAGTAGCTTAATACATAAAAAAACAAAAAATATCCACAAGAATTAGAATAAAAATATACCTGTAGGTCCAGTGAAAAAAGCCAACTGCCTAAACGCAATGAAATGAAAAGACAATGTTAGGTGCCAATAGAGCAATTGGTAGCATCAGAAGACCAAATTTAATGAAAGAATATGAATCCTTACTCAGTAGCATAACCCAAACGCTCCGCCAAAGGTGTTATACCCAGCAAGCTTAGAAAGAAGACCCATCCCTGCAATACCATCTCAGCAATTCAATAACTTATATCAAAAAAGAAAACCAAGAAAGAAAAAAGCATCAAAACTAAAACTCACGTTATGAGCAGTCATCTTATGAACCAGGATTGCTAGAGGCCCAAAAGCCATGAGCAAGTTGAGTTTATTGGAGAAAACTACGGTCTTTATGCTCTTATAGACACAGTTTCTTATCATTTTACTACCACCAACAGCCAAACTACCAGAGAGTGATACTCGTTCATGTGAATCAGCAGACTGTGTCTTTTGAGCATCCATTTCTGGGGAATAGAGGCATTCGTCATCGAGATCATGCATTGATCTATCATCTAGCGATCCCATCTGCTACAGTAAGCATATTTTCATTAGAAATGCAGACTACAACACACTCAAAATAATTAGCAACTCAAAAAGCACATTCCCTCAACCAAAAGAAGGGTGAAAAAGAAACATGCAACAAATGAATGGAGGAGGGTAAAACATTATCAATGAAGAATAACATACTTCAAGGTGGGATTGGACTCCGACTTGCAGCTTGTAATCCATCTTCATGTATCAAAAGAGCAATAAGTTTTCCACGGCCATTAACATAAAAAGCATCACAAAATCATGCGCTTGGTTTTTAATTCCTCAAGGCCTAAACAACATAAGCACATTTCAAATTTGTGCAAAAAAAAAATAATAATAATAACATCAGCAAGTATGCTTAAAAACCCTGAAATTGTAATAAAGTAATTCCAAATCAAGATCCCATCTTTCAAGTTCATTCCCCTACTATACTTGTCTATCAATTCATATTATAATAAAATCAAACTTAAGATTTTGATTTCCAAGCCTTATTTGCATCTAACTGAAACCGACAGCATCAAATCAACCCCTGAAAATATTAAAGGATTCAATCTCAAACATCAAAAGCATAAAACAAAATAAGGAAGGATGAAGAAAGAAGAAATTTGGTTTATTGTTTTTCTTCAAGTGCATAAATTGAATCAAATATCAATGCTAACGCTTAATAAACGAACCCAAGAACAAAGGAAACAAACAAAAGGTCTCTAATGTCAACAGATCTAAGAAAGAAGTAAATTTTATTGCAAAACCTTTGGAAGACCTGAAATGGGTATGAACCGAAATTTGAAAACCCCAGAAAGTAAAAGAAACTGATTTCTTTTCTTTACCGAAAAGAGGAATAAAAATAGTAGTTTTTTTTTTTTTTTCTTTTGGTAAGAAAGAGAAGTTCAACGGTACCGTACGAAATAGTCCAGATTCTAATTTCTAAACGTAGATGGATATTGTAGTATAGTCAGTGTTTTTCTTCAACGGCACCGGTGGCATGTAGTTGTAATAAAAATTTTTATTTGTACTTGTTAAAGCAGTAAATATAGTTATATTTATAATTTTTTAATAAAAACAATAATCAGTAAAAATTTATCGATTGGTTTATGCATAATTTATGCATTTCATTCTAACTTATATAATAAATCAAAATTATATCCTCCTTGTAAATCTATCTTTACAATAATAGTTAAAAATATTAAAATAAACAACAAAAAAGTTAAATAATAATTAATCACTTAAAAAATAACAAATAAAATAATAATTTTATTAATATAATACATACATATTTAAACGTAAAATTAAATTAATAATAAAATATATATACTTTTACATATATATTTTATATTTAAAAGAGACAAAATCCTACATTAAGAGAGAAAGAGAAGGTTAGGGTTCCGAACCTCAATTTTAATGTCTTCTTTAAGGTAATCTTGACCATTAGGTCAAGCAGCTGAAAACATTTTTATATATATTTCGAAATAGATCAAGACAGATCATTTAAAACACGCTTTCACTCATATCTTTTTTTTAAAAAATTAAAAACTCTATTTATCCCAACTCGATTTTTATTTAAAAAAATTATTTCATATCGAATTAGTATATATCAAAACTTATTGAATATTGATTGTTTTAAAACCTTAAGTAAGAAAAATAGATAAAAGATGAAAAAAAAAAAAAAACCGAATGGCTGCCATATGAACATTGCCATTCAACTATTTTTAACAAAATTAATTTAATTAAAAAGATATAAAAACAAAATGATAAAAAAATAAAAACAATTTAAAAAAAAAAAAAGCTTGTTAAGGTATTATGTAGACATCTTAATTGAATTTAAAAGGTTAATCTCTTAAATTAAAGTATTAAATAATAATTTTATTAATAAAAACAAAGAAAGATCATTGGAATACTATGTGAACATCCAAATTAAGTTTAAAGTATTAGCATCTTAAATTAAATTATAAAATAAAAATTTTATTAATATCATATATATAAATATAAAATTAAATAAATAATAAAATATATTTACATATATCAAAAGGTGACTTGGGACAAAGTACATGACTTAACTTGATATTGATTTTTTACAAATATGCCCATATGTGTTTGAAACATATCGAAATCTATCGTATACTGATTGATTTATCATCTTTATTAATTGATTTATTTATTATAAAATTTATCTAATTAAAAAATACAAAAACAAAAAAAAATATGTGAAAGAAAATAAACAAATGAAAAATAAACAAAATAATAAAAACATAACTAAACAAATTTTGTTATAAAATGATTTTACTTCTTTTATTATTTTCCATGATGTTTGTTTAAATATCAATACTAATTAATTATACGTTATCATTTTAATTTTAGTCAAAATGATTTTAATTTTAAAAATTACATCTGAGTCTTGCAATTTGCTATAGATGCACAGCTTCCACTTAAATGCAAAAGGCTTCGGCTACCAGCTTTACTTTTAATTGGACCTTCTTCAACTCCTCTGAGTGCAAAACAAGAAACTCTTCTCATCACAGCTCAACGGTTATACTCCAAAGATTCAGGAATTTAATTTCAAAGAAAGGATCACTAAACCAGATCCATCTAACACACTTCTTGTGCGTCAGCTTTGATATCAACGTTTGCACTTCTCTCGGATTGATATCATGATTCCTTGATGGCTTCTCCAGAATTGGACATCTTGATTAGACCAATGGGAGCAAATTTCATATTCTCGTGCCTTCAAAGTAATTGGCATATATAGTTGCATTATTTGGTGTCAGAAAAAAGTTTAATTCTTCAGGAAAACTGAAACACTTTGCTCCACTATGTCTATATCTAAAGTCATGCATAATTTTGAGTGGCTGTTCACGCTACTTTAGGCAAATAATCAACATCTCTAGCCCTGATAGCATATATCCTGTATGTAATTGTCTCAGTTTGCAGGTCGTGAATGATATTTGTCTTTCCAACCCTAAACCACCCACACCCGTGACTCCAAATCTTTAGAAGAATGCAGTCGATACGAGTATATTGAGCATAAAACCTTTTCTGTTTCTCTTTTCGTGTTAAATTTAGGAGTGATGTATTCCAGAATCAAGAATCAAATATTACTACTATTTTTTTCTTCTTTTCTCACCTTATGGCTGGACCATTCAACAAGCAATCACTCGTAGGTCTTCCTGGAAGCTTGGCTCTTAATATAGAACCATCAGGAAGTACAAGCTTCCTGACTAGTTTAAAGTTGTGTTCCCCAGGTTTATCACTGTAATAATATAACACTAAATACGAGAAATCATATGTTAAATCTACTATTGTCGAGTCATAACTAGCAAAACTAAATGACACTATATTGTACCTGACATAAATAGCACATTCTCCAATAGCACGAGCTGCTCTGTTGTATACGGCCATCGGGTGCAGGCTTTGGTACCAAACTATCATTACCGAGTCAACATTGACAATTCAAACAAGTAGCTACCAATGTTTAAAATAAATAATTTTTGATAAATATTTAATTTAAAATAAATTTATAATAAGTAAAGAGATTTAATTTGAATATAAAATTATATGATATTAAAATTTTATTAAATATGAAATAATTTATTTTAATAGACCATCATCGCATGTAAACAAAAATAAAAAATTTATTATGTAACAAATTTAAAAAGAACAATAAAAAAAATTTTGATTTTAATATTACATTAAATATCTAATTTAAAATTATTTGATAGTAAATGAAAGAATCTAATTTAAATATAAAATTAAAAAATATTAAAAAATTATTAAATATGAGATAATTCATTTTAATACTGCTAAATTACATGAAACATATCCCAATCTTATTTTATACTTATCATCATTCTTGTTCCATAAGTTTAATTAATATCCATACTTGTAGCATTTTGAATAAAATATTAAAATTTTCATCACGCATGTGTAAAATTAACATCCAAGCGAATTCTTCCCTAATACATATGTGTACAAAGACCAACAAGCGTAAGTTGGGTGGTCCCTTTCTTGAGTATCCACCGTCTAATTGTTTGAGTTGATGAGGTGTTTAGGTCCACATCAAAGTTGTACAGATATATAATCCACCCTGCCACCAACGAGGATTGACAGAAATGGGTGAATGTTGAATGCATTAGCACTAAGATTCAAATTTTTTTACAATTTTTTGTTAGTAAATAATTTGTAAATTTAAAAAATTTATAGATTAAAAATTTGAAAAATTCATAAATTTTAATTTGATTAATGATTTACCTTAACTTTAAAGATGAGATAATTTTTCTTACTTCTAAAATTTTTCAAACCATACATATATACATATATGTATATATATATCGACTAGTAAATATTCGGATGTCACTGGAACAAAAGGTGGTCCTGCTTTATTAGTCTTCTAGAAACCGTGGCACCTGCGATATGCTGGTCTTAATAAGTGGGCAAGTGATGAAATCAGCTCACTTTAACCAGTGGCTGGGGATGACAGGGACCAGGACCGTGCTTGATAAATGATGTCTTGTTTTAACAGCCTTTAGGGGAGGATTCAGCAAAATAGTATTACTTTTTTTTTTTTTTTTCTAAAAGAAATGTTAAGGTTGCTAACCATTACTTCACTTTACCTGTAATCATCACATGCAGGATGAAAAATATTATCTTTTGTCATAAGTAGTGAAAATGCAAATCATTGTGTAAACAGTGAAGTAACCATTACGTAATAATTACGTAATGATTTGACGAATTTCCATCCTGAAAATATGCATTTGGGGATTAGCAAAAGAAGAAAATTCATAATAAAATGATACACATCCAAAATATACAGCTTGTTCAAATCATAGATTATTGTTTGATGGATAGTGGCTATAGATTTTAATTAAAAACCAACATTCAACTGTGAAATCCAGTCAACTCTAGAGTCTTATGTTTTATATGGGAATATGGTTGTTTTAATGGTAATAACTTACTATATACATCACTAATTATATAGAAGGCTGAGAATAATTATTCAAATATTTGATTTAATATAGAGTATAATCCAATTGAGTGTTGAATGGATTATCAAGCTTTAATTTAGTTTGATTTGAAAATTCAAGATTCTATACTTAATTTAAATTTGGTAAAATTTAAATTTTCATATTTAATTTTAATTTAATTGAATTGATAAAATGTAAATATAAAATTTAAATTACACATATTCATCATTTATTTATGTAAAAATATCAAATATATTAAAATATATTAAAAATTGAAGATTTAATTAGAATTTTAATCCTCTCATATCAAATATTAAAATATTCGATAATGAATAATTTAAAACTCCAATCGAGTTCGATCTCGTTTCAATGGGGTAGGCAAAAAAGTCAAGGAAAGGTGGAAAATAAAAAACGGAAAGGGCATAAACGACTGCGGCTGAAAGCCGGAGCCACGGAGCAAGATCTTTCTAGAAGCTTTAAATACAACAAATCAGAAATTCAGACAATCACTGTCATGTCAGCGACCAAAGGGCAAAGCCACCTGACAAAGGACAAGGTCTTTTATTTCTTTCATTTCCTTTTATAAAATTTCCAATTGTCTGCTTTTTCTCTCTCTAAAAACAGACAATCACCACCTCCTCTCTTTCTGACCAAGTCTGTGCCTTCCACCCCTATAAATTCGAACACCTAACTCACTCTCAGTGTATCTCTCCTCATCCAAATCAAAACCTCAACTTTTTCATAGCCATTTTTACCATCTTATCCTTCATCCTTCCACAATGTACTCATCTATTTGCTATCCTCTAGCCGCTAGACCCATCAACAATTTCTGTCCGAAGAAGACTGCTACCGCGAGGAACTCGGTGCATGCGGAGGCATCTTTTAAGCCAGCTACCTCCACGGACAATAAGAATGCAGCGCTGGCGGTGGCAGGGAGTTTGTATGAGATACTAAGGGTGGAGAGAACGGCGTCGTTGAACGACATCAAGATGGCGTACCGGAGCTTGGCTAAGGTGTACCATCCCGACGCGATGGGACAGTCATCGGATGGCCGTGATTTCATCGAGATACGTAACGCATACGCGACGTTGTCAGATCCGAGGGCGAGGGCCATGTATGATATGTGGTTGGGGGCACGTGGGAGGCGGGTCAGGACTCGGATGTGCCCTACCCGAAGATGGGAGAGCGATCAGTGCTGGTAGAAGATAGAGGAAGCTATTGCGGTTAGGGCACAGATGTTGCTGGGAAAATGTAGGCAAGTTTAGACATATCACTTTACATGTCAATGTCGTTAGGCTTTGTTGTAAATAAATCTTCTTGAGTAAATACACATGATTTTTTTTTTTATCTTCTTATTTTTGAATAGATTATTAAGTAAATTCTGAAGAAATTATTATACCGTTGTTCTAAATTTAATGGAAAAGAAAGAACTGAAGGGTGCCAAAACCACATGCTCCTCCAAACTATTGATACCGAACATACATGAATATATATATATATATATATATGTAAATGGGCATGGTAGTTGTTGATCTTCACCCATTACTTAAAACTCTTTCTGCTATGGCTTTTACTCTATGGGTCTCGTCCCTGCGACCTGTCCCAATCTCTCCCGATGACATGCTACTAATGCCATCTTATTTATTCTATGCAATGATTGCATTCCATTTTCGACTCATCTTAACCCTTTACCAATATTATTATATTATATTATATACATCAGCAAATGCCACTTTCATCTTACGCATTTTTAGATGATAGCTTTCTGCACAATTCCATCATGAAAACTTGGTAGTAAATAGTAATTCCAAGGCAAAAACCGCCGGCATAGTGTGATAGTATTATTTTCTGAATCATTGTTAGAAACACGATTCAGAGACATGTTTGCATTTGTACGTATGCAAGCTAAAACCTTATAAAAAATTGAACAGGGCTTTTAAGTTGTAAAAACTCAGTATGTGCGAGAAAAGGTTCATTCAAAATGTCCGATGTTAATACATTCAGTATGAAATGATGAATGATTAACAATGACGAGAAAATCAGGAAATATATTAGAAGGTTTTGCCATTGGTTTGGATTGTAATTTCCTAAAAGATGCTAAAAGCAATTAACATGACAGCTCTATGTCAACGCAGATTTCCTTTCCTACCTACCTACCTTGATCTTTATCCTTATAGCATGCCGTAAGGGCAGCCACATACAAGACACATTGCAGTCTCTCAATGTTCTTCTTGCATGCTGAATGCTCGTAAATCAAGTAACAATAGCTTTCAATTCAAAACAGAGGCCTGGACTAATTAGGCTAAAACAGTCTAACACAAGGCTCAGGCATAATCTTTACGGTAATTGGGATATCAATAGATTGTTTTACATAAACAGTTCACTAGACTAGAGAAACCAATCAGTTGAATGGTATTGTCCAGATATCAAATCCTGGACTGTCTTGTCGAACAAAGAACAACCTGATGAGTCCAATGAAAAGGGTAAGTCATTGATCTTTACCTAATATATCATGAAGAAACCATGCTGTTGTGTCACACAATAAAGACAAACACATCCCTGCAAGTTAAAAGCAATAATATTCTATCCTATTCAAAAATTGCCGAAGCTAACCATTTTATATAAATATCCACATAGGTAAAACCAGTATCACCACCATTGAGTATCACAAATAGCAAACTAGTAAGGATCAATGAGAGATGCTTGTCTGCAGTAGCAGAAACCAACTGAGTGGTCATTCATTGGGACATTGATAACCAACTTCCATAATACCAACTAGATCTTCTGCATTTAATACATCATAAACACCCGACATCAATTTTCATCACACCATTATCTTATCAAGAAATTCTTACTACTTTAATTCCCCTTTTCTATGTGACTCTCACTGCAACCAACAATCCCCAACTTTACATCACATAATCTAAGTACTAGCCCCAAAAGAAAGAAAGAAAGAAAAGGAACAACTATTTAGCTCAAATGCCGTATTCTTAAGTTATAATTGCTAATAAACAGAAGAATGCATGAAATTATACCTCATAACAATATAGATGAATAACCATGTACAAACAGCCTTAAAGTTAAATTTAATGATTCGACAGAATGAACAACCATGATTTTGACAACCCTAATAGAACAGAATACATGATTTTTATTGTTAACATTCTAGGAATGCACAAAGAGCTCAATAGAGGGAAAGAATCCGCAAAGAGCTGCAGTAATTATCTTATCTACGTTAATGACAGTCCCTTATGTAGGATTAGGTCTTAAAGTCCAAAGAACTCACAACTGCACATTTACTTGAAATCAAATTCCTAAACTTTCCAATGAAAGTCCCAACCAAGGAAATTGAGGGCATGACAGAAAAACTCAGCAACAAATAATGTGAAAAAAAATTCAAACAAAAAAGCCACATTTGCAGTTAGTTGTTTAAAAATTTGACTAACATGTAACTGATACATGCATTGTCAAAACTCAACGGTAAGACATTCCCATTTCTCAATTTAACACCTTTTCAAAACCTATAAAGTGCAGCTCCTCCTGAAGCAGATCAAAATATTTATTAAAATAAAAAAAAAAAACGAACCTATTTTTTTCACTAGTCATGACATCTCTTCATTTTGCTTTAACTTCAGCTGGTGTCTTTGCCACGATAGACAAGGCGTGCAATCCGCTCTGCAACTCCTCATCCAATAAACCATAAATTAACCTATGCCTTTTAACTAAACTCTTCCCTTCAAATTCCTTTGACACAATTCTCAGATTAAAATGTGTTTCCCGGTCACTACCACTCACACCAGCATGTCCAGCATGCTTATAAGAAACATCCTCCACTTTCAATGAAACATGACTAAGCTCCCTCTCCAGCTTCTCCTTGATCCTCATTCCTCTATTTCCCAAGCCAGTTGAACTCTCTTCAATACCTTTTTGAGGAATCGATCCAACTGAATTCTCACTAACTTTTGAATCCAAAATTGAGTTCTCAACATGTTTTTCACTGCTACCCGCCAAGACTTGATTCACAACCTGATCATTACCTGAAGACCCACCAGCCCTCTCGACTTCAATAAGCAGCTCAAGAGCCTTCCTTTGCATCAACTTCAACATGTTCAAAAACCCATTAGTCCTGGAAGGTGTCAAGCTCCTTTGCAGCCCAAGAAGCACAGCAAAATCAGGAGAAACCCTCAAAATTTCCTGGACAGGCCTTCCAGACAATCCATTTACAAGCAAAGCAGCAAGTCCTTTGGTTAAAACAGAATCAGAATCAGCTTCATAGATAACATTCTTGTCTTTATCAATATAAGCCCTGACCCAAACCTGAGAAACACAACCCTCAACTTTGTTCTCCTTAGTTTTGAATTGGGTATCAAGGGGTTTCAAGTTTTTGCCATAAAATATGAGCTGCTCGTACTTGGCCTTGGGTTCTTCAACAGATTGGAAAAGTTTGACAATTTCGTGGAGTTTAGGAGGGAGTTCTTCCATGGGTTGGAGTTGGATGGAGCTTGAAGAGGATGATTGGGGCGGAGGCGGTGATATAGTTGGGATCTTTTGAAAAGAGATGAATCTGTCGTAAAATAAGGAAAAACTGGCCGGTTTAGAAGGGGAAAGGAAGGGCTTTGCCGGGTTGAAATAGATTGGGAATTTGGAAGTGAAAAAGCGAGCCGCCATTTTTTAGGTTTTCAAGCAGAGGATTAGAGAAACAGAGGAACCAGTTTCATCCTTTATTACAGTGAAACGCACCGTCTCTCCACAAGAAGTTGTTTCCACCACAAATTTTTACGTTGTGCATGCAAGTGATCTATACCAGCCAACCGTTTCTATTTCAATTTTTTTGTGACAAAAAAAAAATAAAAACATAAAATCCACCAAAGATCTAATTAAAAAATTTCATTCTAAGTCATTATTCTCTTCCAAACCATTTGAGTAGGAAAGAAGATTATGAAGAAAAAGCTCTTTCTTGTTTGTACTTCCATATATATATATAGAGGGAGAGAGAGATGAAGAATCAAGGTTAAAGGGGGCTGGCTAGTCAGTAGGAGCTGCAGCATGCATATATGAAGAAGATACAAATATGAAATACTCGTATAGTCCAAAAATTCTCCATGGATTACAAAATCAGGACCCAATTTCCTGTACCCCTAAGCAGAGGTTCCTTACTTCTTTACATGAAAACAACCAGAAACTTTGTACAAACTTCTCACTACCAAAATATCCTCTTGTTCATCACTTGCAAGTCATTAGAACATAGTTGATTACATAAAAGAGAGCACGGATACTCCCATGTTCAGCACCCGTAAGCACAGGTGAGCTACTTATTTCATGCACTCTCTTGTATACTTCCTGAAAGGTTGGCCGCACATGCACTGCTATCATTGGGTCCCCTGGGTTTATAGCGGTGGCCACGTCTACCAGCCAAGTCAGTCTTTGTGTTATGTCCTTGTTGATGTCGCACGCCAATTGCTGCAAGAGGGAGAGCAGCACTCCTTGGCTCAAAGGAGAAGGGGCGGTTGACAGAATGCTACGTAGATCAACCTAGCAGAAGGCAAAACAATAATTTCATTCATACCTACTGCACAGTCATTTAACCAACGGTTCAATATGAATTGGAAATCATAAAGAACTCAGCCAAAATTGAATCTTTGAGACTTCATTTAATCTTTACAGTTAAATATCACAGGCATACCTGTGAACATATCCAAGCAACAATAGAGAGGTCGCTTCTTTGCAGGGCAATAGTGAAAGCTTCTTCATATTTGCGTTCAGATAACAATTTTGATAGCTCTTTTGTTGGATCCATGGGCACCACAACCTGAGGCATGGATAGAAAATCCTTTTAAGATTTAAACTAGTTAGTAACCAATTGAAACATTTAATGTAGTGATATATAACAGCCAGATTTGACTTTGACAATTCACGTTTATTGAGTATTAACTTCTTGCAGAGAAACAAAAGTAAATGGGCGAAACAAACATACCTTGCCATGCAGAGCACCTAAAGGTCCATTGCTTAGATGGGAAGCCAATGGACTTGCTGCATTTGAGTTGGCTCCAGCAGCTGCAATAGCTAAAAGTTTCCGTTGCCCATCAGCAAATTCTCCACTTAAGGTTTGAGCTATTGATGATGCAGAATTTATGGCATCCTGCAATCATAAAATATCGATGTAGAAAATGATACAAAAATACTTTTGAAAACAACGGTAAACTAACGAATACACACATTGAACAACAGCTCTATAGCAGCAAATAATATTGCATGCTTCAATGCATATTACCTCAAAATGGGCAAAAACAACCATCACAAACCAGTAATCCTTACCATTAAGTTATTAAAAATCTAATGCTGAAAATGTTATAAACCTTGGAAAAAGAACACAAAGGACCACTCTTCTAGTGAAATAGTAAATGTGACACAGGAAATATACCCTTAAAGCAATTGTCAAAGAAGAACTTGCAGACTCTAAGTTTTGCTGAGCAGCATTGGCATGTTCAACCATCCCTTTCTGAAATGCAGCATCTACTTGCTCAAACATGGCTTTGCATGATATCTCAAAGGCAGGGATCACTAAAGCTTCCACGCTAATCTTCAGAGCCTCCTAAAAAGAAAAAACAATAATGATAAATTAGTCAACAGAAATTGCCAGGAACGTGCCAAGTGACGAGAATTTGATCTTATAACAAGACTAAAAGATCCCTCTTCATCTATTCAACCAAGTGAGGTTGAACTTGAGAATACCTGGAGTGCTTGCCTGCCAGAAGTTTGAAACTGTACTTGAATTTGCCTAGCAACTATAGCTTCAAGTTTTGAATTAACAGATTTTTCTAGTTGGTTCACTGCCTTGTCTCCAACCCCTCTCTGTGACACAAAGGACTAGTTAGATTCCACTCAGACAGCTTTCCAGCAAAATAAATAGATCTTAAGAAGTCTAACCTGGAAGGACTCGTTGATTACTGAGGTTACTGTTTTCTCTATTGCTGGAGTAATGGTACGAATTACAGCTGGTCCAACCCCGGTTAATTCCTTCTTGACTGTTTTGTCTAACATAACTGCCAAGTCCTTGTTTATAAAATTAGTGATCAAACTCGTTATTTGATGTGTACGTTCTCGCAACAACTTCTCATTTTTTGCACTCTCTTCTTGAAAACGAGCCCATAGAGCATCAGTGTTGGCCTTCATGGCTTTCTCAATGCTCCGTCCTATAACTGTCTCTAGCCTTCGGCCTTCCTTTGTAACAGGGAGGTTGACAATATTCGACATTTGTTTCTGCATTTCCTTTTGTCCAGTAACTAGCTGCAAGAATGATTGCAATCAGAGTCAAGAAACCACATACGGTGCAGCAAAAGTTTTAAACATATTGCTAAGCAAAATAAAAAAAAAAAAGGAACAATAGGGGAAAATGTCATAATAATATAGGGGTACCTGGGCCAATTTTTATATAGGGGCTAAAATAAATTTACCAAAATTATGAAACCATCAATGATTATGAACCCAATTGAAAACTGTTAAAGAGTATTTGAGGATACTCAAGTGTCGTAGTTTGTTATATTTATACCACCCTCCCCAGCATATTTAACGATTAATTTGCAGAAAAAAAAATGTACAAACAACGGATGCATACAAGTCTAACCATTTTTGTCAATTTTCTGTCTATAGGCAATCACCTGATTAAGCATCTTTTGCATAGCCACAAGTAGAGGAAGCGCAGCATCCATTGAGGGTAGATTCGAATTTCCTCCTGGTTCGGTGGAAGAATCCGCAGAATAGAATGCACTTGAAGATGGAGAAGAGTGACCAGATGCTTGAGAACTTTTCCCCTTATGCTTCTTCCCTTTTGCACCTGGTGCTGGTGATTGCAGATAGGTAGAAGGCATGGCTGATTCCAAAACCTTTCCAGAAAGATCTTTTCTGGAATCATGGATTTCTTCCTCACCAACATTGGGTTGCACCAGTGACCCTGATGAACAAACACCATCTGCTTGCTGAGATTCATTGACAATGTAAGCGTCCCTTGATATTGCACAGCACTCCCTTGCCATCTGAATGCCAAGATCTGAAGCCTGAGAGCAAAAGAATCTCTCTCTACTTTCCAAATTTCGATTTTGGGAGTCTCCATGGGAACCAAATTCATTGTAATGAGAAGAAATTGTTTCACCCACCACTTTTACCTCCACCTCAGCATTGCACACATCATTGTTGACAACCACATCTTGAATGTTCACCTCGCCCTCACTCTTTCCCTCAGTGACATTAGTAGTTTCAGAAGATGATGCAGCCATCAATATCTCAGAAGGAGTCACAAGATGAGTTGGATGCTTGAAAATGATAGGCAGACTACACACGCTAGATTTCTCATCTGATGTTATTTTCTTCTCATCGTTCCTTGAACCATCTTCTGATGAATGCATATCAGACAAATTTGTTCGAACAATGCCCATTTGTCTGTCAACAGGATAATCCACAACCAGTTGGTTTCCAACATGGTCACTAAGCAGGGAAGTTGGCTCAAAAATATTTTGTGGGCTATGAAAACCAGAGGGCTTCCTAGACAACCTAGGACTAGGAGGAAGTGGTGGTGCTGATGCAACACAAACAATATCAGCATCACTTGTTGTTGATGCCAAAGCAGCAGGAGCAAATTTAGAATCAATATTCAAAGTATTAAACTCTTGTGCAGTGTTTGCCTCAATAGAATGATGGCTTGATGGATACCTTGCTGCAGTTGAATTTTCAGAGCTACTTAATTGTGTACTTGGTTTGGCAACTGAACCATAAAGGTGTAACTCAGAAGGTTTATTTCCAGATGGATCGAAAGGATCAAAGTGCTCAGTGTTAGTTGCATCACGTGAAAAAATTGAATCCAACTTCTCTAAGCCAGTATTTTCCAGTAGTGGTGGGATGCACTGGCATAACTCCAAAGCATACTGCTGGATAGCCTGTGTCTGAACACAATATATTTTAATAATATGTTCATCAGGAGGATCACTTGTCCCAGTAAAACTTAAAATGGGCATAGTGACTGTGAACTCTGCTATATAATCCATGCGTGTTGCTGCTGGACAAGAACCATATTCCAAGTGTACAGCATATATAGCATTTCTCTTAGCATTTGCAAGTAAGAAAAGGCCTTCTTGAGATAATGCAACAACTTGATTAAAGAATGCTTCTTCAATTTGAGGTTCAGCCGAACTCTTCAAGTCCAATGTCTGGGTGCAAGTCCATTTTTCAATATTGCTTGGAAGTAGCCAACCCTCCTCACTAGCTAATGTCCAAATTTTGATTTCTTGATTTCGGGGCCCCTGAAAAAATTGTCAAAAAATCAACTAAGATATATCAGACAAATGGATATTCATCAGAATAACAAGACTGTAACATGGAAAAGTACATCAGAAATAAAATCCTCAAAATAAAAATTTGAAAAAAAAAATTACATAGACTGAAGTCAAAAGGTAAATACACAGACTCCTACACCATACCAACCCGATCAATAAGAATTTGCACAACCATGAACTTTATATCAACAAGTCAGTGCATAACAAATAGGCAAAAGCATGATGTGGGGAAAGAGAGAGAGAGAGAGAGAGAGAGAGAACATGGCAATCATTACCCCTGTTATGAGTATAATATGATCTGGTCGGTAAGGTGCATTCAAGAATGTAACCGAATAAACAGGTTGGCCATCATGTGGTCTCAACACTGATAGTGGCACTGCCTGGCAGTCATCCCATATCTTTATCTGTTGCAAAACATAAGCTTGTAAGTACAGCATTCCAGACATAACTGCATTTCCTCGTGTATTCAACATGAAGTTTCAGCAGTAGAAAACAAGAAGCCAAGCTCTTATTTCCGTGACTCTACAGCTCTACTGCAATGAAGCGAGAGAACATACAGATATCCACAAATCAATACAACAAAATGATAAGTAAAGATACAAACTGTGCCATCTGTAGAAGCAGAAACCAATCGTGTAATCATCCATTGACACATTGACACATCAGTAATTTCTCCATCATGTTTACCAACCAACTGAATCCCATCAATCAACTTGTCAATAGGACATTGGAGAGGTGAAGGCACATCAGCTGAGTCGACTTCACTCTTCTCAACTTTCATAGTATCGATTCTCAAAATGTGTTTTCCAATCCCAGCCACCAAAATTTCCTGCAAAATTAGATTAAATACCTGTTGGCAACAAAACAGTAATAATCCTCTCATTAAGGATGAGCATTAAAAATTTGCATTACTTGTTTGTGCCGGTGCCAACAAACACATGGATGTACATATTCTTCATCGCCTAATATCTGAACAGCAATAACTATCTTTGCTGTAATCTGCGGATTATCTTCTTCATCTGGACCTTCGGATATCTTCCATGCATATACCCGTCCCTCTAGACTCACACTATATAGAAGTCTATCACCAAGATGCCAAAAAAAAAAAAAAAGCAGTGTAATTGCCAATTAAAGAAATAAAAATACCTAGCCAAAAGGTGAACATCCTCAGCAAAGAAAGCCATGTCTGTGACCCTCTGAAAGAAAAGAAAATATCACTTGGATGAAAAGACAATAAGCCAAAAAAAAAAAGCCGAACCAAAATGTGTTTTAGCTCCACTGACACCAGCTCGCAAGAAATCACCAATGTAGTTAGTAGATGCGTAAATTTTAACACCCAAACCCATACTTCCAGTCACAACAGATCCTTCCTAAACTAACATTTATGTATAAACCAAAAGGCAAGGGGGGGGTGGGGGAGGTAAATTAAGTATCATAATCATCCAAAAGCAGTAAACTATGCAACTAAAGCTCGGCATGCCTGAATTAAAATGCACATTTATTTCATACGATAAAGATACCAACATTTTACCATAAACATGCCAAGTTTGCAATCATGCACTTTAATACCATGAAGCTCTAAACTCTATTCTATTACCACATTCATTTCAATCTAATACATAACTACAAAAAAACTACTAAAGTTAAAGAGCTAAACCTGCGTGTGCCCACGAAACAAAGACCTTAAGGCAGTGTTCATATTAAGAATCCTAATACTGCCTCCTTTCAGCCCATAACAAATGTAAGACATATTAACAGCAATCTGCCTGCCCAGTACCAGTTGAGGATCAGAGCCATACTTTGTTATGGGAGTGACCTCCAGCTGCGGCTGAACCTCCCCGGACAGCCTCGTATCAATATCATAAGCCACCTGAGCGCCTGCTAACCGCCTGCCCTTGGGCAGTTTGCAACTTGGCACCATTAAAGGCCCCACACTGGGACCCCCAGAGCCCAAAAACTCTGCAGGCGGTGGTTGCAGCTGTTTGGGAAGCTGATTTTGAGGTGGGAAATCAGGGTTTTGAGGGGAAGAGTTGATAAGGGCAAGAATTTGGGTGCCAGCATTGTAGGGGCTAAGGGGAGGGGAAGGAAAGGAAGGGGATTTAGCATCTTGTGGGGCGTTTTGGTAATTTGGATGGGTAGTAGAGGAAGAAGGCATGTAGAATTGGTGATACTGGGAGTGAAAGAAAGGGGGAGAAGGTGGAGGATAAGAAGAAGGAGGGGTAGGATATGAAGAAGAGGGATTTTGTGGGTGGGGGTTTGAAATTGTAGGTTTGAAGAACCTCTGCATGTGAAATGGAATTGTTTCATTTGGATTTCCTGTTGAACCCATCTCTCACAAAGAGAAAAGAAATGATCTTTTGGGTTAATTGAGAGAAAAAAAAAATGTGATCTTTATACAAGCAAAAAGATGGAATATTTGTTTGTGTGGCAGAAGTGAAGGATCTGAGTAAGAAGAAAGGTGGGACAGAAGAGAATTATGAGAGAGCTGAATAAGAAGAAGAAAGAGGACAGTCCCCTGAATCTGAATGATGATGACTTGGAAGTTGGAAGTGAAGAGGTGGGGATACTTGGGAGAGAAGAAATTTTGGAGAGGCTGATGGGGCTAACGAGGAATCCAAGTCAATTTTTTTATCCTGCTTTTTGTAAAGGCTAAAATGTTCCGACCTCCAAGTGCAAATTCTTGCTACAACTTCAAAATAAAAACTCGGAAATTTACTATTGAAGATAATAAGGTATGGATACCAATTCATTAGTATTACTAAAGGCACCAAAAACGCAATGTAAAAGGATGTCTATTTACTTCACAAGGCCAGCTATCAATGGATTCTAGGCTGTCCTGGGCTGGGTTGGCGATTCCATCATCCCATTGGTTTCACTTTGATTGATTTACGGTCTAACAACTCAATAGTTTTGCCTTGTTTTCTATGTGAAGCATGATTAAAGATTAGAGTTTAAGAGGTGACTAGTCAAGCTGAAGCCTATGTTTGGGGTTTTTCAGCCTGAAATTGTTTTCTCTAAAAGGCCAAAAGCCTGTGTCACAAAGCTAAACTCTAAAAGAAAAGCCCAATCTAACAACTCAACTAACACAATCATCATCTCAACAGCATCAGCTGAGCAACACCCATCCGAAATCCAAAAATCCACACTCCATTTTATGAGCAAAGTTAACCACTTTTCGAATTGTTTTATGCCCAGTTGAAATGGAATTTGAAGCCTTTCTTTTGTTGGATGAGATTAGTAGTTAGGGTAAAGTCGTAAAGAAAGAATCTTTCTCCCAATCTTTTAAAACTGCCACTCCCCTTTTATTGCTTACCTTTTAAGCCAGCCAACAAATTCAAGTTCAATTTCAGTTACCCTAACGTCCAAGTATTTTCAAGTAGTCCAAATCCCCCAATTTCCACTTCAGTCCACGTTTTTCTCTCAGATCCAAAAACCCACCTTTCCCACTCATATCTTTAACATATCTCTTTCTTTCTCTTTATAAAGACCCTAAAACCAAAAAAACCCGATATCAAAAATCCCCAGAAACAAAAAAAAAAAGCAGAAAGTTTTCTTCTTTTTGTGCAAAAGATTAAAGATGTGCTGTGGGAGAAAAGTGTGCATGCTGTGCACATGCTTGATACTGGTGGTGGTGTTGATTGGGTTTTTGTTTGGGTTTGGGGTTTTCAAGAATGGGTTTCACAAGCTCAAGGATACATTGCATGAAGATTATCACCCCTGTGATCCTAAATTCTCTTCTTGTGGAAGGCCTTTCTTGGGTTTTGCAGCTCCTCCTCCTTTCTAAATTCTAGTACTTCTATTTTTTTTAATTTCATAATGTAATAGGCAATTGCCAATTGGGATTGTTTCCTTCTTTGCAGGGATTTATGAAGTTTCATTCTATTGTTATTTGTTTATTTCAAAAGTAATGTTGCATGATGCTTATATTTAGTTTCTTGAATTTGTCTTTAATTTAAAGATGTAATCTTTCTCAACTATGAATCTTGTTTTCCTTGTTTCTTTTATGTGAATTGATTTTTTTTTTGTGTACCAATTCTGAATAATCTTTACAAGCAAGATCGAAGAATGGTTGGCCTTGACTCCACCAAACTTAACAAACATTCAAGATTTGATGGATTCAGAGAAATCTGACCTAAACTGTGAAAATGTATAGTCAATTTATCTTTTTTTATATATAAAAACAAAAAAAAAGAAAATTGGGCTGACAAGGGAACAGAAAAGGATAGCAGAATGCTACAGGTCTTATCTCTTACCTACATGAAAGAATGGAACAAAATTAGTAAGACAATTGCTTTCACTCACTGCATTGGCGTGAGATTCATGTGAGAGCCTCTATGGCCTAGCGAAGCTTTTTATCCAGATGCTCAAACGATAAGAACCAATGAACCATGGAGCACCTTCTTCTTAGCCTTCGAACACCATATGTCATTAGTCAGTACCAATCTTATTTTGAAGTGAGGAGAGTGTTTGGGCATTCCATAGTTCCATTAATTGATCAATTTTTACGACTGTACGAGGTTTCAAGCATATGTAATGTAATTACTTTGCTATGGCAAAATAAGATGGTTATCATCATCAAACCATAAAAAACCATCCAAAACACCTAAAATTAAAGTCCATCCATAACTTGAACCAAAAAGTAAACCTTCAGAAGTTGACCATGATTTGAATTTCGAACTCAGAGCTGATGTGAAAAGGTTTAGAATAGTAAAAAGGAGTTCTATATAGCTCATCCATCTAATCTCTATTTGCTACCTCACAGTCAAGTGTCAACAAACCCCCCCTCACCGAAAAAATAGTAGCATGTTAATATTAATTTAAAGCAAACCGATAACAAAATGCCATGTAAGCGCTTAAATCAGCTTCCCCAGTGTAGGCAATCATTTGCACTTGTTTCTCTTCTTCGACACGAAGTGCAAGAGAGAACAGAACAGAAACTCTTGGACAAGAAATAAATATAAAACAAGTCCAATTGAAACAAGGTAAAGTCCTCTCCCTTATATTACTAGTAATATTGTTAACCTCCCAACTTTCTTACATTAAATTAAACCAAAACCAACAGGCAACAAGAAAAAACACACACAGAGAGAAAAGAAGATACGAAACCAAGGCCAGGATGAGAATTACTGTAACAAAGGCAGATGAACGTATCCTTAGCTTCGATGTTGATCCCCATGAAACTGTCAAGTACCCTTCTATCCCACCTTCATACCTATTCTAAGTTTCTATTTCTTTGCTGATTTTTTTCCTCGTTTCCAATAGTTTTCCATCTTTATACTACCATGATTTGCAGTCTAGCATGGTAGGACACGCCAGGTTTGTCCCATATCAATATCTGAAATAGCTAAGAAACAGGCCACCTGACAGAATTTTATAGGTCTTATACTAAAATACAAATGCACCAACACCAAGGAAAGAATACAAAAACCACATCAATAACATAAATTTCACTGTAAAATTTTAAAGGAAACATTATAAAGGTTGTTTACAGAAAATTCATTCAATGCATTCCTGTCAAAATTTCATCACAGATTACACTCCAAAGAATACTCTATCCTGTTGATGAACTTGTTTTTCGTTTTTTACTTTTTTCAATGACTCGCTGTGGATGACCTTTAAAAATGCATAACTCAGGAACAAAATCTCAAACATAATACAAATAACAATGATCAAAACCTTTCTGCCAATCTAGCAGTAACTTGTCTAAGTTTCGAATAAACCTTCCCAGCAGGAGAACCTAAAATGAGGCTGCAAAGAGAATCCCTAGCAATCTTGATGTTGGCAAAAGATCCCAAGATATGAATCTTGGTGTCAGCAATGACAATCCTAGTCTTTGTAGCATTCTCAATAGCAAACTTTGTTTTACCACCTTTCCCAGACAGCCTTCCTATGGCACGAGACAAGTGCTCTCCTCTAAGTGTCTTGACATCCTTGATTTCAAAGGACTCCACATATAGCTCATCCAATCTCAAAAGAGCAATGGCATCCGCAACATCAAAACCCAACATGAAAGCCTGGACAAAGTCTGCACACTTCTGTAGATTACTAATGTCAGGTGTGTCTGGTCTAGTTTTCAATTCAACCTTCCTAGCTTTGAGATTCATACGGATGTCGATCTTCATCTGTTCATAAATTGGAGTATAGATATCCATCCAGTATTTCTTGAGAGGTGAATACCTATGAGGTGGAACTGAGACCTTTCTAAACTGGACTCGACCGTCTGACATCTCATGAGCCTTAAGAGGCTCAAATTTTGGCTTTGGGGGCAACGAATTGGATTCAGATTTAGGTTGCAAAGGCACCGTTTCAATCTCCATGGTGGCGGGTGCTTCAGTAGGCATCTTTCTGCTATTCCAAGACAAGCTAGCAGGTCAAAATAAGTTCAAGTTTTGATTGAAGTTCAAAGTAGACTTATTTATGGAAAAGAAAAAAAAAAAAGAACAGCAGCATCAAAACGATAAAATCATACCATCAAGAAATTATACTAGTAATAAAAACATTAATAATTACATCTACAAGAACATTGTTAATGGCATCAAAATTTGTTATTTGGATTTCATTAGTCATCTTAAAAATGTAGTAAATCCTTCTATTCTCACAAATGCATCTATCGATAACGTAAAAAAGTAGTACCTAAGGCTAAAATAACCAATCCCAACTTAAAAATAACTCAAAAACAACATAATTCAAGCATGAACTAGACATAACCATCACAACTTCGGTACCCAAAAGAACAAAATTTGCATAAAACAAAAAAAAGGACAATTTTCTTCAAAATATAAATTTGGAAAAGGAGAAATAGAAGAACTAAAAGGTTGACCTGACCTGAAGAAGAAGCTAGAAGAGATGGATGGCTGCCGGACTGGATTTCAAAAATAAAAAAAAAGGGTTGGGCACACTCAAAAGTAATTTCCTTTTTCAATGAGATAACCCTCAAGCCTCAACCCTGGCAGTAAGCAGAGATGCCGAGAAGTAACCGCAACCAGACAGACAGGAAGAAGGAAGCGTGGCGTTGGAAACTTTAGAACCTAAAACCTAAAGAAACCCCTTGACCGTGTTGTGTTTGGTGTTTACTATGCTGTCCTTTCAAGTTTGGGCTTTCATAAAAAGGACTCCTTTCGTCACATGAATACTATTGGCCCAAAGGCCCTTCTGCAAGGTGTGTACAAATCAAGGCAAATACGGGCTGCTGATCGGTTAATACTTGGCTAAATCCTAGGCCGGTGATGCCAATAACAAGGCCCACATAAGGGGACTTAGTAATTTTACAGCTTTGTTCTTCGTTACAATATGTTTAAACTTTGAAAATTTCTTGCTTCTGTTTATTTGATGTTTAATTATGAATTATTATTTGGAAAAATGTTTCAGATGACAACATCGGTAGTGGAGTTTAAAATCTAATTTACAGATATTTACTATGTTATACATTAAGTCGATGATGATTGTGATTCTATTAATAAGAGATTATAGGGAAATGGCATGCTCATTATTATGCAGTTAATTATTAGATAAAGAAGAAAAAGAAAAACTTTAACCACAAATATGAGTAATCCTTCTATTTAATTTCTTATTTGCTACTGGAAATCTCTTAACAAATGGCATTTTCCTTGTCTAGTAATAATTTTTCCCAAAGAATGGAATGAGAATAATGATCAATTCAAACCCCAATTGACCCACTTCACCCCAAAATGAAAAAATCTACTTGTGCTCCACCACGAGAGGACTCCTAACATGGTGATGGCCATCAGACCAAGTCAAGTGCCCAAAGGCATAGCCTGCAGGCTGTACATTACTCTTTGACTTAAATGTCACTTCAAATTTCTTCTCTTCGCCACTCTTCTTAAATGTCAATGATGAAGGATTAACTGAAACTGTAACTCCAGCCGGTGATCTGACATGCGCTTTATATGTCCCCGGTGGACCAACATTCTTAACCTTCCTACTAATGGTTGTTGAGCCACTGTGCTGAGGAACTGAGATGGAAGGGTAGTTGAAGTCTGCAACATTGTATGACTTTGGACAAGCGTGTGGCTTGTCTGAGAATAGTCTCATCATTCTTTGATTGTAGCCTCTGGCACACAAGAAGTTCAAGTAATCATCAACCGTTAAGTCATACACTAGACCAGGATCCATTGCACGGTTTGGTCTCACATGTCCTGCACCATAAGCAAATGGGGTTGCTCTCTTGTTGCTCGAATCAAGCATTGGCTTCGCAGTGTTATCTCTTGTTTTTGCTGCAAATGAGTTTGGAGATGAAAAGTTAGAAGCGTTTTAGAGTTTAGAACAAATGAATCACTTGAAAGAAGAAAAGAGCTTGTACCGCTGGTCATGATTGCAGATTTTACAGCCGCTGGACTCCAATCAGGGTGTAGGCTCTTGAGGAGGCCAACAATACCAGAAACATGTGGGCATGACATGGAAGTTCCAGACTGTGATGTGAAAGGTATCCTACGCTTGTCAGATTTGTCTTCAGTTGGCCCAACTGATTCTGTGAAAGCAGCAATGATACTGACTCCTGGTGCAGTTATATCAGGCTGAAATCGATTTTAGAAAAATTAGAAATATTACATGCAAAGCCAAAGGGTTGATGAATTGTCATTGCAAATTAACCTTGAGGATTGATGGCTCAATCAAATTGGGTCCCCTAGAAGAGAAGGAAGCCATAAATGGAGCAGGCTTTATACCCAGTTCTGTCTTGACGGGAGTAATATATGCTGTGGGGTTCCTGTATATGTTCATAAACAGAACGAGTTGCTAGTGAAGCATTAAAAAATGTTAAAGGAGAAAAAGCAATAAAACTTCAAGTAGAAAGGAAGAGAGTTACTTTGCTGAGTTGATGTATGCAAAAACAGTAGCACCGTCAGTGAAATTTATGTGTGTGGCTGGGAGCAAGTGAGGATCTGCTAGAACTTCATTTCCACTGTTCTTATCATTTGCGAGAATCATTCCAACCGCGCCTGCGAGAAGAGCCTGCTTTCCCTTGTCTGTTCTTGCGTTGATTCCTCTAAGACAGACTATAATCTTTCCCATTACCTTTTTGGGATCAAGTGTTCCAGGTAGACAGAGGATACTGCACAGAAGTACAAGCAATCAGTATATACGGTTTTGTTGAAAATCATATACTAAAAGTGAAACCAAAGCAACTTATCCAGTAATATTCCAATGATGTAGAATTATGAGTACGGAGTGGAGTGTGTGAAGCTTACGTATCTGCAGCTGATGTATTGGCCACTTTCACCTTTTCAGCACTGATCAATGGATAGAAAGTCCTAGATGACAAGGCTACAGAAGCCAGGCTTGCTCCCTAACAGCGGATACAATAAGAAGTTTTTAATATCGTTATAATAAATCATGCAGAGTTTTCATTGGTGAACGTGTTAAAAATATATATATATATATATATGGTCTTAAGTCTTATCTAAAGGAAATACCTTGAGGTGTTTGTTGTCGCCTAGTTCAACATAACTTGAGAATTCCCTGTCAAGTGTGCTAGCACCAATGGTAAACATCCAGGGTGACACATTTGATACGGTTCCTGGACTTGGTCCAGAGTTTCCAGCAGATGAAACCACGGAAATGCCTTTCTTGACAGCATGGAAGGCTCCTACTGAAAGCCCATCTTCAAAAAATTCAGATGGATCACCACCCAATGACACAGAAAGCACGTCAACACCATCGCTTATAGCAGCATCAAAGGCAGCCATGATGTCTGCATCAAAACACTGGTTGCCATTGACAGGAGGCCAGCATACTTTGTAAGCTGCAACACGGGCTTGTGGCGATCCTCCTTTTGCAGTTCCATTACCATGACCAAATACGCTAGCTTCAGGAACAAAGTTGCCACCAGCTGTTGATAGGGTGTGGGTACCATGGCCCTCGTGGTCCCGTGCAGTCTTGAAGGTGTCATTGAGTTTACCACCAACGAAAGCCGAATAACCTTTGTTAAAGTACCTTGCTCCGATCAGTTTCCTGCATTTTTAGCATAACAATTGCACTATGAGAAGTACAGCAAACCATGTACGCTTGCTGCCATAAGGGCATAATGCATAGAACTAGAGAACCTGTTTAGTAAAGCCTTCCCTAAGCTAAATAAACAGTAAATAACATTAACTTCCTTGCAGTTGATGCTGTTTTACCAGCAGTAGCTCTCCTGATATCAACTATTGCACATGGTGAAGTTCTGAGCTCCATAGATGATGATGACATTCAGACGAGGTACATAATGTTAGTACTTTTAACTAGAGAAAACATAGTGAAGGCTGGCACCAATACGCACTTCACTTTATGCTTTCCGTGGTCAACATCAAGATCACAAAAACTGATCAATACATTACAAGGGATGGTAGAGAGAATCATTCGGAAAATAAAGGGGGCCTGTGGGGCTTAAAACGGATTTTAGCAAACCATAGTCAAAAAGAAATGTCCTTATTAACTTTTGTTTTTTTTTTTTTTAATCTTTCTTGTTTTCAATATTTAAGGGAATGCCTTTTCTTTTCCTTTGTTAGTTTTCTCAATTCATTATTGAAAGGGGAAATTTTTGGCCATCACTTTATCCCTACAACAATCAATGACTAAAAAACTTAAATCACTTTGTATGATACTGAATCTATCATATTGACGTAGCTGCCACCTGAACTTTAGCTAACATGGATGGTGAGATTTAGGCAGTTCTTCTCTTGTATCAAAGAATTCGGAAACAATTTTTTTATTTATTTTTCAGAAACTCCAAGAATGAGATATGAATTCCATTATCACTCCATACCCTAAAAAGGAGGTCCTTTAGAAAAACTTTGAGGAATGGACCCTTTTTTCTTTCAAACTTTTACGTCATTATTGAGGTTGCCATTGCATATATAGTCTTGATGAAATACATAAGAAATTTATGCATGGGACCATTATTTTCACAGTCAAATCTTGGTTTCCTAAATTGGCAAGGAGGCAATTCATTTTTGCAAGCAAATTTTGGAGGCTAATGATTTGGCAGCCATTTACAGTTATTCATTCCTTAAGAGTCATAGTATTTCGCAGTACACTGCTAAAGGTAAATTCTTTGAAGAAAAAAGAGATTCCTTAGCAACAAGGGAGGCTATTTTATGGGATAATAATGCCGTCAACTCAGTAGATTACCAATATTCATCAATCTTCTCAGTTATTTTAACGGAGAAAAGTGGCAGGAAGTGGGAAAAAGAATGAACCTGTTGCAACGAACTCCATCATCAGTGTCATGCTGACAGTATCCTCGCCACCTTGATGGGATCGGTCCCATTCCCTCATCGCTAAAGCTCCTCGATTCGGGCCAAACACCTATACATAACACCATCACCGAAAAAAAGAAAAGAAAAGGCCATTGCATTACACCAAAATATGTCAAAACATGATAACAATTGACAAGCAAACAGTGGCACACATATTTATATGCAAAGCGAAAAAGGAAGCAAAAGCATGAATGCATAGTCAATTTTTTGGCTATTTGACCCTACCATGGTCAGGTTCATGTATGTTCAACATATGATTACATGTCTGCAGATCATCCAAAAGCTGGCCTTTCAAGCAGATATTTTGCAAAAGCTGATTTTGATCAATCTTTATTAGTTTTAACACTAAAATTACCATGACTCCAGGAAATTGAAATCATTGAAAAATTATATAGCACTTATTATAGAATATAGAAAACTCTTAACTACTCATTTAAGTCAAAACAATAATACACGAACTAGCAGAATATCATAGTCAACTTCAAGTGTCATTTGATGAAATGAGTTGTGTTAAAAAGTGTACACATCAAATCAAGCAAAAAATCTATAAGGGATCGTTCAATTTCCAAGAATGAGATTGAAAATTAATAAAATTGTTGCAAACTGATAGAAAGATTCTAAACTTACCTGTGTCAAGGTTTCCGATAATTGTGTCTGCACCAAACCTTGACTTCTTCCAAAGAGAACCAGAAGGGATAACTCCATCCTTCTCTAATCTGAGGAAATCCCATGATCGTGTTGTATGCAACTTTCTTCCTTTATTCAAGAAAACCGACACAACATTTGGATGTTCTGCGTTGATCAAAGAACAAACATACAGAGCCAGAAATTAGAAAGAGAGTTGCATAACACAGTGAGAACTAAGAAATATTAATGCTACACGAAATTAAACTTCTTACTTGCAATCTTTGCTGCTTCTTCGTCATCCAGGATAGCAGCAAACCCGTTGATGTTTCGAGTATATGAGTAGAATATTTTCTCTTTAGCTATTTCATTGCTGCTAAAAATATTGAAACAAATGCCTTATATTGAAGATTGTTCTTCATTTAAAAGGAAAAGCAGAGAATCATTTCATATTAGCATCAAATTCTATACCTTCCCACTAATGAAGCCAGCAATTCATAATGAGAATTTGTGGCATGATCAAGGTCAACTGATGTGGGGTTTACACCGTGAGTATGTTCTCCTAAGTACACTATATAAGACTGCAGCAGAGAAGAGATTTCAATCAAACAAATAGGTACATTTGTTCAAATAAAGATTGAAACTTGCAATAGAAGAGCAAAGATTAAAAAAAAAAAGCTAAGCCAAGAATTTTTCTTGGCAGTAAGAATCAATGAAACTTGAGTAAGCATACTGAATCCAACGCCATTTTTAAAAGGAAACAAATAACTGAAGATGCTTGCCTTTTTGATAGCAAAAGTGGAAGTCTGCAAAAGAGAGAAAACAAAGAACGGTAAAAGCAAAGAAGAAAGAGTTGAGAGCCTCATTGCTTTGCTTTAGAAAAATCTCAAATCTTCCGGTAAACTCTCCTTGTGAAGAGAAGTGTAAAGGGGCTCTGTTTTCCCCTGTTTTTAAACTCTGTTTTTGCTTGTTTTTCGAAAACAAATGTGCTTCCTCCCTTTGAGAACCGATAGCAATGGATTTCTCCCATTTTGCAAGCAACTTTTTAGGAATGGATTGATTTAAGAGCCAGGATTTTTAAATTACAATATTCATTCAGATTACATTGCATTTTTTACAGTCGTGATATGGTTGGAAATCCAAATTAGTAAGCCCCAGTTGGATGATTGAGTATAGTAGTATACATATCTAGGACTCTCTTTAATAAAAAATAAGATTGTTTTACCATAAATATTTTTAAATTTGCAGGACTAATCAAGATAATTTGTGCATATCTGATTGGCGATGGATGGATTCAATCTTCATACAGTCTAGTGAGTTAGTACTTGTTCTCTTATTAATAATCTTTCAAAACATAAGAAGTTAGCTTTTGGGGGTACAAATAAAGCAAGGATGCTAGAAAAAGAAGTGTTGCATGAGTGTTTCTAAAAAGTTTTACATGATGGAAATAAGAAAGTTGCATTATGGGGGAATATATACAAGGGTGAATCTTTGCTTATTTTGATAAAAAAAATTTTTTTTTAACATAATGTTTTTTTTATTAGTTTTTTGAAACTTTACTAATTTAGTCCATCTAATTGCTTGTTAAACATAGAAAAAAAAGACCCACCTTTTTTATAGCATGAAAATTAAATTTTTATTTAGTTTGAAGTTTATGGTAGATGCATAGAATAGGAACTGAGTTTGTGAAATTTGTTAGAAATCCAAAGGATTGAGAAGGGTGATTAAAAATAATTATTAATAAGTAATTAATGCAATTATCATTATTTTGCATTAATTGTATCATGTTGATCATAAAAAGGAGGAGATGAATCCTTTGAAAGTTGAATACCAAAGTAATACAAACTTCTTTAAGAATGCTACTAATTAAAAGGATATTTGCTACAAGGAAAGTCAAGTTGATTGAAATTTAACTAGCTAATAAAAAGGAATAAAAAAAAAAGACATATTTTATCATCACAATTTTTTTCTTTTAATGGTAAGTACAATATACCAAATTTTTCCTTTTTTATTATGAAAAAGAAAAAGAGATAGAATTTGGGAGTATAAATTTTTTTTTTATAGTGAGAATTTAGATGAGATATATTGACAAAAGATGTGATAAGGCATAGGTTGAATTACATAAAGACTAGTTAAGTATAATAAATGAAGTTAGGTATGATGATTAGATCATTATTATTGTTATTAATTTATTTATAAACAAAGTAGAATAGAATGGTCACTACTAAAATTAAATTAATAGGTTTCTATGTTTTTTTTTAGTACAAGTAGTTTAGGGGAAGACAACTCCAACTAAAACTAATTACTAGTAAAAATGGTTAACAAACTTTAAAATTGAGAAACAAATAAAAATTAATAAAGTAGGATTAATAACAAAAAAGTAAATTTAATAACTTAAAATATGACAGGATAATACGATATAAAATTAATATGAATATAACAAAGTTTTAAATTTTAATAAAAATCATATAAAGATTTAACAAAATAAAAAAAATTTATATTATGATATTTACACGAATTTTGACACATAATTTTTATATAAAATATAATATAAATATATAAATTATGAATTTTTTAAATGATACAAATATATAAATTATTAAATCTCCGAAGAAAGCCATTTGTCTTGGGAATTGGATTATTATATTGCTCTTTGACCTCTCCTAAATTGTATCAGTAAAAAACAATGTATTCTATTAATCTAATCTTCCATATTTAAACAATCCTTTTCTCATTTATATATTGCCTTTCTCTTTATTACCAATGACAGCAGTAAAAGTATGATAAAGAACGATCTGAAAGTACCCACTAAAGATTGTTGGATTGGTAAAGAAATTATTTTTTTTTTCAATCAAAATTAGATATATATAAAAAAATATTTCGAAAGTAAAATTTTTTTATGAAATTAATATAAGAAATTATAATCGAAAAAAGATGCTCAAGCAAATATGAAATATCTGTTATTATATTATTAAAAAAAAACCCTTATTAATTGTTGATTTAACTTAATCTTAATAATTTATCAAAATGAACTTAGCATCGGTTCATTTCATTCCAAGCTTGATACGTCATAGTTAATTCCTTCTTTTGCGAGATGTCGTGAACGTATTAGATTTCAATAACCAATGATTATCCGGCAATTAGAGTTTGGACATGGGTTTTGGCACTACGGGCTTTAAATGGGCTGGGATGTTGGGAATTATTCTTATTCCTTTTTATGGGCCTTTTTGTTTATCTGCCACGTGGTGCAGCAGAGACGGTGTGGTTCAGGTAGATCTCAAACCCAGGTAGCAGTATCTAACGGCTAGGAAAGAACTGACCCTATTTTTCATTTCTTCAACCTCTAGGGTTTCAACTGTCAACATCCCCAAAACCCCATTGTCCATTTCCTTTCTCTGTGTCCCAATCTCAATCAAAGCCATTCCTTTACTGCCTTTTATCCACTCTCAGGCACTTGACCCACTTCTCCAATTCAATCATCCAGAAAGCAAGCAACCAAGCTCTCAACTTTGTCAAGTATGTTTCTGTAAGTATCATCTTTCTCTCTCTCTCTCTCTTTTTCTCTGTATCTATCACAGGACTCAAGCTTCTCATTGGCTGTAAAATCAAGTTACAGTTTCAAAATATTCTACTTTGTATAGTACCACAAGAATAATAATAGAATTCTTCAGTCGTTTGTGTGTGAGGGAGACACAGAGAAGAATAAAGTTTCATTCTTCTATATTATATGGGGAAATCAGGAGGTAGAAAAAAGAAGGGTGGTTCAAACCAGGTTTCAGTTGATAACAATTCCAGTATTGCAACTGCGCATGCTAATGGTGGTGTTGATTTAGACTCTTCTATATTTTTGAAGAGAGCCCATGAGCTCAAGGAAGAAGGCAATAGGAAGTTTCAGAATAAGGACTATGTAGCTGCTCTTCAACACTATGATAATGCTCTTAGGCTTATCCCCAAAACCCACCCTGACCGAGCTGTCTTTCACAGCAATAGAGCTGCCTGTTTGATGCAAATGAAACCCATTGATTATGACACTGTCATTGCTGAGTGTACTATGGCGCTTCAGGTTCAGCCTTGCTTTGTCCGAGCTCTTCTTAGGAGGGCTCGGGCTTTTGAGGCCATTGGAAAGTATGAAATGGCCATGCAGGATGTGCAGCTCTTGTTGGGGGCTGACCCCAATCTCAAGGATGCTTTAGAGATAGCCAGTAGATTAAGGACTGCTCTGGGTCCTCGCCAGGAGGCTCAACAAGACCTCCAGAGGCGCCCTTCCCCAGCTGCACTTGGGGCTTCTGCTATTCGTGGTGCCCCGATTGCTGGCCTTGGGCCTTGTTTACCTGCTCGCCCATTGCCTAAGAAGACAACAGCATCATCTTCTGCAGCATCGGTTGTCTTACCAAGTAATAAGCTTGAGAAGTACCAAATGAATTCAGCAGCTGAAAATGGTCCTGAGAACAAGGCCCAGTTGCCAAGACTCGTGCTGAAGCCCTCTAGTGGTTCTTTGAAAGCAACTGATAATCTGAGTAAGGATGGCCAGAGAGAACAGTCTTTCTATGCTTCGATTCATGGGCAGGTTCTGGAGGTGGCAATTAAATGGAGGCCATTGAAACTTGTTTACGATCATGACATAAGACTTTCCCAAATGCCAGTTAATTGCAGCTTCAAAGTGTTAAGAGAGATTGTGAGCAAACGTTTTCCTTCATCCAAGTCAGTTTTGATCAAATATAAGGATAATGATGGAGATTTGGTAACTATTACCTGTACGACAGAACTCAGATTGGCAGAGTCTTCTGCAGATGCTCCTATTTTAAAAGAGTCGGAAGCAGATAAAACCAGTGGATTTGGGATGTTGAGATTGCACATTGTTGAGGTGAGTCCAGAGCAGGAGCCACCGTTACCAGAAGAAGAGGAGGAGAAGCCTTTAGAGAGTGATGGGGCCAAGGCAGATGAAAGTGGCTCTCACTCATCTCTTGGTGATACAGTGTCAGAAGGTTTTGATACTGAGATTGAAAAGACAGGAAAAGAAAGTTCAAAGGAAAAAGTAGGGGCTTCAGATGATCCAGAGTGCAAGGAAGTGGGGATGGATGATTGGCTGTTTGAGTTTGCTCAGCTTTTCCGCACGCATGTGGGTATTGACCCTGATGCTCATATTGACTTGCATGAACTTGGGATGGAGCTTTGTTCAGAGGCTCTTGAGGAGACAGTTACAAGTGAGGAAGCTCAAATCCTCTTTGACAAAGCTGCTGCCAAGTTCCAAGAGGTGGCTGCGTTGGCTTTCTTTAACTGGGGAAATGTTCATATGTGTGCTGCAAGGAAACGGATTCCTTTAGATGAGTCTGCTGGCAAGGAGGTATTGTCAGCAAAACTTCAAGTGGCTTATGACTGGGTCAGGGAAAAGTACTCTTTGGCGAGGGAGAAGTATGCAGAAGCACTCTTAATCAAGCCGGACTTTTATGAAGGGCTTCTGGCACTGGGACAGCAGCAATTTGAAATGGCCAAACTTAATTGGTCTTTTGCTCTTGCAAAGAAAATAGATCTCTCAAGCTGGGATCCTGCAGAGACACTTCAACTTTTTGACAGTGCGGAGGAGAAGATGAAAGCTGCGACTGAAATGTGGGAGAAGTTGGAGGAACAGAGAGTAAATGAGTTGAAAGATCCAAATTCCAGTGAGGAGTTGAAGTTAAGGAAGACACCTGGAAGTGGTGCTGAAAGTGGGCTCTCAGGAGCTGGTAGTCAGGGTGAGCTTTCAGCTGAGGAAGCAGCACAACAAGCAGCTGTAATGAGATCACAAATACATCTTTTTTGGGGCAACATGCTCTTTGAACGATCCCAAGTTGAATGCAAATTAGGAATGGATGGTTGGAAAAAAAATCTTGATACTGCTGTTGAGCGCTTCAAGCTTGCTGGAGCATCTGAAGCTGACATTTCTACTGTTTTGAAGAACCATTGCTCAAATGGAGATGCTGTGGAAGCAGATGAAAAGAATGCTGTTGCTGAAGCAGAGAGCAGCGAGGTCAATCAAACATCTGAAAAGTGATACAGATTTTATTGTTTTCCATCTCTTTGATGGCTTTGGTGAGTTCACCCAGAGTATGAGTTGGTTAATGGAAGTGCATTTTCCTCATTTGCTGGGAGTGATTTTTCCTTGCAAATTAATATTTGGGGCCCAAAATTGATGAGTGGTGTACTTGAAAGATTTTGGGTTTTAAGGTTTCTGTTTTAACCTTGAAAATGACCTTTCTTTTTCACATTGATTACAATGCCAATGAGTTTTTCAATAAGCAAATATGCGTGATCCAATTCAAATCTTACTTGAGTTCAATAAGCAATACAGATGAGTTTTTCGTTATTAATAATATTATAATTTTATTATTCACGCCAAAATCCACGAAAGAGTTTATTGTATCAATGACTTCTCAATGTGGAGAGTGGAAAGTCCGGGCTGCATTCATTGCATAGTGACCATGATTTGTATTGGCAATTTGGCATGCTTTGTCTGCCTATTATTTGCCTTGGTTCAAGCTCATATTAATGGAAAACTTAGTCAACCGAGTTGGTTTAATCTGCCTTTACATAGTTTAGTTGGTTCTTGGTTAGATGGTCAAGAGTGAAGTTTGAGAGCAGAACTGGAGACAATAGAAACCGATGGTTAAATTTCAACCTCCACTGCTGACCCGACTTATGAGCATTGGCATTCAAATCAGATTGACCCTGTATTCATACCAAAATGATTTCGAGTGTTTTTCCATTTTATGATGCTTTATTTCTTGTGTATGACAGCATGCCTAGTTTCTGTCCTCATCCCAAATTAAGAAACTGATTTCAATGAAATTCCTCTTAAAACCTAAATCATGATATAAATCAATCAATTTCGACCAAATCATAATGTGTTTTTGAAATTCTGTTAACTCGGATAATATATTCATGTCAAAGGAAACCAATACATATGTAAGTGCATGGAGACATGAATTCCATATCTAAACAAACGAATTACCTTTACAGAAATCCTGCACACTAAAATCTTCATGGATGCTATAAGTAACACTGACTTAAATACACTTCCTTTGTTGTTTACTGTTGGTGGAATCTTACAATCCTTTCCAGGTGTTTAGAACTTCATGAAAGATATCAGCTATCAGCTCCCCGTATGCACATTGCAGGAAAGCATTAAAATCATCTCAAATATCATATATCTTACCAAATTTCACTAGATATTGCTTGCCACTGGCCGTCAGTTTTAGCAGTTGTTATAAAGCTGCATTTTGGAGGCTCTCAAGTACGTTCTTTGTATCATCAATATCTTCTAGGAGATTCTCATGGCACCCCTCTTTAAAGTCCAATATATCATACTTATCAGCTTCCAGGAGAAGTCCCTGTCAGTGGGTCAGAAATTCTTGGTCTTTGATGTTTCCATAAATATAACTTAGGAAAGCTTGACAAGCTTCAATTGACATGTCGGAGATGTTTATGACTAATAGTTGTTTCTCTTGCAGGTTATGTGAAAACATGCTTCAGAAAACAGGTGATCTTGTAGCACGATAAGCTCCTATGCTTCCATTAGAAGCATTATTAATGATGTCTGTGAAGATGCCTTCTGTTAACATTCGACCAAGGCATGCAAGAGCTGTTTGCATTTGATTGCTTTTGAGTGAGTTCTTCAGCCCAAATGGAGCTGTAAATAACCACAAAATATAAATTTAAATAATTTCACTCTCTTATAGTATCTTTTTCTCCATCAGCATTAGTTTCCAAAGAGATTTTAGATGATAACTAGAGTATAGTTAGTTGTTCCTTTTGGTAGTCTCAAGTTTGGAGATGTAGTCTTCAGATCAAGAAATTCCATGTCAGTAACGAATTTCCCTGTCAAAGGAACCTCAATCAGCCAGGCAAAATCGTCATTATTTTTTAGGTGTTAATCTGTTATTTCTGCAAACAAAGACGACAAAATTGGAAAAAAAAAAAAGTAACCTTGTGTAAGTTACTTTCAAACCATAAATATATTCTTGTCTTAGCTTACATAAAATCATAAGAAAAGCATAAAAAAACTAGTGAGTTTTCCATATTGATTAACATATGCTCTCAATCTAATGAATCAATTATGAATCATGCTTAATCACCTGAATTTATATTCATGAAAGAACAATATCCAACCTTAATCAAAACATTAACTAGTGGATCAAAATAAATGATGATTGCAGATGCAGCATCTACCTAGATGAGTCACCCACTCCTGGTTCCTCCTGTATTTGATAATAACTGCAGAGTACTGCTTACTTATCTGATGTACTTCATTTTTTCCCTTTCTCAGTCTTGGAATAAGAGCCTCAGATAAGATTTTCTTTGACAGGTTCTTTATTAATATATACATTGGAAGCACTTTTCCATGTTTTTCCAAACACCAGAGTTCTGCTGACTTAAATGGTTTTAATTGACTGAAACGTCTCTGCCTAAATTCTGAATGTTAAAGGCTCATGACTCCATCTTGCTCACAAACTAACCAGTGTGAATCCGACATAAGAAATCTTTTGGTCCACAACAAGAAAAGAAAAGAAAAGAAAATGGCTACTAATGCTTTCTTGACCTCCTGTACTGGAAAAATACTAGGCAATCATATTTCAATAGCTTAATTTGTTAAAAAAAAAAAGTTCAACACTGTGTCCACTTTAATTGTTGCAAACTGCAAAGATTAGGTTTTGCTTGGGTCGCCTCCAGAAGCATAGTTTTTTGTCCTGACTTCTTTATCCCCGTCACAATGTTAATTTTTGGCTTATACTACTTGGCTTGAATATGTAACTGTAAATACAAGATTCATCTCAAGGTCAGAAAGTGTTTCAAAAGTAGAATCCTATCCCATGAATTCATAGACAATCACATCATTGAGTCACTACTTGCCAGGTCCCATAGTAACAGAAACAGGTAGCAAGCTTAAGCATTAAGCACAACATGTTTTATATAAAATATATATATATATATATATATATTTCAGCTTTACTTCAAAAGTGCTGCAATTTCAAAAGCAAAAGCAATTCAAAGTTCAAACATAAGCCCCCGCTGTTTTCTAGCTTTATATCTAATCTACTGCTTTTCCGAATCTCAAAACACAAGAGTAGCTCAATGGTTCCAGTCATAATCAAAAGCCTTCTTTTCTTCTTTGCTTTCTTTAATTAACTTCTTAATTTATTTAAGGGAACATCAGACTCTAAACTCTTGTCTGCTCTCATTTTCTTAATTAAGATCCCTTAGTGTTTGTTAAAACATGCTTTCCTCATCCCCACCGCCAGTATTTCCGCCACCACCGCCACCACTAAAGCAAACCATTCCAGTCCCTCTAGACCGAATTGTAATATCAAAGCCAGTTATAAACCAACAAGCTCCGGCTTCAGAAAAAACGGATCTTGACACTCATAACTCAAGAGGAGTTAGAAAATCAATCCTACTACATCCTCGACGGACCAATCCATTGATATGGTGCTGTGCAATCCTCTGTTTGATATTTAGTCTTATTCTTATCTTGTTCGGAGTAGCAACGTTAATCATCTTCCTCTCCATAAAACCAAGAATTCCAGCGTTTGACACTCCTAATGCAAGCCTCAGCGGCATCTACTTCGATTCACCAGAATATTTCAATGGTGATTTTACCTTCCTGGTAAACTTTTCCAACCCCAACCACAGAATTGATGTAAGATTCGAGTATCTGATTATAGAGCTCTACTTTCATGACAGTCTCATTTCAAGTCAAGCTGTTCAACCTTTCTCTCAGAGAAGACGAGAAGCTAGAGTAGAAACAGTTCATTTTATATCGAGCTTAGTCTATTTGCCCCAGAATCTTGGTGTGGAACTACAGAAGCAGATTATGAGCAACAAGGTTAACTACAACATAAGAGGGACTTTTAAAGTGAGAGCCAATCTGGGTTTGATCCATTTTTCTTATTGGTTACATAGCAGATGTGAGTTAGTGATGTCTAGTCCACCAACAGGTGTTTTAGTTTCCCATAGTTGCAAAACAAGGAGATGAAAATGCAAACCCTTTTTCTTTAATCTCCAGATATTTCGGCTATGTTTGATGATATTTCGGCCATATTTGATGATGACAATGAATAGGATAAGATTGTAATCATTTTATATTACGTTTTATTTGCATTTAAAAATAATATAAAATTATAAAAAAATTAATTATTTTTTTGATATAAGATGCAATCTTTTTAAAATAAAAAAAAATATTTTTAATTTATAGAATTAAATTTATATGTCTTATGTTCTTAAAAATTATATTAATAATTTAAATTTTATAAATTTAAAAAAAAAATAATTTTGATCAATAAATAAATTATCATATCTTAATCCTTACATACATTAAATATAAAATAAAATAATATTATTTAATTTAATCTTATTTATAATACCATATTATCTTATTATATCATAATATTATATATGAACCATATCTTTGTTTCTTATGTTCGAATTGATACTAGAATTTTGATGTAAAGAAAATTCTTCTAACTTCTAAACTTCACACAAATGATATATGTTTTTTTTTTCCTTATTATAATAACTTGACCTCTGAATTTTTTGTTCTTTTCCTTTCTTTTCCTTCATATTTCCTTTGGAGCATCAAAATCAATAATCATTATGAGTATGCCTTAAAATAGTAAAATATATTTAAAATCTTCAGAGGTTTAAAGTGCATAAACTTAATTATGGCTTTCAACAAGGAGCAGAATCTCTGGGAACTTTTGTTTGATTGGAGTTCTTCCATTTTTATTACTTGCCAATCTCTCACTATAATCTTTATCCCTTGTACTTCATGAGATTATAAGTTTAGCAATTGGTTAAAGATTAGTATGGTAGCAGAATTAGTCACTGAGTAATTGTAAGAAGGATAGTACAAGTCTTTGTAATTATAATCTATATATAATCTCGGACTACCCAATAGATGGGAAACAAACTCTCAATAGACATAAATGCTTAGTACTTGTAACCCTTAACAAACAAATTCTCACAAGCCAAGCCACCAGCACTTCCTCCACTGTAGTTCCCAAGGGTGGCATCAGAATTAGCTTTGCATCTCAACAAAAATGCCTCTTGTGCTTTTGCAACATTCTCCTTCTTTCCTGCCCACGTCTTGAGTGTGCTTTGTTGCGGAGCCCGCCCGAATGAGAACGACAGTGTCCATGGCTTCAACAAATCTAGTTTGTTCATAGCATCAAGATTCAGCGTTGCCTCTTCCTTACTTTGACCACCTGACAAGAACACAATTCGTGGCACTGCCGGGGGAACAGTTCGGCGAAGTGCAGCAACTGTATATTCTGCGATCACCTGGGGTGAAACCTGTGAAACAATACAATTTTGGAGCCATCAGATCATTTAAAAATGCATTAAGGAAAATATAACATAAACAGTTGAACCAATAGACTGAGTGATATTCAGGAGAAAAGAATTTAAAGTAGTCTACTATAATTACCTTTGGGCTGTCAGAACCTGGAGTGACCATGTTAGGCTTCAAAAGGGTGCCCTCAAGTAGAACATGGTGATCATTCAGCGCCTTGTAAACAGCTGCAATCACAGTTTCAGTGACAGCAGCACATTTTTCAATATCATGGGGCCCATCTGTTAGCACCTCGGGTTCAACAATGGGAACAAGCTGATTTTCCTGACAAATGATTGCATAACGAGCCAAGCCCTGGGCATTCTGCTGGATTGCCAATTCAGATGGTTCATTGGGACCAATCTTGAGCACGGCACGCCATTTTGCGAAACGTGTACCAGCTTTATAGTACTGCTGGCATCGTTCTCCCAAGGAGTCAAACCCTTGAGTCGTGGTCTCACCATTGGTGGCAGCTATGTCAACGGTACCCTTATCCACCTTGATACCTGGAACAACATTGTTTTCTTGAAGGACTTCAACAAAGGGTTTTCCATCAGATGTTTTCTGATAAAGTGTTTCCTCAAAAGGGATGACACCAGAGAGGAAGGGCAGAGCATTCGGAGAGGTGAAAAGGAGCTCGCGGAGGGCTTGGCGGTTGGACTCAATGTTTTCAACGTTAATGCCAGCTAGACGCTTTCAAATGGTGCCTGTACTCTCGTCTGCTGCCAAAATACCTTTGCCTGGCGTGGCAATGTACTTGGCGTTCTTGATCAGCTCCTCTGGAGAAAAGAACCATTAGTAAAGCTAGAATTAACATTCATGCAGAAAATTCTATGCTTCCTGGTTAAAGTCCGTATCTGCTATGAAATAATGAATATCTACGGATTAAGTGTTGGAAATTCTATCCTCAACTTGTTATTAGTAGAAAAAGAAAATTTTATAGCCGACTTCAACCAAATTTCCTATATTTTTCTGGTGCATGCCATATCAACACAGATTAAACTGCTTTGCTTTGAAACCTGATTTTTTTTTTTCATCACAAGGTGACAGGGCACGGTCGAAACCAGTTTTTCTTCAGGTGCTAGCTAGGATTGGACTTGTTCAAGGAAAGCTAGAGACAATTCGAAAGTATTCCACATTTATATTCTAAAACAATTGAGAAAGAGGGGAGAGCGAGTACCTGCATACTTGCCAACAAAAGCCGACATGGTTTAATTAGGCTCGAGGATGCTAATGGATATGAGGAAAATTACAAGAGGAAAATACAAAAGCAAATCCACACGAGCTCCACTCCTATATGGATATAGATGCAATGGAATAAACTAAAAGAATGCATCACATGCCATTTATCAACACGTGTCAAAAGAATAACCCATAAAAAATTATCATCCTCGGATAAAGCAATGAGTGATCTCCTTCATGGCCAAGTGGCAGTTAAATCTGCCTCCTTCCTTAAAATGTATCGGGTGGAATTGCAAATTGTTTATCCCTAAAACTGTTGTTTAGTTGGGAAATCGGAGGGAGGCAACTCAATTCCTCTGCCTGCCAGTTCTCCCTCTATTTCAGCCACAACCTTAACTGTTGATGCAACTCTTGTGGGAACTTAACATATGATACAAGGAGACAGAGAACATAGCAGTTTTTACCCTTATTAGTTGATTTCGGAATTTTCTGTCCAAGAAGGAAGACCGAAATGATGCATAATAAGTAAGAAAATTTCCATGCAGGATAACAAGAATGATGTAGAATGAAATTCCATTATATTTCAGTGAAATATTGGGGTTTAAAAATAGAGATTGCAGGGAGATTGCTAATCATTTATGAAGAAAAGGAAAGTTGTTTTCTATGTTTGGGGGGGGGGGGGGGGTTACAAGGCCAGGTTATTCCACCTTCCTGACATGTTAGACTCTTTCAAGTATTATCATCAGATGATGCAGATATGTAAATGGCACCCCCAGTGTGGTTCAAAAAGATTTTGAGAGTTTTTTTTTTAATTCCACAATGGTAACTCTAGGTCTATTAAGAAAAAAATGTTTCAAAACTGATTATGTGAAATTCAACATGACTAAAAGCTGTAAATCATCTAGGAGAGAAATCAGCATCTCTGATTGAACTATTGCATAGGGGCCACCACACGCTGATCATCATCATCTGCTCCAAAATATCTGTCCCCAAACTCACCCGTACCAGGGACAACACGGAAATCCTCGTTTAAACCAATATCAATCTCAGACGTCATAATCTTTACTCCTGGGAAGCTTTTGCACACCACATGTACACCCTAAGGTAACTGGAGAATCAAGTGACATGATCACAGAGCAAGATAATAAGTAAATCTACACGATGTCCCTGAGGGGATTATAGTTCTAGGTTAGCACTCATTGGGTTACTCAGGACAACAAAATATCCATAGATTTTTCAAGGGGTACAAAAATACCAACTCCAGCTACAACTACTCTGCTGGGCTGTGGTTATTTTACTTTCTCAACCAACAAAAGAAAATACTTGCGTAGTTTTTGAAAGAAACATAAATATATATCCCAAACAGCATTGTATAACTTGTAGTCTTGTTAATTAATGGACAAGTTCTCATTTTGGCGAAGTGGTATTCCAAATCTTATCGTACGACCTTATGCCTCAAATTAATTAAAGTGAAGGGAAAGGAAGATGACTACAACTAATCCACACCAGCTTTTGCATTTCTTCTGAATCAGAAATTAAGGATTCATATGTCGGCGTTTTGTTTTGATGTTCAACATCATCTACCAATTGCTTTGATTTATTCTTCCTTTAATTGCCTCTTTGGCCCAGCAAAAATATATATAGGTTGGGGGGGGGGGGGGGAATAACCATGGAATGTTTTAGCTTCAAACCGACAGCATCTGTGGTCACTTGGAATGTTTTAGCTTTAAACCAACAGCATCATGTCTTCTTTAATGGAAACCATGAAAGATGGCCCATGAACTTTATGTTCTCACGCCAGCCATCTTTTCTCTTCTTTTTTTTTTTTTAATGAGTTTGTTATAGATTGATGTTTTGGTTACTGGCACAGTGTAGAAACAGAACTGTGGTCACTTGGAATGTTTTAGCTTTAAACCAACAGCATCATGTCTTCTTTAATGGGCCAAGCCATGAAAGATGGCCCATGAACTTTATGTTCTCACGCCGGCCATTGTTTCTCCCTTTTTTTTTTTTTAACGAGTTTATTATAGATTGATGTTTTGGTCACTGGCACAGTATGGAAACAACTGTGGTCACTTGGGCTTGGCTCAGGTGTGACTTGCACGATTTCAAAACACGAGAATGATTTCTTGTGTGTCCAAATCATCCTTATGATCCATATTTAATTTATGAAATATTATCCGCTTCGATCCTTTTGATTTCACGATTTTATCTCACAAAAGATACTAACAAGTTAAAAGTGATATAAAACCTTATATCTTATGATCAATTCTAATACACAATCTATGTGAAATTCATGATTTCTCCCTAAAACTGTGACTCAGAGATAATGCCAATGGTATGAATATATGTATAGATCTTAACATATTGCTGACCTCTTATAACAAAATGGAAAAGAACCCAAACGGTGAGAACTAATGCTGTTAATTCATCCAAATTTTGATGTTCAGCCATTCCAAACAATTTGATGCATATAAAAGGTACACTCTTCACAGTTTTTTCAGGAAACTACAGCAATGTAGCTAAAAGACCATTTAATGTCTTAACTATACAAGGCAAAGTGACAGAGGTCACCTCCCGAAACATCTTGTTACTGAAGAGGTAAGAGCAGATGTGAGAAATTTCAGCCCAGCAGATCCACCAGGGAAGTAAGAAATAGCATAGTATACAAGCGCAAGAACCTACAAGTTTCATGGAAACACCAAAAAGAAAAAAAATGATATCAAACTGGATGATCCAGCAGGTAGTAAGCTAATAAATTATATCTCAGCTGATAATTTGACAAACCTAACACATTTAAGGTAAAATAATCAAACAAACATGATTAAGTAAAGGACTATTATAGGATTTGCAGACAGAAAAAGAGCAAGAAGCAAAAAAAGCAGGATGCAGTTTACCTGTAACACAGAAAAGAGCACAGAAAGAATGTAACTGTGAAGCACCATGGAAACATATATGGTACCCACCATACTTCCAATAAATCCCAATGTAAAAGGAAGCCTCTGCAGAAATGGTGTGAAAAATAAAATAATAAAAGAAGAAAGCACTAGATACATCCAATCAAATTAGTTTATTGTCACCTTTTCTAGCAATCAATTTGTAAACAAGTTCAGAGAAAAAAAAAAGAATATAAATATAGCATAAATACCTCTCTTGATGACATGTGAGCAAACTGATTCTTTGGGCCTCTTAGAGCAAAAAATGAGCCAATGATAAAGCCACATCCAAGGGTAAAGCAGATTGCAAATTTCTGGGGCATGAGGACCATGATCGGAAGAAACATGGTAAAAGCGATGAAAATAAAAAAGGCCCCAGTCGCCAAAAGTAAACCAAAATAGATAAGTGCTTTTCCTGAAGGGACACTACTTGTGGCAGATTGGAGATTCCCAGGAAGATCTCTCACCCCTTTTGAAACACTGGACCCCCAAGAACCAAACCAAAAATGCATTAACAGAAGAATATGATCTTATGAGTTATGACATGTACCTATCCTTTTTTATTTAACTTTTAACAGGAGAGAAACAAGTTTGCATTGGCTTTTAATTAAAGATCCCATAGCAATAGCTCTTCCAACACTATAGGAAGATCACCCAAATTTTGAAATATGCCAATTTATATTCTTTCATTCACCAATAATATTCCTTTTTCCTTTCAATTGCTACCTACAAGGTAGTCTGATACGTATTACTAAAATAATGGACTAGAGAAGAGAGAGAGAGAGAGCACCTAGTACAGCTAGTTCACTGAAAGTGCACAAGACAAAAAAATTCTACCAAAACCATGATTAGTTAGGAATCTTGAACCTAGTTCTCCAATGCTCACATAAATAATCATAGTGAGATAATATGATTGACATGATCACTCCACTCATATGTGCTGAATTGGAACATTAAACACTATGGTTCATTAAATTTAGGGATCAAATAACTGGAGTTTTCTCCTGAGCTAAAACATGTATGTCACCTATGCTGACTTAAAACTAAATAAATCCCAGCCAGAAAATGAGGCAGATATCTTCTTCTTTGTTGATTAGAAATTATAATCAAGTAAACCACCTAGGCATATCTGGTTCTCTACCAACAAGCAGGTTGCTAGCATTACATTTGGTTTCTACTTGTATCAGTGATCGCATTGCAAAAGGATAAAAGGGAGAAATAAAATTTTCAAGAGGAGAAAAATAACCAGAAGAACTGAGGAATCTACTAGTATCAGCAATTGAATTATTCTCAACTACAACTTGAACAGAGCACCAAAAAGTTTGAATATTTACTCCATGCAGCAAAGATATCAATGATCAATAGTCAACAGGTCTGCAATTTGGTAAAGACACATTAAGACCACCATTTAAAAGGCAGATTATGACATGGCCAAGGAAAACTCTAAACAGCATAATCTGAATAACCAAGATACTACACTTGAAGTCATGATTGAACCCAGCTAGCTTGCAAAAAATCCTCTTACATTGTTAGTCATGTAATTTCCGACCCATAAACAACACCATATACGAATTCTAAAGAAAGCTTACCATCTGGTCATGCCCAAACCAAAAGCAAATTCACATTAAGAATCTATATGCTTTGATAACCCACTTGGTTGTATAACATAATGGCGAATAAAACCAGAACTTTTATCATCTAAAAGATAAATACCAAATTATTTCATCCTAGCCAGTGCGATCATAAGCTCACCTCTACCTATCTTCAATCCTTCTACTTGAATCAAATCAATCTTGTTCAAAAGAGCACCTTAATGCATAACCACCCATCTAAGCCATCTGCTTTTATTCTAAAACCAACTAATGCCATAAAGCCTATGTTTTCACCAGATAACACTCAATGGAACAGAAAAAAGCCTTGGGCCGAGGGCTTGCGCATACACACTATACGAGTTTCATTTCCGCGTATCTACTATGCAAAGAGATGACTATTTCAAAATCATACATATATTTAAGCTCTTCAAACTGAATTAATTGCTAGATGCATATTCAAACTCACCCAGATTTCAAATGACACCTGGATCCTAAATCCTAAAACCAAATTGACAACAAATCAACAAAATAACCATAACCAAACAATAAATTTCACAAAACTTCAAATATAGCAATGTGAGTTTTATTACTAAATCAACACGCTTCAAGGCCCGAAAATCCTAAAGTAGTAAATCCTATTAAATCAAATAGCAATTATCCAAATCCAATTCACCTAGTATAAAACACAGAAACACAATGCTAAGTTTGCAATTTCATTAAAAAAAAGCAAATCCCATTGTCAAATTAACCATAATAAACTAAAAGCACAATAAAAATGGATGGTCTTTCATATTTCCCAAATCAAAAAGAAGAGTGTGACAATGACTTACACATTGAAGGTACCAGTGACAGTATCATTGGCAGACCTCACAGCAGACTCAAGATCAAACCCAAACCCAGTTGCTGTGCCCTCTTCTGCTTCTCTTGAAGCTGCATATGAGTTCCAATCTGCTAAAAGAGATGGCCCTTCTTTTCCCTGCCCCTCACCTCCGCTACTGCCCCCTGAGAACCAAGCTTGCATTTTTTTTCGCTTATTAATGGTTTCTTGGAAACAAGCAGCTCTAAAGGTTCAGCCTTTTTTGTTGGATTTATTTATTTTTGGATTAGTTAAGGCATGGGAGTGGTGAGGTTGCTGTATGTGAATAAATGTCCTGAGAGGGAGCTTAGCAATGAAGGAAGTTGACGATTCTTGTTCGTAGCTTGACAAGGTAACGGCGTCGTATTTGTCAATGGTTATTGGGTATTTATTGGAATTTCTGATACCTGGGGGCAGCCCAATGAAAACCCGAGCCTTTCCTAATTCTTTGATCATCGTAAAATAAAATCCAAAAAGAAAAAGGAGGGATATAGAAAAATAAACGTTCCTCTATAATTAGTAGTAAAAAAAAAAAAAAAAAGGAAAAGAAAAGTGGTCAATAGAAGGATCTAGAAACCCTAATGAAGTCTCCTTTATAACGTCTGGTTACGCTCCTACGACAGCCTCGCTCGGTTGCTGTTCTTCTCTCCCTCTCTCTTCAAAGCCCAAGCCCTATCATTGCCCTTCGCTCTCATTTCGCACTTTTCTGTGTTTGTTGGGGACCGGTAGTTTAGAGGTTATCCATCGATGGCGAAGACAGAGACGTTTGCTTTCCAGGCTGAGATCAACCAGCTTCTCAGCTTGATTATCAACACTTTCTACAGCAACAAGGAGATCTTTCTTCGTGAGCTCATCAGTAACGCCTCTGACGTAAGCCCCTACTCCTAACCTCTCTCTCTCTGTTTTTCATTTTTAAAGACTTTTAGAGTATTGGTATTGTTTTACTTATTTTCGAAGCGTGACTTAACAGATCTGATCGTCTATGCTTTGATGTTCATGGGTTTTTTTTTTTCTTTTTTTGTTTATTTGTATGATAGAAAATTTAGGTTTTTTCTTGGTTTTAATACAATTTTTTCTGATTTTTAATATGTAATGCTTTGTTCTTGGGTTGTTCATTTCGATTTGCTGATTGCTTTTGTTAGTGAAGGTGTTTCGTTTTAGCATTTGATTTATTGTTATGGTTTCGTTTGAAGGTAATGGATTTTGTTGTATTAAAGTTAAGGTGAGAAAAACTTATCCTTTAAGAAGGCAGTGAGCCTCTGTTTCTTGAAGTTTAATGAAAGCTGCATGTTTTTAGTATAAATTTCTGCTTGTTCTGGTTTGCATGAATGTAAAACAGTGAAAAAGAATGGCCTTTTGAGTCTGATGTGTATAACATATTGCAAATGAATGGGCTCACGGTATGATAAGTAATTTTTTTTGTTAGTTAGTTATTATTTTTATTTTAAAACTGTGTCTTGTAGGCTTTGGACAAGATTAGATTTGAGAGCTTGACAGACAAGAGCAAGCTTGATGCTCAGCCAGAACTCTTCATCCACATTGTTCCAGACAAGACTAACAACACCCTTTCAATCATTGACAGTGGTATTGGCATGACCAAGGCTGGTGAGTGTTTTTTATTGCTTCATTAATTCATGTTCATTTAGTTGTTGTGTTTCAACTAAAACGAGGCCTAAATGTGATTATATCTCTGTTATTAGACTTGGTGAACAATCTTGGAACCATCGCAAGGTCTGGGACCAAGGAATTCATGGAGGCATTAGCTGCTGGTGCTGATGTTAGCATGATTGGTCAATTTGGTGTTGGTTTCTACTCAGCATACTTGGTTGCTGAGAAGGTTGTTGTTACCACAAAGCACAATGATGATGAGCAGTATGTATGGGAGTCCCAAGCTGGTGGGTCGTTCACCGTCACCAGGGATGCCTCTGGGGAGAACCTTGGTAGGGGTACTAAGATTACCCTTTTCTTGAAAGAGGACCAGCTTGAGTACCTTGAGGAGCGCCGTTTAAAGGACTTGATTAAGAAGCACTCTGAATTCATTAGCTACCCTATATCCCTCTGGATTGAGAAGACTACTGAGAAGGAGATTTCTGATGATGAGGATGAGGAGGATAAGAAGGATGAAGAAGGGAAAGTTGAGGATGTCGATGAGGAGAAGGAGAAGGAAGAGAAGAAAAAAAAGAAGATTAAGGAGGTCTCGCATGAGTGGTCTTTGGTTAACAAGCAGAAGCCCATTTGGATGAGGAAGCCAGAGGAGATTAGCAAGGAAGAATATGCTGCTTTCTACAAGAGCCTTACAAATGATTGGGAAGAGCATTTGGCTGTCAAGCACTTTTCAGTTGAGGGGCAGCTTGAGTTCAAGGCTATACTCTTTGTGCCTAAGCGGGCACCTTTTGATCTCTTTGACACAAGGAAGAAGCCCAACAACATTAAGCTGTATGTCAGACGTGTCTTTATCATGGACAACTGTGAGGAGCTGATTCCTGAATTCCTTGGCTTTGTGAAGGGTATTGTTGACTCAGAGGACCTTCCTCTCAACATTTCAAGAGAAATGTTGCAGCAGAACAAGATTTTGAAGGTTATCCGCAAGAACTTGGTGAAGAAGTGTATTGAGCTCTTCTTTGAAATAGCTGAGAACAAGGAAGATTACAACAAGTTCTACGAGGCCTTCTCCAAGAACCTCAAGCTCAGTATCCATGAGGACTCTCAGAACAGAAATAAGATTGCTGAATTGCTCCGATACCACTCCACCAAGAGTGGTGATGAGATGACTAGCTTGAAGGATTACGTGACCAGAATGAAGGAGGGTCAGAATGACATCTATTACATCACCGGTGAGAGTAAAAAGGCTGTTGAGAACTCCCCATTCCTTGAGAAGCTGAAGAAGAAGGGTTATGAGGTCCTTTATATGGTTGATGCTATTGATGAGTATGCTGTTGGTCAGCTCAAAGAATTTGAGGGCAAAAAGCTTGTGTCTGCTACCAAGGAAGGTTTGAAACTTGACGAGAGTGAAGATGAGAAGAAAAAGAAGGAAGCTTTGAAGGAAAAGTTTGAGGGTCTTTGCAAGGTTATCAAGGATGTGTTGGGTGACAAGGTTGAGAAGGTTGTGGTCTCTGACCGCGTGGTTGATTCTCCCTGCTGTTTAGTCACTGGTGAGTATGGTTGGACTGCCAACATGGAGAGGATCATGAAGGCCCAGGCTTTGAGGGATAACAACATGGCTGGATACATGTCAAGCAAGAAGACCATGGAGATCAACCCCGAAAACCCCATAATGGAAGAGCTGAGAAAGAGAGCTGATGCTGATAAGAACGACAAGTCTGTGAAGGACCTTGTTCTCCTGCTCTTTGAGACTGCTCTTCTTACCTCTGGCTTCAGTCTTGATGACCCTAACACCTTTGGTAACAGAATCCACCGGATGTTGAAACTTGGCTTGAGTATTGATGAGGATGCAGGTGATGCTGATGCCGATGCTGAAATGCCCCCGTTGGAGGATGCTGATGCTGAAGGCAGCAAGATGGAAGAAGTTGACTAAGCCTAACGTGTTTTGATGTGAACTTTATTTAGTAGTTTCATTTTATTTTGAAGGTAACCTTTTTGCTCTAATAGTTCAATGGTTTCACATTTTGTTCGGTGCTCCCTTGGGACTTCTTTGGTTATCTTGGCGAACTCCTAAATGCTGTTTGTTTAAGAATATTACGTAATAGTTTTTTTAGTGCCTCACCCATTGTGTTTGCTGTTACGCTAAACAAAGTTGTATCGGTAAGTCATTGGTCAATCATGTCGTACTTGTTGTAGGGAGAGAATTTTACCTTCTCTCACAGGTACCTATATATTATAAATTTCCACGTTGCGAAGTAAGGTTAATAATATTTTCACATAATTTACTGGTCATTGTGTTTTCAGCCCAAATCCCCCATTTTGTACCCAAAAAACAAAAATGCCTGAAGTAGTTGAACTAAGTAGGATTGTTCTCCGCTGGGTCCTCCATGCTTTTGTGTTATAATAGTCTGCAACTCCAGCCATTATACAACTACAATAATCAAAATTTCTTTGTCTGCAACCCCATTCACTGTCACCTTATTGTTTGTTTTCTAACCAATTCAATGCAAGTATAATCAAAATTTATGTTTACCGAAATCTGGAGGATTGTAATGCATGTAGGGGGTAATCAGTTTTTCAGAAATATTGAAACTGGTGAAACTTCATGGAAGGTGCCTAATGTTTTGCATCAGATAAACCAATCAACTTCTGACCATAACGCTCCCACTGTTGAATATAGAGAGACTGCTAAAGTAGGTGTGCAGGAATTGAAATCAACTCTTGAGTGCCCAATCAATTGGTGGCAATTTGATTCTTCAAAACAAGGTGTATGATAATAAGCAGGACGGACGATACATCCATTCAATGTACATGGATCAATGTTTGTCTCCATTTTGGGAGCACTGTGAAAGGCAGCTAAAACGGCTTGAAGGTATTTTTAATTAATGATAAAATTTACCAGCTTGCAAAATCAGCTGAAGAAGCCCCTTTCTGTTTTGAAGAAAAGCTCAAGATATGAAGTTGAAGCAGATGGAAAGGATTATCAATGCACGCAGTTTCTTCTACTCGTGAAATTTCTCATGTTTCTACTACTGATGTTGACACATTAACAGTGATGTAAACAATCAATATGTGGTAACTGTTCCTTCTTTTGGATTACCTACTGAACATTTGGAAAGTGAAGCCCAAATTGGTGAACTGGTCGATGGAGATACTCTTTCCGGAGAAGCCAATTCTAAGATGGAGTCCATGCTGGCGATATGATGTGAACATGGAAGTTCAAGATGCAACTTCCACAAGTACACTAAATATACTTGAATATTTTTCTTCCTAAAAGATGTATTTATATTTAAATATACTTCTTTTTCTATTAGTTTTTTATACAAATCAGAATGGGAATTAAGGGGATGAGAATTTTGGTATGAATCAGAGTCAATGGAGTACTATAAAACTGACAAATATTGAAGCAAGCACCAATCCATCTCGAAATGATACAATAACAATTTTTCATGTCGATAAAAGTTTATACATCGCTATATATTCATTTATATAACTGAATAAGTCAATAAACTTTCATGTAAAACAAACACACTTTTAGGTGCATGCAATGCCATTTGCCATTGGCCATACTAAAAAAAAAAAAAAAACCTTAAATATAACTCTCCTGTAAGACCGAAACTTCCATTCAATTTGATACATTTCAGGAGAGATTAAAAATGAATCACAGTCACCATGCACCATTCAAGTACTCAAACTTTGGTATATGTAGGAAATTAAATCCTTAAGGCTGCTACTGAGCTTGGAGAGAATCACTGATGATGGGATGGGATTTCGAGTTGGCAAGCAACGAAAGTTTTGATCCGACAGAGCCTCCCCTTGTCATGCCACCAAGTCTGTGCTGACGGCACCTGAAGGAGCCTGCATGCGTGGTGGGAGAGCAGAGGCAGTTCCACCTTGCGCCTGATGGCTTGGTCGAGTTCCCTGGTCCTCGAGGCGAGACATGCACTGTTGGATGCCTCTTTATTTCCTCCAAGTTGATTTCTGTTACAGATAACTTCTTGCCCCTTAAGTTGATCTTTGGAGGCTTTGGTTCCTGTCTTTCCTCCATGGCTTTCTTAATTTGATGTAACTTCAGAACATGCAACAATTTGTCAATTTGTCAATATGAGTCAAATGTCTTAACAAAGTTACACCAAAATTATTTTTTATCCGTTAGAATTGGATTCTAAATGCACGAAATATAAGCAAGAACATCTCTAAAATCGTAATCTCATGGCAAATGAGCATGCAAGACATTGATTATAAAGGGATCCGATTTTAATTTTAATCTTTGAAAGAATTAGAAGAAAAACAAACGAGTTAAGTAACAGGTGAAAACAAAGCTTTCGCCATTTATTCAAAAAAAGAAAAAAAAAATGGAAAACAAAGCTAATAACCTGATATTTGGAAAGCGAAAGAGCAAGGAAGATCCCCCAAGTTTCTTGATCCCGTTCTTGAAGAATGTTTTGTCAAGGAAATTAAGACCCTTGGCTGGAATATAATTAGAGTATGAGTTTCTTCAATTTGGAAGAGAGAGTACTGATTCCAACGGAGAAATACGAATATGACAAAAAAAAGTAGTTAAAAACGCTAAAAATTTGCATTGGTTTTCTGTCGGTTGAGAACACATGGTTAACTTTCAATCTATAATTCTAACCACTTATTTCTATATTTTGCCTTTCTCAACAAAATCTACTGTTAACAAGTGCTGCCGACGAATCAACGCCTCACTAACATCACAAGCTAGGTGTTTTAGTAGAAACCTGTGTTTTAGTATATCAAAGTTGGAGAAAAACAAGTATATATGAGAGTGAAACCCTTAGGATTTTGGGAATCGGAGGCCATTTATTCAAGAGAGTAACCTCAGCATTGGACAGTGTCTGATTTTATCGATTCAGGTTTCTAATACGAGGGGTACAAGAAACATGTTATAACGAAATATCAAAGTTAATTAAGATACAAATCCAAAGTTTAGTTTAGTTAATTAACGCAATTATTCTTAAAAAGTGACATTAAATAAGTTTAAAATTCGAATCTCAATATTTGTTATCTATTTTCTTATCCTCAAACTGTGACCGCCTCAAAACCAAAAAGGAAATTAGGTATGACACATATCATATGTTTGTGTTTAATAATCTTTTACCATGGTGGTCATAAAACAAAATGCTTTAACATAATTCTAGCACAAGTTTTACTCAGAAACTACAACAAGCGAATGGTTGTAATCCCAAATAGACTGAATTTTATTCATTGTTTAACTTCCCTAAACCCCTCAAATTGACTAGCAATCCATAGAGATTTGTTAGCTAATCCATGCGAGAGTCATCAGGTCACTAGGTCATTAGACATTTATTCCTCTGCAAATGGATAATACGATGACTAAATGGATTAAAACCACTTAGTCTAGTATATATGTTTGTTCTTATTTGTTCTGTTGAAATTTCTACTTCTGCCTCTTGTATATCTTCGCCAAAAATGATTTTAACACGGCTTGTACTGCTTTGCTTGGATGAGCCTCGATTTGTTTTGTTATTTTCTCATAACTCATGTTCTCATACTCCGCAAATGCACCCTGCAAGTAGCACCAGAAATCTGTCAAAGAAATGGTTGCAGTTCATGAATCCAAAGCAAAGGCAGATGGCACTATGACGAACCTGAATATCTAGGGTTTTATAGAGCTCTTTCACTTTGGCAACACATGCTTGATCAGTTTTTCCGTAATTATCCTGGAAATGAAACAGATACAGGTAGAGCAAGTCCGAAGTATTATAGAAAATAACAAAATGGCATACCAGGAGGTGAAACTCCTGCTTACATATAACAATTTCTTTTGGTCTTCGTTTGCACATTCCAGAGCTTTTACAACCAACCAAGAGCACTTAAAGTCTTCAATATCAGTTCCAACCTAATAGAGAAGAAAACAATTAACTAATAAGACCTTCAACTGATCTAGTAAAATAAGAGAGAAAACATATAGTCAAGCCAATTGCATTGCCAGACAGCCATGAAACTCACCTTGCCAATTACCTCAGGATCACCAAAACAATCTAGAAAATCATCCTACAAATTAAAAATTCGTCAGGTGAATGGCAGAAAAAAAAGAAGATATTTGCTTATTTAATAGTTGACAGGAGATGCTTCATGAACAAAAAAAAAAAATTGTTTTTAGAATTTTTTTGGCCAACACTAGATGTTCCAAGTTTTACTTTTTTTACTTTCTGTAGTTCCTGTATCTTAGCTCTCAAATTAAAAAATGGAAATCTAGTATTGTGGTCACCTGTACTTGAAAATAGGTCCCCATCTCAACAAGGACATTCTTCACATCAGTATGATTGTCAAGATTCTCTCCTGCCATAAGCAATGCACATGCAACCTGGTTTGTGTGGAGAAATAAGAAGCAATAATATGTCAAAACAGATTAAATGTGTTCCCATATAAAACAGCATTTGATGCAAGAAGTGACAATAGGTGTGAAGCTAACTGCCTATAAAACGAATGACCAAGATGTATGCTAGAAGCTAGCTCCAATGATCAATGATAACACTATAAATTGCTTGATTCGTCGGAGTGTGAGGTTGCAAATCTTGATAAATGTGGCCTATAACATAGAAAGTTACTCACTGGAAGGTAAAATGAGTAATAAGCTGTTTTGTACTGAACAATCCTGCGGTGACTGCATTGAAACAAATCATTTGATAGTTTAACTATGCAAAAAAGAATATCATTTGCACTGAAGGGTACATTAACTACAACAATTTTCTCGTAGTCCCTTACATTGACAATGAGTACTTTGATAGATCTTTCTCTCCTTGAAGTGTGGAAATTAAGTCTATCATTATCCCCGAGGCTGTTTGAAATTCCACCTAAATAAAAGTAGTTCAGATACATGACCAATGGTACCTGATTATATCAAAAGCAAGTGAGCGTCTGCTTTATGCAGACAGTATAACAACAAACCAACCTCATTGAATAAATCTAGCAAATCCACGTAATAAGGCTTTCCTCTAAAGTGCTTCTTGAGAATTCTGAAGATTTGGTTTCGCAGAATTAACCCATCATTGACAGCAATCATTCCAACCTATGATGAAACTTTCAGAAGTTAGAATTTCCATAGAATTGAGAGAGCTAACCCACTGGCTTATCTCAAGTTTCCAACTCCTTTGACAGGCTCAACTGATTTGCAAACAGATTTATCCCCAGAAAGTACAAAGGGACTATCAAGCTTTTACGGTAATACTAGGAAGGGAGGATCATTCTTGTTATGTCTTACCTTTGGAAGCCTGAACCAGCATGGTTGACCTCTGCGTGTATAAGAGCTATCCATGATATCATCAAGAACAAGAAAATATGCTTGAAGCTGTGCAAATCAATGTAAAAAAAAGTCAATTCCAGTACAACAAAAATGAAACAACTGTCCCAATTATTGATTAAAATGAGGATAAGCAAAAGAAGATTATGCATCCTTCAGCCACACCCATTCAATGCACCAACCAAGGGCACATGCAAGAAAATTTTCATCATCACTCAGCTCTTTTCCATGTTTCAATAACTTGTAGCTGTCAATGACAGACAACCCTCTGTTCAGCTTTCCTGCCAACAATAGAATCAGTAAGCCCCCTTGATAAAGAAACAAAGCCAATTTACCGTACATTTCAGGTCTTTATTGAGAATCGTGATCAATCCACACCTCCAGGTACATTATAATCCAGCATCTGCAACAAAAGGAGAAACCAGACTATCATGATTTACAATTACTCATAAGATACAACTAAAGAAAGGAGAGGGATGGATGACAACAAGTCCTGAAACTGAAGCCGGTTAAAGCTCATATGATCACACTATCCAATGGGATAGATGCACTCTCAATTGCTGGTCCATTATCAGTTTCATTTAATACAAAAATGCAGAGTTTATTAGTTACAGAAAAAGGAAATAAAATCTAGCAGGCTCGAGTAAAATTTCGAGAAACAGCTGATGAAATCGAAGTTTGAATAATCATATATTTTCATGTCAAAACCAAAAATTCTACTCCCAAATCTTTTCCTTTTTTTTCCCCACGTAAACATCCTAAGCTTGCAGGACTAACAAATAATTCATCAAAAGCTCCAATTAAACCTCCTAACGAACTTCCAAAATCTAAGAATTGATTCAGCTGCTGATACATATCCAACTCTAAATTCAATTTACGCAGAAAGCACCTAAGCTAACAAGAGAACAAGATTTTAACAGAGATTGAAACCAACAGTAATGCAGAAAGTGTCCACTGTTAAAACTAAGAACAAGAACCCAATAGGAAAGCATTCACAACAAACAAAAGCCACAGTGCCAAAAAAGAGATAACAAAGAGATGTGATGGGGAATTACGCGCTCTACCCATTGGCGAGAATCATCAGTAAATTCAAAAGCAGGGTCATTAAGAAGCTCTGATTTCAGTACAGGGTAGACCTCCAAAAACTTGGATTTTAGCTCACTCATGTCTTGGCTTTTGCCTTGTCGTTATTTCAGATCAACTGAAGTGAACTGAGAGATACGGTCGTTGTTAAAATAAAGGGAAAGAAGTATAAAACGATTTAGATGGTCCTTGGAACAGTTGGTGTTTGAACAAAAAAAAAAAACCGAGGTTGTCGTTTTCAAAGTAGGTATTTAAGCTTGTACTGTTTTATTCTACCAAAAGAATTCGATGTATGAGCCGCCATTGAGGAACGCTGGAATCAACAAGGAAATGGTTCTTCACCTAATAGCAATAGCATATTTAGCGTGTACTCTACTTTCCTTGTTGATAGTCCAGTAAGCCATCCCATGTATATGCATTTTTCAACTATCCTGGTCACCAATGACAACTTCTTAATTTCTGGTTCAACCCCTTTAGCACATCAAATCTGAATTTAAATTGATATCAATATTATTAATAATAATAAATAATAATAAGGTCTTTGTTATTCAATCCCAATGTTATAAGAGGGAAAACACTTCAATCACTCACAAAATACAATTAGAAACATCTGGATTCTATATTAGACAGTTTTGACCTGAAAGTAAAGGACCAACCATCCAAAGGCAGGCATGGTTTCCAACTGGTTTAATTGTAATTGCAGGAGCTTTTTGATCACTAGTTGCCAACTGGTTATGGTTTTATTGGTGGAACCTGTTTCAATCTTCAAAATGAATGAATTGTGGCAAATTTTAATTTGAGAGTGGAATCATGAGAACTGAGAAATAGATTAGCTACTAAATATGCATTATTTTACAGCAGGCCTTGAAAAGGTTATGTAGAAGTTTGGGGTATTTGTGAGTAATGGGTTCTCTGCTAACATTAGGAAGCAAAATTCTTCATTCTTCTGCAATACATATTCTCAGAAACAGTATAATTCAGTCTGGTTTTGTGTATGATTTTTGGTTACTGGTGAGCACCACTGTACAAAAAACAAAACTCACTCAAGTAACCTTTGTAATTTTACAAATAAATCACGCCATAGTGAATCAGGGAGGAAATTGGGGGGGGGAGGGGGGATAATAAGAGCTTTTCATCTTTGTTCTTGCTTTCTGTTTATCTCTCCAGTTCTTGTTTGCAAAGAGGACAGCAAGAAATAATTCGGAGCCACTGATCAACACATTTGAGGTGAAATATGTGGGAACATGGCAACTTTCTCACCTCTTCTTTGTCTTTATACTTGGCTAGGCAAATACAGCACTCCTGTCAAATTCAAGGTCAACCACAAGAAACAATAAGAAGACAATTAGCCTGGAAGATAAATTTGAGTCTTTTTTTACCATTCTTGTGATCAAAGAAAAGCTAGAAAAGAGCATTAATTATGGTATATATTTAAATGTTCACATGGGACTCTTGAATTGTTATATATATGACTTACTGGATCTTCATTTACCGGGCTTGCATTGCAGTCTGAATCATGGTCAATCTCCAAGTTGGTGTTGATTTCTTTATATCTCCAACTAGGCAGCCTGGAGATCTGATCATCAGATGCTCCTCTGTCAGTGGAACCCACGTTCATGTTGTAGCCTAGGAGGCTGCTAATAAGTGGTACACAACAACATAGAAGTAGGAACAACAGAAATGGGAAAGAGTAGCTGAGAGCATTCCAAGCTAGCAATGAGATACAGAGTGCATGAAGATTTGGAGTTCGGTGGAAGGATCCAAAGCGAGAATCAAAGACCCAAACGTTTCCCATCACAAACCATATTGCAAAGAACAGCTCTAGTGAAGTCCGGCATTTGTTCATCAAATGTGAGCTCCTGAACATGGTATATCTCAATTAATAGGTATACAAGGAAGCTAAAATTTTCCTTTGATAGTCTTCAGATTCAAATTAATGGAACATTTCAAATTTCAAGTAACCACATATGATTTAGAACCTTTCTTACCCAACAATCATGCAAAAAGTAATAAATAAAATTGATCTTGATGGACTTGGAACTGTAAAACGCTTACCTTGATTCTTCATTGGTCCTCTGTTGTTCAATGTCAGAAAGGCCAAAACCATCTCCTTGAGTGATGTGAAGATGACGGTAACGGCCATAAAGAAGAAACAAACTAAGGACACAACCAATATCATAGCTAGCAATCCATATCCTCATAGGCCAAACAGGCCTCTCCTGATTTGAAAAAGCCAAAGTGAATGTTGTGATGCTTATTTGAATTACCAAAGCTAAGAACTCCAGCATCATCCAAGTGCTAGAATTGAAAGGATTGGACCCAAGATCGGAACTTGATCCATTTTGGTAGTGGAAAACTCTCCTTGAGAAGGTAAACCACCTTGCTCTAGATATCCTCATCGCCATTCTTAACGAGAGTGAAGAAGAAGGAGCAAGAGGAGACCTATTCCACGTACCTGCAGCCACTCTATCTTCTCCTCCGGGAGTATTCGATGACAATGAAACCGCGGTGCTTGAATTACACAACGAATCCGTTTGAAAAGAGTAACGGCTATTCATGATTCCTTTTCTTCTTGTGTTTTTGGGAAGCAAACTCAACCAAATTTATAAGGTACTAACAATTATTTGTAATTCCTAAGCAGAAACATTATGAAACTGATGACCACAAATATCATACTGGCAATTATATCAGCAAGACTTCCATGTGCAGAAAACAATCATAATAATTCTTGTTGAGGTAGTTCGGAAACAAATACCACAAGGTTCAGGCAGTAACCAAACTGTTGAATTGAGAAGCTTGCATATCTGCAGGCCTAACAATTAAGGCTCCCATAGCCAGTTTGTTAGCTTAGCCTTAGCAAGCAAACCCACCAAATTAAGACTCTTGAAAAATAGTTTTCCAGATGCAAACCAACTTCTAAATACTATCAAAACCTGTACTCCAAACAAAGCACAAGTTGTTTGGAGGGCACTTAGTAAATATAGTCCCTCAATCGAAGAGCTTTACCATCAAACAAAACTAACAAAGAACCTCACTTTTACAAAGAATTCACCCCCTAAAAGCACCTACCATAAACAAAAACCATAAAACTCAGGTTGGTATTTATGGACAGGCCTTTGAATGAAGAAATTTAAACAAAATGAAAGTAGATATAGAAGGTTGGAGAAGTAGAGAAAACAGAGAAGATGGTAGTAGAGACAGGAAGGTGGAGTTGGGTCTCAGATGGTGACCAAGAATCAACTGAAAAGGAAAAAAAAAATAAAAGACCTTTGCTTTGATTCCAAGTGAACAGAAAGAGGGAAACTTGGAGGGAAGCTAACCGTTGTCCTAACTTCCCTGAGGCTTTTGTATCTTAAGTAAGCACAGCTGAGACAGCAACTGCCTCTTCAACTGCAAATCTCCTTCCGCTTTCTCTCTCTCTTCCTTCTAAAGAATTAGGACAAAAGCAAAGATAGTTTTCTTCATATTTTAACTTGAGTTATTCCCACTTAAAAGCTTTAATTGGTTAAGTGGTAAAGAGATTTTATTATATAATTGATTCTGTAATATATTCTTACTCATGTAAAATATTTTGAATTATGGCGGGTACAGTGGTAGTGACAATTTTAGGTTGTTGGTATGGGCAGTTGGCCACCAAATCCAACCAAGTTGTTTCCATTTGGTATTATACTAAAGGATCATGACTCCATGAACTTTTTGTTTGTCACTAATTTCGCAATAAACTCCACTAGTACTTCTCTTACTTTGGTTATCAGAGATGTGAGTTCGTTTTAGTCATGAAAATGGCATGAATCTGAATTGTTGATATTGGGATGGTCATGACAATTGTATTCTATCTGAATTGTTGATCTTGGATGGTCATGGCAATTGTATGTTCCTTCAAAACCCTTTTTTTCTTTGTAAAAAAAATGCCATGCCATATCTGTTTTTGATGAATTGATGTAAGCTTAACAGATGGATAAAGCTTAAAGCTTTACCGACCACCAGGGATGTTTATCATGACAGAATTGGTCTGTTTCTTGGAAAATGTTGGGTTTAACTAATGGTTTGCCAAACCAAGGTGTCTTGTTTGATCTTCCAACTGATTGTGTGCACATTAAAGTTTTGAATGTTTATTAATAATGTCTCTTTTGGTTATGTCAATGATAAATGAATTCGTGGGAGCCCACAGGCAGGCAGATGATCTATTTCCAGAAGAGACAAAGGAGCTTTGACCACCCTGTTTTCTTCAAACCAATTTGAGTTTGGAGCTGGTCTTTGTCTGGTCTGGAAGTAAACTTTTGTACCCAAAGGCCCTTCATATCTGAGTAGGTGTCATGGTCAAGTGTTTCATTGATTTGTTCCTTTATATATATATATATATATATATATATATATATATATAAATTAAATGATTGAGTTATTGTACAGTGAAAATTATAGTTGGGTTTGGTAAACAATTGAAGTCCATGAATTAAAGTACACAAATTGAATTGAGATGGGCTTCAAATTTTAGACCCAAACCAATGGTTAAGATGGACCAACTATCCAGATCCGAACACCGACTCCAATTCATTATTGCTGCTATATCCAAATTCCAAAAAGTCCGATTTTTCTTTCTCCTTCGCTTGGGGCTCTCGATTTCCCTCGTCTAGTCGAATTTGTTTAACGATCACAGTAAGGTAGAACCCTAATTTTCCTTGATCTGATTACTTTTTATGTTTTTAGAGTTTGATTTAATTGTTTTCGTTGTCGGAACTTTTATACTTTCTTCTTCAATTTATCAAATTTTCTTATTCTGTTTGTTTGTTGAGATGGTAACTGAGTTCAAAAATGAAAAAAGTAGGGTTTTTTACTTTAAAATTTTGTTTTTCCATTATTGGGTATGCATCAATTTATCCGATGAGTTAGGGTGTTTTCCCTTTTTCGTTTTTGATGTAATAAACTTTTGGTTTTAATATTGGACCAAATCTTCAAGTAATTTGGCTCTTTTTTTTCTTGCTTCTAGTTGTGAATTTTGAATCTTATAGCTTTTTTCTTGAGATATCCAAAAGTTCTTTTTTTTTTTTTTTTTGTGATATGATTGTTAAGAGAATATATGTTGAATTGGACAGGTTTAAGGTTATTTGCTGATTTTTTTTGAAGAATTCATGACAACTGCTGCTAGACCCACATGGCAACCTGCCAAAGGTGGGAATGAACAAGGTGGTACTCGAATTTTCGGCCCATCTCAGAAGTACTCATCGAGGGACCTTGCTTCCCATACAACTCTAAAGCCTAGGTGAGTCTTTTGTGACATCTTTATAATGTATATATACATGTTTATTGTGCATAAGTTTTAGGGTATTAAAACATGTGGTTGGTAATTTTGTTAGCTTTGATTTTGTGCTCAACTGAATGTGTAAATGTAGATAGAAGGTAATGATTCTGACTGGAAAATAAAACTATTTTTTTGTTTGCTCATTGAATATGTACTTTTATTCTGGTGTTGTTCTCATTGCACCTTTAGGATGGTGAACTAATGTGTTTACAAGGGTTGATTTTGGAGAATTTGCATATCTAAAACCTTACTTCTGGACATGTAGAGTTGCATTTTGGTTCCTAAGGGACACTTGTATCATAAATGAGTTTATTTATCTGTTTGTTTTTTATGCGTGAAATGCAGAAAGGATGGTCAGGACAGCCAGGATGATTTGCAGAAGAGAAACCTCCGTGATGAGCTTGAAGAGCGTGAACGGAGGCATTTCTCATTAAGGGACAAGTCCTCTAATGGTAAAAAAAGCATGCTACCAACTATTTGTATATTTCATGAATTCTCTTTTTTTTACATTGCTGTAAAATTTCTATGCTTTTGTTCTTATCATGCGAGTACATTGTTGCAGATGACAGAGATCGTAGGAAGGGAAACCATTTTCTTTTGGAAGGTGAATTACCAACTTGCCTATTGATTATCAAATTAATGATCTCTAAAAGCACTTACTAACTGGATAGGTCACCTGTAGGGGCAAAGAGGGAGACTGAAGACCGAATTGTTCCACGCAGTGTTGATGCTGATGATTCTGATGTGGAAGTCAACAGTGACAATGAAAGGTTCTACTCCTTGCTTATATCTGTGTTTTCTATGCTAGCACAATTGATTACTTTGATGATTTAATTCTTTAAGGTTTTTGGATGGTTTAGAAGGCATGGTCTAACATATGGTACATAATTGTTGGTTTGTGAGAATAAAAGACTAAATTGCAAAAACTTATAATTGCATGGTTAGTGAAATCTATAAAAGAATAATTCCTGTTTGGGAACTTTTTTGGTACACTGTGTTACTATTTACTAACAGATCTTAAATTTTTGTCTTAGTGATGACGAGGATGATGATGACGAGGATGATGAAGAAGCTCTCTTGGCTGAGCTTGAACGAATAAAGAAAGAGAAGGCAGAGGAGAAACTCCGACAGGTAAATGCTATATCATCCTGTGATATATATTGTCTAATTTGTGATATTATTCTAGAGCTTCAGATGCTGTTAGATATCTTCTTGTAAATTTTATAGCTGTAGAATACATCGACTGAGTCATTTCATGGTAACAATAGATATGCCTTACGTTCGTGCAGGAAAAACAAGAGCAAGAAGAACAGCTAAAAGCCAAAGAAGCTGAGCTTCTTCGTGGAAATCCACTACTTAATAATCCAACATCTTTTGGTGTAAAGAGGAGGTGAGTGGCTCCAAAGATGAAAAACTTCCTGCTAGATGGCATTCAAAATGATCTAAGTTATTTCCTTATTTTGTTGTTTTATGTGGTTCAGATGGGACGATGATGTGGTCTTCAAGAACCAGGCCCGTGGTGAAACCAAGGCTCAAAAGCGCTTCATTAATGATACCATAAGGAATGACTTCCACAAGAAATTCCTGCTGAAATATATGAAGTAAATAACTTGAATGCCCAAGCAATTAGGGAATCAAGTGAAACTTAACGGTTTCAAAACATAGTTTGTATCTGTAGTGGATTAGAAGATGGTGTAATTTTCCTGGAAAATGTGACGTTCAGCGTAAAACATAAATCTCCTATGTTTGCTGTCTGCCGCCATATGCTAATGGATATGGCAATGATAGATGTATTTCTTGAATTGGTTAAGACATACTGAAAGACAAGTACTCTTAAGCAACTCGGGCTTTTATCAATATAGTTTCTTCTTTGGAGATTATGTTTGGTGTTTCTTTCATTGGCATGGAGCAGATAAAAAAAAAAGAACTACACATATTCTCAACTCAAACATTGGCTTTCACCAGTTCTTACATGGTTAAATGTAGGAAAGAATGTACAAATTTTTCTTTCTTTTTGAACAAATTACTGCTAAACACAAAGGATACATGAGAATTGCCATCTGTTTCTCAAGGGAAAATAACTAATGACCTAGTGCCAATCTAAATAAGAAATATTATAATAAATAAATAATTGAATAAACACACCCTGCAAGCTGAAGAACTGTTCCGACTGGCAAAGAATTGTCTTTGATCAACCTGTTTCTGTAAATTGTTCGAAATCAGTCAGTGCTAATATACATAAGCTCTCCACATGGAAGCAAACCTGTTGAGGGAGATGGTTTTCTTCTAGTCTTTTTTCTTTGGTTCTTCCAAAACAAATTCAGCATACAGATCTTTCAAAGCAATCACAACCGTAGTGATCAACGGTCCCATAATTGCTCCCTGCCATGGCCAACAGAGAAAATAATATGCATCAAGAAATACATGAAAGCTACATTAGAAACCGTTTTGAAAAGATGAAAACAACCAAAATCATATATTTTTTCGTTTGGCAGCAAATCAAAGTGCTGCTTTAAAACATGGGGAAGTTGGAAGTTTCATTTTGCTGCTATAGTGAAGTACGGGTTCACTAAAGGGCACTAATTCATAATTATATCACTTTTTTCTTTTCTTCATGACACAGGAAGGTAAGATACTTAGAAGAATTCCTTTTACATAACAAAAAAGACTTTTCATAGGGAAATAATAGACATCACAATCGAAAATGTCCTAACCACCCATGCAACTCGGATCCTTTTCAACTAGATTATCTATTTAGTTTACATTTGAGGGAAATGTCACTTCAGTATTGTTTGATGAAGGGACGAATAAACTTTGAACAGAACAGTAAATGAAGGTTAAAAAGATCAGGAAAGGTAAAGCACAAGGAAATCAATTGTAAAAGTTACCTCAACTGCAGAAGGGAACAATGTCATTCCACCAATGATGCTAAGCCCTGTAAGATATGCACTGTAACCAGGTATATTCTCCTGAATTTCAGAAGCACCATAATCCATAAGCAAAATGTGAATAACAGAGAAGGTCACTGCTAGTATGTATCTACTTTCCAGCAGTAACTCTATAGCCGCAGGAATTGTTGCGAACCATGGAGGAAAGATCGGCAACAAGGGGCTGACAAAAGCAAGCACTGTTGATGTGTATACAAAGTGTATTTTATACAGTCTAAATAGAAGCCATGTAAGACATCCTTGAAAGAATGCAATCTCAGCTGTAGCCAAAAGCACGCCAGAAATAGCATTATCAAGAACTTCAACACATCTAACCCTAGCCGATTTTGATATTGGAATCATAGACATCACTTGTTCTGTTACCCCACCAGATTCTGATGTGATAAGGTAATACAGAACCCAAAAGAATATCATCAACTGAGATACAAAATTGAAGACCTCAGCAGCTCCAGAGATGATGGAATTACCAATAGTGAACATGATTTTTGCACCTCCACCTAAAACAGATGCACCACTTGCAAGCACCCGCTGTAAAACATCTGCCCCTTTAACAGCAAACCCTTTAGCCTTCTCAATCAAATCCTCACGAGTGATTATCAATTCTTTGAAAATTGCATCAACTTCCGTGTAAATTTGTCCCCACTCACGATTGCTAACCCTTTCCCTCAAACTCAAAAGTTTCTCTGTATAAGGAGAGGGGGTCATCAAAGCTGTTGATTGCGTTGACGAACTAGTCGTTGAAGTTATGACAAAATGCTTGATTCCGGTCACAAACTCTGTCAAATTATACTGCGTTGCCAAACTATCAATCTGCTCAGACACTGTTTCATAAAACTGCGTAGTATACTTATCCACCATTCCAGGTACATCATTCTCTTCCATCCATTTTTTAACACCAATCCTCTCAGCATAATTATTCTCTCCTACATGAGCTTTCACCGAAATCACAGCATTTTTTCCCTCAACACCAATCTTATATGAGAAAAATGTAGGTCCAGCAATAAACCCGACAATCATACCAATTATCAATCCAATAGCAACAATAGTATTCAACCTTTTCAATATCCCTCGCGTGAAATACGCACTAATTGCACTTCTCCTGAAATTATTACTCCTAAATGATGAAAAAGCAGACAATGTATAATTCACATTTTTAGTACTAATCATGAACCCCAACACAATTATTAGCAATGACCCAACACCACCAATTCTCTCATAGGCAATCACAAACACAGCAAAAGACACTAACCACCTCACTAACTTTGAAAATTCACTTCTATTCCGCCTTGAAAGAGTAGATTTTGGTCTTTTAAGAAACACTCTCAAACAAACATCCTTAATATCACCAATGGTACCTATAAAAGCCTTAAAGACAGCCACAGGAACAGCAAGAACAGTTTCAGTGACGCCTAGTTTCAAAGGTTCACTCCAAAATCCCACAAGGGTCTCTTGTATACCTCTCAAAGGAATTGAACACAGGATTGCCCACTGAATTGGCCTAAGATACTCTTGCAAAAGTTTGCAAATTCCATATAAGATGAATATGGTGAAGGCAAGACCAGCATGAGCCATGGCTATGTAAAGAGCCAACCGTACCTGGGGATCACCTGAGAGGCTGTTTCTGCGATCTGGGTCGGTGGAGTTTGGTGCCTGGGGTGGCGCGTGTGGTTGGTTTGGAGGCGCGTCACTGTCGCCTGGTACTGGGGAAGGCTTCCTTATTGATGCAGATCGGAACATGTCTTGCCATGGAAGAGTTGTGGAACTTGTTCTCGGTTCTGGTTGACTTGAATATGGAACTAACTCCATTTCCAGGAAAGTTTTGTATACAGAAAGATCAAGTCTTCGCTGAAGAGGGAAAGTTATCAAAGAATGTTCTTTTAGAAAGATAAATGAGAAGGAAAATTTCCAATCAGGAACTGATACTGAAGCCACAGAGAGACAGATAGATAACAGGATTTTTATTCTGTTGATGAATGGTAAGAGAAGAAACAGAGAGAGATTGGCTGGCAGTTTCCTTTTTAGGGTGTCAGTGACTTTTGGCTTCAACTATATTTAGGTTTCACAAATGATTCGAAGGGGCTTGTGGGGATGTATCATGTATCTATATTTTTTTTAGGATTTCAACTACAATTTTTTACTATAATATTATAATTATTTAATCAAAATTAAAAATTATGTCAATGAAAAAATCTCATATAATATTTTAATAATCTGTATATAATTTTAAATTTTGATTGATTAATTATGACATAATTATTATAGTGACATGCTGTCTATATTTTTACGTACCAAAAATTCCATTCACGGAGGTTTTTATTATTATATTTTTATTTTATATCTATAAATAAAATAGAAGGGAATGACCAAACAGCTTATGTTATGACTTTGTGACCTGCCTTTGCATGTGTCCAAATTCCAATCTTCAACTTCTGCTTTGTTAGGAAAGTGGGTTATTAATTTCTTAATCAGCAAGTTGCTTACTAACAGAAGAAAAGTGGGTTACTAATTTCTTAATAAAGATGTTTCATGTTTACAGATTATCATACATCATAAGTATTCCATTTTTAATAAATAAAATGAATTTCCTGGATCTTATTTAAATAAATATGTGCTTATTTTATCTAACTTAATCAAAGATATATAGTAAGTTGATGAGAAGATTTAGATGGATGATGTAATAATATCAAGCATCTGTCTCCAAATGTCTTGTTACATACATGTATCAGCAAAGCAGAATCTGCTCAAATATGACATGCATTAATTCTCTTGCGCAGGCAAAAGTAAGCACACAAGCGGTAGCCGAGTGCCATGGCTAGTAAAATCCATACTTCTTGCAAGCCACCATCAAGGTTAACTGTGTCAAATGAAGGTGAATTCTGCAGAGTCCGGCAGCCACCTTTGCTTTGACATTCATACAACTGGTCTCCAGAGTATTGCACTTTCAGCAGAAGCCTAAAGCCATAGTACATGAAGGATAAGTACTTCATCCACTGCATAAATTTTGGTATGTGCTGCAAACAAAACAACATTCTATATATTTTAGTGAAATCATCATAATTGCTGCATTTTTCTTTTCCAATAAAGACTTGAAAGCAATTGCAATGGTAGTTTAGCGTACCTGAACATAGTAACCTCCTGTGAGAAGAAACAGCATCAACACCAAAGAGGCCATCATCCCAGCCCTTTTAATACTCAAAACTGCCGCTCCAAATAGCTCTCCTGCTCCCTAATTTTTTTCATTTGGGAAGTTGGAGATTTCGTTAGTCCAAGAAGACTATAAGAACATATTTGTACTTCCATGTGAATTTTTAAAGCAAAAAAGTCTGATTTATTGGATTGCTTGACTTACTTGGCCTATAATAGCTATCAATAAAATCGAAAACAATGTCAGGAAGAAGCAAAGGACTGTTCTCTTAAAGCCAGCCATGAAGTAGACAATCAACATGAATGATGTAGGATATAAAACATGTGCCACCAAATCACACAGAGTGCTGCACGCATAGTATACACTTAATCTGTACATGTCTGCTTTCCTTTCTTTCACCAAATAGACCTTTTCAAAAGGAAAAACATATACTGCTCCAAAAAGTGATGAAGATGTCCAGAAAATGCAGATGTAGAATAGCAGACCAACCTAAAATAAATGTTTTGGAAAAGCAATTTACACATATTGCCTAAATAATGTAATAGGATCAAAGATATGGAAAATGAGGTTACAGAATGTTACTTGATCCCTCAGTTGAGCCTCAGTTGCAGCACTGGATTTCCACCAAAGAAGACCTAGCAAGACTGCAACTCCTAGTGATTGTAGTAGTCTTAGCTTATCGAAGTAATCCCGCCGCCTCTCTTGAAAGGTTCTCTTGATTATTATCAAGAACTGCTCCCACCATGTTATTGTCCAGTCTTTCTTAACTTGAATGGCCAGTTGAAGATGCTGTGGTGCCTTGGCACTTCGAAGATTCTCTTCCTTTTCTTTTGGCTCCAAATGAATTTTATACTTGAGTTGAAGATACTATTATAATGTAAAGACAAATGTTTGAGAGGGAGACGATCAAACAAAGAAAGAGATTAAATACCTAGTAACTTGTTAAGGTTTAAAAGATTTTATACTTTGATGACAGCCCTGCCAGAATCAGCAGTTCCTTCAGATGCCACTAGATCTTCAGGAAGAGTTATGTCATTAACTTGACCAGTTGCTAAATCGAGCAAGAACTCAGCTGGATTCATTGCTATTTCTGGGATGAATCCCAAAGATGAAAAATACTCCATGCACTCTCTTGCCTTCCCAGAGTAAACAGGGTCGCCTTCTGATATCAGCAGAAGTTTGTCAAACATGTGAAACATTCTGCTCGATGGCTGGTGAATTGTTGTGATAATAGTTCTTCCTGCCTATAGACCATCAAGCACAATCTTTGCTCATTTTTTTTTACATTGGAACGTGTATTTTGTAGATATTTTGGTCAAATGTTGGATAAAATGCACTAACTTGGGATTAGGAATTTAGGATACCTTTGCAACTCCTTGAAGAATTTGAATAAGTTTATTGGCTGAGGTGGAATCAAGACCTGAAGTTGGTTCATCAAGCAACAACAACGAAGGATCAACAAGAATTTCATAACCAATACTAGTTCTTTTTCTTTCTCCTCCTGATATTCCTTTGACCAATCCTCCCCCAATTCTTGTGTGACGACACCTGTGGTCATGTAACAGATCACTTAGAAAAAGGTAAATCATAATCTTCGATTTATGTGGTACATACCTTTCAAGACCTAGCTCCTTCATAATCAGCTCTACTTTTGCGTACTTTTGTTGCAGGCTCATGTCATTAGGCAGTCTCAGAAATGCTGAAAAAACTAAGGTTTCTTCTACCGTTAGTTGAGGGAGCAATATGTCATCCTGTGTCACAAACCCTATCCTGAAAAAAAGGAACACTTGAAATCCATTGAATGACAGAAAAGAAAAGCTTCTGAAACATTGGCCTAACCTTCGCTTCAGAGTCGGACTGTAAGGAATGTCATTGTATGTTATATTTCCTTTAACATTATCTGTCAATCTTCCGCCTATTATCTTCAACAAGGTTGTTTTGCCACTACCAGAAGGACCCATCAGAGCAAGGATTTCACCAGGGCCAGTGCTGCCCGCTACACCCTTCAGGATCTCCTTGTATTTATTTTGCTCCAAGTTCAGTTGGGAGGCTACCTTTGATACCACTGCTCTCACTGGGTTGATGGAGGCGGCTTGGCTAAGTCTAACCTTATACTCTATATCTTCAAACTTCATTGTGAAACCATGATCATGAAAAGTTAAAACTGATATTAAAACAAACAAAAATATTAACAAATTAAAGAAACCTGACAACTACCTTAAGAAATATTGGAAGAGGGTGATCTTTATTAGCATACACAGTGTAGTCCTCGATATCGATCTCAGAATACCTATTTCTAAGGTAAGGCTGGGACAAGAACTCAATGTTGTGACCAAAACCATTGCTTCCTGCAATCTGCATAGACCCCATTGTTGGAGGGGACAATGGCATGTCCTCAATTTCACCCTCTTTTCTTGTTTCCATATTTGGAGACAATTGCATGAACCTTAACTAATAGCTGTCTATCTCTGGGTGAAAAGTGAAGTGAATCAACTGTGATGAACCAAATGCTAGGCTATATATTGAGGGGAAGAGTCTTTGCTGGTAAACCACATACTTTTCATTCCATGCCTGCCCTTGTTTTAATGAAGTACTTCTCATATGGTACCAACTATATAACCAGAAGAACATGCCAAGAATATGAATTGCTTTGGGTTTTTTTAATCTCTTTTTTTTAATTACACAATTTATTCAATCAAGATTACTATTAGGAAGTAAAATGTTGCAAATATCATGGGAAAAGTCAGCATTTTTAGATGTTTTATACTACTAACAAAAAGATGGATTATTATATTATGCTTGCATGATTAATGGCAAAGAAAGATTTTAAATATGCAATCAAAAGAAGAGAAGTCCAGTGTTCCAACAGCATTCTAGCACCAGTGTCAGCTTTAATATGGCGTCCTTTTTTCCTATGCAGGGGTGCTTTCCGGAAACCTCTTGAAAAGTTAAAAAAAAAAAAAAGAAAGTGTTGGAGAGTGTCTATAAGCAAACAATCCAGAGGCTCGAGGGGAAACTCCAAAAGTTGAGAGAGACATTGAGCTAGAAATGCAATTTACCTTATCTGAAATTAGGAAAAGTTAGGTTATTGGAACCAAAAATTTTAGTACCTTTTTCAATTTTGCACATTGTTGTTGTTACTAAAATAAAAAATAAATAAATCTCAAGGATTTTCTTCTTATTACTTTTTTCTGCGAGATGAGACAGTGTAATCTATATTGTTTCCAGCAGTAGTTAGGGTCTACCCCCTTCTAAGAATTCTCCTCTTCTACTGGAATCCGATGCATGCTTGGCTGGTCAAACTGGAGCTATTTGATGATGTCTCCAATTTGATTACAATGATCTAAACAGATCTCACGTAAAACCTAAAAATTTAATGAAAATTTTCCAGGCTTTAAAATTACAGACTCGATGGTTTGCAGCAAACGTGAAACAAGAGATGATCTAGCTTTTGCCCAAATGTTTACTGGCTGTGATATGATTCAGCCTTACACATTCTATAAATTACTTTGCCTTGTCTTATATTTTATATCTTGTTAAAGTTATAAGGAGGAGGAACACTTGAAACTTGCTGCAGATCTCAAGAAGCAGCCCAAATTTGCATCTAGAAGATCCTATATTGAGTGGATAAAGGAGATCATACAAAAGAGTGGCAAACGAGACACTGACTTAGAACGCATCTTATGGAGCTTCAGTTAAAAAGCAATTCCATCCAGGAGCTCCTTCATTGCACCTGTGCTGTTGTTGATGAAATTGTCTGCAGGCATGAACCGATTGTCATTGCGGTTCCCATCATATTAAATGACGTATGCTACTTTTTCCTTAAAAAGAACTGTACATGTATGCAGGGAAGCAAAGAAAGACCCAGCCGGCAACAGGCTTATAGCCTCCTCACTAGCATACATAGAGCTTTGAGCAAATCTCTGAGAAAATGACCGACCGTGAAAAGATACTAGCAGCCATGGCTTCCCGAAGCTTAAATATAGACAAGCTACAATTTTACCTTGACGCCATTTGTGAAGGAAAACGAGTACCTGGAGCAGCAACTTCGAGACAATTGAACCTATAACTTGCCACTAGAATCCATTCTTTCTACTGAAGTATCTTTTCTTCACTTGGTTGTAACCATATTTGAGTTTGACTTTGAATTTAGACACAAAAAGCTGTAAACTTTGAAAACAAAAATTGCAACTGCAGCCATCATTGTTCCCTTGGTCATGATTCTTTAGTTTTTCCCAAATTCACATAGATTTGTTAAACAAGTTGAAAGTCAGAAAACAGCCAGGCCAGTCATAACCATTATGCTCCATTCACATCTAAATTATTGGTAATATTAACCGAGTTTTAATGGGAGAGCTGACAGATCGACCTTGGCCACATTCATTCAAGGGTAACTTCTACAATGATTGGATTCGAGCATTTCCTTTTGGGCTTGCATATTTTCAATGCTCCCCTTATATTGTTGAGGAGTTTTATAGGTGTTCATTTCGTTGGTTTAGCTTGTCTTATAATAGTTCCTTGTCAAAGACTATGTTTACTAATCAAGACTAGGGTCAAAATCCATTTAACAACGTCCATATCTATGTTTTTCTGCATGTTTTCCAAATATATGGAATCAGAGATACGTATAAACTTGGATGCAATAGGCCCTTTGCCTTGCCTTGTTGTTGAATGAAAGAGTGGGAACAGACAAACTTTTACCTTCCCTTGTTGAAACATCAATTTATTCGATTCTTGGAATGGAAGCATATCATCACTTAACATCTATTTAGTGATCGGCCATTCGCCAGTTAGCAGCTCCAATAATATCATGTCATCCAGGGGATTCATGATACTACTTGCCAAAGCCTAGAGGCTCCAACATTTCCATCACCCTCTTTCAGATCATTTATCTCTCTGTTACATGATCAGCTACCATCAATAAGTATTATCTGGACAATGGAGCAGCTAAAATAAACAAGATCATTAATAAAGGGTCTAATTAACCGGCACTAGTTAAGATGATTTAATGCATTATTTTCACCAAAATCAAAAATATATAATGCATTAATTAGAAAATTCTTTCTATAATATCATGTGCTGCTTGTAGCCACTTTTTAACAATTTTCATTTATGATCAATGAATGGAATCCATAACAATTCTGACCCTGCAACTAACAATTGCAATGTGGCATCCAAACCAATAGACTTGCCTCCTTATCATGAACTCCCACACCGTGGGATTGTTATTTACTCATTTCCCGAGAGTACTTAATGGGCATAGATGCACATGGATTGACTATTTCTCTGTATAAAACAAATTAAAAATGATGTTACCTTAACTTCTTCGGAACCCATATATCAGATCATGAAAATAAAACATGTAATAAAGGTTCTTTCAAAAAAAAAAAATGTAAGAAAGATCCTATAGTCACCACTCACCCACCACTGGGATCTTTGAACTAAGAAGTTTTGACATGTGGTATGATGTTATCATTTCAATCCCTTACAGTTATTTATAGAGTTAGGTGCAAGCTCATAGCAACATCTCCTAATAATTTAAATTTTCAATTATCAGTGGCTAACTTTAGCATGTCAATCTAAAACTATTTTTTGTAAAGTTCAAATCTTCATTTATCTTCTTCTGATTTATTACAAGATCATTTTTTTAAAAAAAGTTTACCTCCGTCTGAAATTTTTCTATCTTTTGATAATGGGTTCCATGTATTTTAGATATTATTATTAGTTCATTTTGATAATATGCGGTTCAACAGCTGCAGTTTCTGTGTTGGAATGGGATGGTTTGATTCTCTATTAGGGGCAGATGGAAGAGAGATTGTAAAAAGGAAAGACAATGATGCAGGCGAAGTAGGTTTGTCTGAATCCTTAAACTACATTGTCACATTCTTGTTTTGTTTATGATTTTGCTTTGTTGCATTATGATTATGCTTTTCTCTGCCTGTAATTGGTTGTTGTTTCAATGTTAATGTGTTTTTCTTTTTGTGGTTTTCCTTTCTTCTGGTTTTGGAGAGCCTCCATAGGTAATATGCCGTGGAATTGTTTAACACTGATCTCCATCATTTTATTCGATGTGATGTGATATTCTGTCATTGAGTAGGGCTTTTTTTCTTTCTTTGGTTTCTGGCTTACCATTTGCATTTTTCACTTCGTTGATTATATATGTTCTATCTGTTAACTCAAGCTGATCTTTTGGTACACAAATGATTTCACCAGTTCTTAATGGAATTCCTATGATATTTTGTGAGGTTGCCTTGCAATATTTAGGAGGTAAAAGAAATCCGGACAGCCAGCTAGAGTTGTAATGTAAGACAAAGGAATTTGCTTACATGCATGGAATGATTAATGATTATTTGACCTGGACCCTCCTGGCTGCTGCCTTTCTTACTTGGTCTCCTATTGGTTCCTTTGATTTGAATTTTTTTTTCAGGTCCCTTTCTCAAAAGAATTGCCCATGTTCTAGTTTCCAAGTGATTTATCTTGTCTTGAACTGCTACTCCTAAATAATTATGCAGCCTCAGTGTTGATTGTTCTTTTCAGTGATGCATATCCTTATTAATGGTTCGCCTTTTGCAATAAGGAACTTCTCGACTCCTGGTCGTGAGGATTTAACTTCTGTGGTTCAGGAAAACAGTGAATGTTTCACTTCTGCTAAATGGTCTCAAAGGTAGCTTTTTCCTGCTTCAACAACTTATCAAGTTGCTCTTTCTCCTAGATCATCTTCTTTTCCCATTTGGGACCAGGAATAAAATCTTATTTCATATAATTGGAGCCTCTGATCAATCATCGTTTGTCAACTTGTTTTTTAGATAAAGGATAAATCTGCTACATTTCCTCTTTTACAACACGGAAAAATTAAGTAGCAAAATTTAAAATTTATATTTTTTCTTTCCTATGTCATCAATTTTCCTAGTCATTCATAAGTAACAGATTATGTCTGTTAATAACATAGGGGCATTTTTCTTGGAAGAGTTTTGCTCTAAGAATTCCATTTTTCCAGGTAGAGCTTTGGAAGAGCTCAGAAGTTCCCTCTACAATGAGCTTAGAACTTCAGAAGGAGCCAAGCGTCAACAGCAACGGTTTTGTGGACCTGTGGTGGCGATGTCCTTTAATTTCGTGGTTGCTGTTGGGATTATACCGACAAACAAATTAGTTACTTCCTTTAATCTCCTTTTTCCATATATGTGCTATCATGTGAATGGTAAGCAGTGTGTATATAGTTTCTTGATGGCATGGCACTAGCAAACCCCAGAACTCTACCGCTCTTTTATTTTAAGACTTCATAATTAATGCTTTACAATATGTTCAATGATGGACTTATACGAGTCCCATTTGCTTTCAGGTGATGGGGAAAGTTGGATTCAATTTCCCAATCTTCCTAACTTTAATATATTACTCCATAGCATGGATCTTACTAGCATTTTTCAAGGCATTGTCATTGCTTCCAGTTTCCCCTCCCTCTAAGACCACTCCTTCCTCTTCTCTCTTCTCTTAGCGGGCTATAATGGCTTTTGCCTCTGGCCTTGCCAATAACAGCCTAAAGTATAACAGGTCTGCACCCAGGATTCTGCCAGATTTTTGAAACACTAATTACTGTCATTAATCCTGTTTCCTCACTATTCAGCTGATGTGCAGTGTCGGTCTCTACCAAATGGCTAAAATTGCTGTCACTCCTACCATTGTTCTTGCAGAATTCGTTCTCTTCAGGAAAACCATTTCTTTCAAAAAGGTGCAGGCAATTTCATCCAAGGACTACCTTACATGCTTCATTATTCCCTTCAATTATTTCCTATTAACTGGTTTTTTCAGGGAGTTATAAAATGGAATCCATCATTTTGCAGGTTTTGGCTCTAGCAGTTGTCTCGGCAGGTGTAGCGGTAGCCACTGTAACAGATTTAGAGTTCAACGCTTTTGGTGCATTTATGGCCATTGCATGGATAATCCCAAGTGCTATAAACAAGATTCTCTGGTCTAATTTACAGCAAGAAGCCAACTGGACAGCACTTGCGTAAGTCGTATGTAATTTTCTTCTCTCAGATAAACAAATCATAAGGTCTATTGAGAAAACAATTTCCGAATGTAGACTGATGTGGAAGACAACCCGAATCACAATTTTCTTCTTAGTAGCCTTAATGTCATGGCTGGATCCACCAGGGGTGCTATTATTCAAATGGGATCTAAACAAGTCAAGGGCAGTTCTCATATCAGCTCCACTTGGCTTTCTCTTACAATGGTGTGGTGCTCTGGCATTAGGGTGAATGGACTGGACTGTATTGATCACTTTTCCCTAGACCCTGCTATTTAATATATGAACAATGGATAATCAAGTTTCAGACACCAATCTTTCCTTTTTGGTAGGACTTGCTTTGAAGCAACTAATGGCAGGCTAATATTTTTCTTGTAGAGCAACTTCTGCAACCTTTCATGTTGTATTGGGACAATTTAAAACTTGTGTGATACTTTTGGGAGGATATCTACTATTGGAATCGGATCCAGGGTTTGTGAGCCTTTGTGGAGCTGTTGCTGCTCCGTGGAATGTCAGTTTACACATCACTTAACTTGAAAGAGTCAAATGAAAGTTCAAGTAAAACAGCTTCCAATGCAAAATCTTAAACCAAAGCCAAAAACCAGCGAAAATGTCAATGGAGATTCAACAGTAACAAATGCTACTGATGCTGTGTAAAAATGTAGAAAGAGAAGACATGAGGGAAGGACCCTTACCACCAATCAACCCTGTTTTTTCTTCATTCTTCTGTAATGCTCCATCAGAGATGGAAGATTTCAGAAATTGTATAGACGAGTAAACAATGACAGAAATTTTGATTTTTTTTCCCTTAGTATTGATGATTCGTCCTGTTCGAATTTCACAGGAAATCATTTGTATCATTGGGTATTAAAGCCTTCCAGAGCAATTTTAACTATCCCTTCAAAGCTCAAACCCAATCCAATAGCTTAGCTAGCTGCATTCATGGAAAAATAACTTAATTATTTTAAAGACAATTTAATTAGCTAGTTTTAAGAAGCATATTATTGACTTGAAGACAATTTTAATGAATTTTCTATTGAAATGAACCTTGAAAATCATCTAACCATCATATCACACAATCATAGAAATGTCACATGACAAGTGACTGAAACTTGAAGAACCAATTATTTAGAGAATGTAATAATCAAGTGAAGGAAGAAATGATGATGGAATAAAAGTGTAAAACCTGAAAATAACTAGGTAGCTTTTCATTCAATATGACCGTCAGTCAATTAAAGAAACTAGAAGAACCTTCTCATATACCAATTACAGCTTGTATCATCCTTCCTCCCTTTTCAAAATTAGATATACAGGTGAGATATTCATATCAGAAAGGAAAAATTGGCGAAATCCCACCTAATCTATTGACCTCATCAATTCCTATAGAATATCTTATGAGAATAAATAACTTCCAATAAAAACAGCAATATGTTTGCTACCCAGGACAGGACAACAGTACAAGAATTGGAGGGGAAAGATGGCAAGAAAAAGGCTGAAGAAGTCAGCAATATTTCCCCACCAGACATTACCCTAATATATCTGAGATGCCTTTAATATTTACACTCAAATAGCAGAACAGAGTTTCCCCCTTCCAAAAGGGCCTCCATGTATTTCTACGTTGCATCCTCATAAGATTTTATCAGTTCAGTAATTAGTGTTCCAATTTATCTGCGCAAGTTGAGGCTGCTGATAAGCGCCAGATGCGGAAGCCATGGTTTCGACAGCTGCACCCATAGCTTGAGACTGTTGTAGCAGGGTATTAACATTGGAAGGAGCAGCCATTGTTTGTGCTGACTGATAAAGTCCAGCAAAGGCACCATGACCAGCCTGCATAGGAGAGAAAGGAACCTGTTGGCCATGAAGGGAGAGGTTGTACAAAGAATTAACCTGCAAGTTGGATAAATCTAGCCCTGGTGCAGGCATCCACAGAGCTGAACCTTCATTCTGTAAAAAAATATGTATCCAAAACATTGTGTTAAAATCAAATTAATAATAACTGCCAATAAAAAATACTAAGAAAATATAATAAAATACTACAAGCATATAAGCTAAAAGAAAAACCCCACAACTATGATTATGGTATAACACATTTGATAAAAAAACGGTTGGGAAAAGTATAAAAGGAAAAGGAATGCACAACCAACCAGTGGCCCAGTTGTGAATATATGATTTTCCTTCAACTGTGATGCTGCAAGATCCTCCTTGCTGCTAGAGCTTCCAGAGGTCACTGATGAAACAGATAAATTGAAACCAACAGGTGGAGAAGTCAATGCACCATAGCCAGATGGAATTGTGAGGTGAGAAGGATTTCCTGCATTAGTTCCAGGCTTGAACTGTGGAAGAGGGAATTTGACCCCAGGAGCAGCTGCTCCAGGTGGCATGTATACATTGCCGGTTGAAGGTTGCTGAGTGAGCCCAGTGGGGTTTAAAAATTGATGCATTGGATGCATATAAAAAGGTGAAAGATAGTGGGGATAAGGAAAGTAATTAGGTGGAAATGACTGCCGGAGAAGGTGAACTGCTTGTGGGGCTGCAGCAACAGAGCTCTGAACAGGTGGTGTTGAACTGCCAGATGGAGCTGGAGAATTCCCACTCTACATATTTGACAAATCGAGTATAAGAAGCACATAACTATAATAGTATAAAAGCAAGACTAACATTTTATGTCACTATGAAGAAAGAAAAACAGTACAAGTTAATTTTCTGAAGTTCATGGGAGTGTATTATCCTTTTTCTTGTCATATTCCATACTACTAAAGAATCATGAACTATAAAAACAGTAGAGACTGAGGAAAATACAAAAAATACAAAAGCCAGTATTAAACAATTTTCTAAAAGCACATTATAAGCGGCCTGAGGAGATGCAAGGGAGTTTAAAATTGTATGAATCACAGAGGAGTACCTAACCAATTAAATCAAAAAATATGACAGTTAAGAACAAGCAATTGCTTACAGCAAACTTTGTAAGATGAGAAACATCATGCACCCGAGCCTCAGGTCCATCAAACTGTGCAAGGTGGCTTGCTGATGCTGGCATGAAACCAAACCCATAGCTTGAGGCATTTGGAACGACACTCTGATTACCTTCTGGGTGCAAATACATTTCTTGATTTGACTGATCAACTTTCAAGTCTGCATCAGATGAAATATTGCCATCTGATTCTAGTACTTTCTCAAACTCAGGAGGAGAATGTGGTTGATCAGCATTACCATCAGCATTACCCCCGTCCACAGCTGATAATGTACCTTGGCTTCTGTGGAAATCATAAAGGCCCAACAAGATCTAAGATATTAAGAAACAAAATAGATAACTAGGAATATTGCTTAGAGATCCCCAATATTCTAGCTGTATATATCAATAGCAAATTAGGTGCATTTATAACTACAGATATTTATCCAAACATCTTTTCCCTCCATAATCCCACCAGAAGATACAATGGAAAATTAGTTTCTTTCTGATTCTTTTAAAACGGTTGAATGGGAAAACATCAGGTGTCCATTATCAGTCACCCCAAGGCTCATGTAATTGCTTTAATCAACTAAATAAGAAATTAGAACTAACGTGCCACTGATGCCTCAAAACTAATTGTTGAGATGAATAAAACGATTTTGGAATCATTAGATACTTTCTAGCAAAAGAAAAATATGTAATACATAAAAAAATATAAATTCTAATGAATGTAGAAACTAATGTCCACCAACCTAGAAGATGGCTCTCCAGCAGCTTCACTGCTACCCTGAGAAGCTTCAACAGTACATGCAGAGTTAATCTCCACACTAGTGACGTTATCGTGTTTCATTTCCTGTCCAAAATTAGCATCAAAGCTTCCAAAAGTTAAGCCATTTTTTAATGCTTCAGAGACTTGGAAGTGGGTGGGAAAAGTAACATGTTGAGCATTGGGAACAATTGGATCAGCAAGCAACTGAGAATTGGCTTTGACAGTTGCAACCTCAGTTGTGACCACTGTTTCAGAAACAAGAGCCAAGTGAAATCTCCAATAAAAAGAAAAAACCACCAAAAAATTACAGAAAGACAACTCAAAGTAAAAGATTTCTTATATCATATCTAGGTAAGGGATCCTTCAAAAGCAGGGTAAATTCTAGAACAATAAATGAATCAATCACAACACTTATGCTTACAATAAGCAATTTATTATCATTGCTAGAAAAGAAGTAAAACAATTAGATAAAATGCAGTCTAAAACACAGCAATGGGTGCAAAACCCAGAGACAACTTGCAATAAAAGAAAATTGCAAAGAGTTAAGCAGGATTTTCCTATGGAATCTTTTACCCTTTCTCCCACAGCACGGAAACAGAAGAACAGCAAAGCCATACACCTCAAATACTCTACCAACCCACTGCCAAAGAGAAAAGACTTAAAAAACAGAGGCCTTCCACAGTCCCACACAATAATTTCAAAAATGCAATATTGTACATCAAAAAGAGGTCAACAGGAAAGACCAAAAATCTACACAAAGATCACATAAACTACTATGAACTACTGTATTTTATGGCATCACAAATCAAACAAAAGGAATAATACCTTGTAGCGTGGTTGGCTCCATAAGCTTGGACTGCTTAACCTGTTCAGCGATTTTTGATTTGCTTGGGGCCTTGTTTTCATGCATTGAGCTTGGAACCTCAGAGGCTGTTTTCTCAGTCTTAGATGCATCAATATCACGGGGAACATGTTTGGTTCCTTGAATAAGTTTTATTTCAGCAGCTTCCTGTTGGGGTCTAATTTCACGTGTTATTGTACCCACAGCACCAGCATGCTGTGTCACGGTTGGCACCACAACAGGATCTGAAGCAGATGAATAGACACCAGACACTGTTGCAGAAGTGGCAGAAGTTGATGAGGCATTCAAATTTGATGTGGACTTCTCTTGACCTCTGATCAGAGAGCCAATGGACTGAGCAGGAACGGGGGCAAGAGGTTCTGTAACAGTTGGTTGCACTGAAACAATTGTTGGCTTGTTTGCAGGTAACCCATCTTTAGTTTCACCATTAACATCGTCAACAGACAATTGGGTTCCACGTCCATGACTGGAGCTCCCATTTGGTAAAGCTGTAGTGCCATTTGGTATAGCACTAGGTGTTCTGAAGTATGAAACAAAATTTAGGTAAGAGTATTCCCTAGAAGTAACCAGTTATAAGTGTATAAAAGTCATACTCAGATAAAAAAAAACCAATATCATGCAATATTTACTTTGCCATGTTAGTTGCTGCATTATTTTTCACTTTATGAGATCTTGGCAAAGGCATAGAACCTCTATCTGAGGTATGATTAGCTTCATTCTCCCTTCTAGCAGATGCATTCCTTCCACCTCCAGCATCTTAAAAGAACAAGGCTTGTTACATTAGCAACTTACAAATAAACAAATAAGTTAAATTCATACATTGGTGTATAAATAGGAGAAGAGAAAAAAAAAAAAAAACTAATACCTTTACTGAATAATGTATAATAGTTCCCTTGACTGGCCCGGCCACCTCGTCCTTGTGTACCAGCTGTCTGCATAAAAGAAGAATTAAGCTGTAATTCATAATTCACAATTCACTAAGCTAACTTAAGCAAAAGCCAACCAAAAAAAAAAAACCCTTCAACTAACCAAATTCTAATAACTAATACTCTGACACATTACAGCAGTTCAGCATCATTTATTTCTTATTTTGCCACTAGAATAATTATTACCATGCAAACACTATTAGACCACAATCCTATATAACCAACAGAAACATTGATAGCCAAAATTCTAACTGCAGGTAGAAAGCATCTCTATATTTTGTACTAGCAAGGAATAGAGGATCAAAATGAAGAAAAGTTTTATTTTCACCCTTTAGAAAGGAAAAGAACACTTGCCTCCTTTTTCTTATCGCGTTTTCTTTTTACCTCATGAAATGTATCTGCCAACCAAATAATGTGATGGTCATACTTTCAAAAAGTAACATAAATTAACCAAACACAAAGTATGCACTAAATGCAATTAAAATATCCCCCCAAACAAAGCTACTGACAATATGCCAATCCCGAAAGCACTCTTCAATGGAACCAAAAATAAAAGCTACTTAACAGCAGTGGCCTTCTTAAGCATTTAATTAAACGCAGTGGTTTTTGAGCAAGAAAATTTTATCTATTATAGACCACTAAAGCAAGGATGAAAAACTAAAACTTCAACTTTTAGAATATTGATTTGTTACTTTGAACAAGAAAATCAAATTATGATGGTTAAAATTAATTACTAAAACTTCTAATCAACCAGACAAAAATTGAAAAAGAACAAAAGAAATTGGCAGACTGTTACAGCTGATAAAGTAAAAAAAATCACAAATGTTATTAAATATATTGAATTTCATTAATCTACTCCCATTCCCAGCAACCAAACAACATCCTTCCTCAAAGAAACAAAACCAACAAACCAAACAATGCACAATCCACTTTCCATTAGCAAAAACATAATAAAGCACGAAATCCCCACCTCTCAAAAATCCCAACTTTCCTCATTTTTTCAACACAAAACCCACGCAGAAAAGACAAGATCATAAACCCAGAAACTCTCAGAAACCGCAAAACCCTAAAAAAACACAAATAAGAAGTCCAAAAAAGAAACATCGAAATCTTCATTTGAATACCCAGATAAAGAAGCTTTTGGGCAGTTTCATTAGGATCCATAGAGCACTCCTTGAGGACTGCATAGACTTCTTCATCACTGTGTTGCTTCCCCGTGATCTCCCTTATGCTTTGGATCGTTTTCTTTGCATTGTCTGGGATCGAAACCCCTGACCCCCCACCGCCACCCCCACCGCCGCCGTCGCCACCTTTGCCGCTCATGGTAGCAAAGAAAGAAAAGAGAAGATAGCACAAAAGGGAAGAAAAAGGCAAAGAAAAAAGAAAATGGAATGTGCTATGTACTAATAGTTATAATTATAATAATAACAACAAAAACTAGGGCATAATACAAAAAGAATAATGAAAAAAATATTTTTATTTAAATTTTTTTTTTTTGTTTTTTAATTGATGTTGATGAATGCATGGAGAAGCGTAGGGTTAGTTGTCTGTTTATATATGGAAATAGACAAAACTCGCTTATGATTTTTACGATGCATGAATTAATTTATTTATTTAATTTAAAGTTATAATTATAAAATAATATTAAATTTTAAACAAATATATGAATAAAATATAAAAATATTATTCAAAACTATTAAATTTTTTATTTTTTAAAATTTTTAAGCGATGCATGAATTAATTTATTTATTTAATTTAAAGTTATAATTATAAAATAATATTAAATTTTAAACAAGTATATGAATAAAATATAAAAATATTATTCAAAAGTATTAAATTTTTTATTTTTTAAAATTTTTAAGTGAAAATGAACGATTGATTTTTTCATAAATTATTTCTTAAATTTATATAAGTGTCAATTTTAAACTTAAAAAATGATATATTTAAATTTACAAAATAATGAAAAATTTTGAAAAATAGACACTTTCTTTAACTTAAGGATATAAATTGAATAATGCTTAAAAATATAATAAAATAAAAATTAATTAAATTATTATTTAAAATTATAAATATATAATTTCATCTTTCACTTCAATTATTGGCTCATTTGTATTAAGATATCCCTATTTGATGAAAAGAAATTCTTATGTTACAAAGTTAAATAAAATAAATTTTTTATTTATGAACAATTTGATTCAAAAAGTAAAAAAGTTGTAGGTACCTAAAAATAATTTTACACAAACTTTAATATGTTTTAAAAATTTTTAAACTTAATATTTACGAATCTTATTTTTTAAAAAATTTAATTTTATAATTTTAATAAAAATAATTATCAAAACTAAATTTATTTAATTCAAAAAATCAATACAAGACAAACATAAGCGAAATAATGGATGCTATAAGTCATAAATTGCATAGAAATTATTTTATAATATTATAAATAAATAAATTATGTATAATTAATTTTTTCTAAAATAAAATTATTTTTAAATTTTTATAAATTAAAAATACATATACCTAGATTTAGTACCTACAAACAAAAAATTAAAATATTAATCATGTGCCATGATGTTAAAATATAATATATATATATTATATATATATATATATATATATACATGAACTCTATCTAAAAAAGCATGTCAATCAACTATTGAATTCAACAATGAATTCTAAAATTATATTTAATTATTTTTATTTAAAAATTAGGTTTAATCTACAAATATATGGTTTTTTTTTTTTTGCCAAAATCTAGGAATGCATAGTTTAGTTCAACTATAAAAATAGTAAATAACAGTTGAAAATAAATGGTAAAACTCTTTATAAATAATGGTAAAATTCTTTATTCTTGTCAAAAACAATGATTTTCTTTTTTCTTAAATTTTGGAAACGTGAAAATTTATTTTATATGCAAATGTGGAGTATAACTGCCTTTTTTTTATAAATAACAAAAGGAGATTGTCATTTTTATTCTTTCGGTTTAACATCAAAATTAAAAATCCTCAAATTCCTACTTCTTGTAATAATATGATTAAACAAAATATAATATTTAAATTTTATCATTATAATTTTTTTATAAAAAATTGTTATTATATTTGATGAGATGCTCGATATTGAAGTTTGAATTTGTCTAACTTAATATAAAATCTGTTATTCTTAAAAGTAAATTTTAAAATGAAGTTATTGTAATGCAAAAATCTCATAAATTAATAGTAAAATTATAATTATTTTTTTTTTATCATTCAAGAAAGGCAGAGCCCTACATTAAAGAGGAGAAAAAAAATTGAGGTTCGAACTTCAACTTTGATATTTTCATCTTGACCATCAGATTAAACAATTAAAGATAATATTATAATTACTAATTAAATAAAACAAAATTGATAAAAAAATTTTGTCACTCTGATAATTTTTGGAGGGAATATTAATTGCCAACTAAAAGCCTCCAAGCTCTAGGTTGGATCATACCTCTCAACACAACTGTTAAGAATCAAAAGAATGGTTTCTCAAAATAAAAAAGGAATATATGTGGCAGTGAATGAAAGAGATAAAGGATGAAACTTTGCTTGATGCAAATCTGACTAACACCATAGCTATGTGTAATGAGTAATAAGAGAAATTCAATAATGTCTCATCAAAGTGGACGAGAGCATCTATTAAATAATAAAAATAAGTGATATTTGATATTTTAAAAGTAATAAAAAATTTTTAAAAATAAAATTTTAAGACAAAGATATCTAGATTCTTAAAAATATATTTAAATTATATTTTTTAAAAAAATAGATAATATATCTATATCATTAGATATATATCTAAATTATATATATATTTTAAAATTCAGAAAGAGATATATAAATGGGTTAAATGTTCATTTTAAAAATATATATCAAAATTATTGATTTGATTCTAAATATATTCGAAAAAATTGAGTCTAAGATAAATTTTATTTGATTTAAATTAAAATAAAATTCTTGAAATAAATCTAATTTTTGCAACTTTCAAATACTTTTTTAAAATTAAATAATTATTAAATATAATTATTTGATTAAAATTTTAAATTAAATTATTATTTTATATGTAAAAAATATAAATTATTTATGTAAGTATTTACATGATATATTTTATTAGATATCCATTTATTTTGTAATATAATATATATATTAAATTAGAGAAGACCCAATGATTTCTTTTTATTTTTTATTTTATTTTCTTTATAATTAAGTTTTTTTTCTTTACGTTATGATTATGATAATGTGTGCTGCGTTTTTATTTTTTTGAAGGGAATTAATTAGATCAATTCAAGTTTTTTTTTTTTCCTTACACTACAGTTGAATGCCTGTTCAAAACACAAACACGTGTTATAAGTTACTTTTTTTTTTTTTTGGAGTTAATAGCTTAATGTTGGATTTATTAATAGAGCTTCAGAGATTCATGCTTTATGAATCAATCATACATTATAGTTATTTATTTATAAATTATAATAAAAAATTATAGTTTTTTAATGGAAAAAAATATAGCCGAGTATCAAGGAATGAAAAATTGTAGTGTAAAATCTAAACATGCTTTTTTTTAGTCAAGATACTATTTGTTTTAATATAAAAAAAAAAAAAACATTTTTTATTGGGATTGGATTTTATCGAAAATTTGGTAATTTGGACAAAGTTCCACAAATCCGATTCCTTAAACCATCAAACCGACAAGACAACCCGATTTCAACCTGTCGCTATCTATAACCTTACGTGGCAAACAGAGAGGTTGGTGGATATCTTTGTCTATTTCATTTCTTTGGTGGCAAAACTGTCATTCTGCAACTAAAACACCTTTCCAACACTCAACTTTTAATTTTTTTTTGCATATTTGAAAATTTATTAAAAAAATATTAAATAATTTTTTTTAAAAAAATAAAATAATAATAATAGAATCAAATTTAATTTAATTTTTTTATAATATATAATATTATAAAATTTTAAAATTCAATTTGTATTTAAATCGGTAATTTGAATTAGTCATTGATTTTTAAAATTGAAAATTTTTTTATTTTTATATATTATTTTAATAAAAATTTTAATATACTTAAATAAATTTATATATAAAATAATTATTTTTATTTTATAAAAATTTAAATATATATAAAAATTAATAAAAAATTTATAATTAAATTTGATTCATTTTTTTTATATTTTAATTTAAAATTTAATTCTAATCTAATATATATTTAATATTTTATTTTAATTTAAAAAAAATAAAAAAATCTAAATTAAATTAAATATTATAATTTTAAATCAAAATTTTCTTTTCTCTTTTTTTTTTTCATCATAAGGAAAAGCAAAAAAATAAGTGTATTTAAAAGCTCCCTTAAAAAGGTCTGACCGTCATACATCCACCAACAAAGCATCATAATTCTATATATTATTCTTCACTCACGTTTACCCTCATAAGAAACCCTAAACGCTTTTCGATTTCCCCCAAATTATTTTCTCGAGAAACAAACGACTTAACCCATGGGTTCCAAATCCAAGAACGATAACCCCCTCGGTGGCGATGGAGCTAGCCCCGGGTTAGTATCTTTCTTTTTGCCTGTCGATTCAATTCAATTTTCCCCTGTTTGGTTCTTGAGAAAAACTGGAAGGAAACAAGAACGGAAATTTAGGAATTTTTATATTATATTATTTCTGTTTTGTTTAATTCGTACTTTTTTGGTTATCCAATTCGTTTAGACAATTTCGTTATAGTTAATTTTGATTTCTTCTTCTTTTTTTTTTTTTTATTTGCAGGAAGATTTTTATCGGAGGTTTGGCCAAAGATACAACCTTTGGTGAGTCCTTATATTTATTTTTCCTTTTAATCTTTTGTTTTATCTTTTTTCATATTTTTGTTTTAAATTTAAAAAGAACGAAATCTAGCTGGAAATGAAGTTGAAAAAAAAAAAACTAAATTGGATTTATTTTGCTGATTATTATATTCTATCTTTATTGGTTTTATGAGGAAGTAATTGATTTACTAATTTTTTTTCTTTATAATGCTTTTGAATTGATGGATCTTCAGCTCAATTTAATAAGCACTTTGGAAAGTATGGGGAGATAATCGATTCTGTAATTATGAAAGATCGATACACGGGTCAGCCTCGTGGCTTTGGATTTATTACATATGCTGATCCATCTGTTGTGGACAAGGTCATTGAGGATGACCATGTCATCAATGGAAAACAGGTAGTAAATTATGTTTTCAATATACAAAAAATGAGGATACAATAAATTATATACAACCTTTTGTGGATAATACTATAATTGTGTTTTATATTTATAGTCGAGAAGTTTTTACTAGTTAATAAGCTTTCTTTTGTGGTTTAAAGTAATCGTGGGTAAAGCCAAATATAGAGTCAAGACTTCCATGATATCATCTAGCTGATCTTTCAACAATTTAGCCTAATTACGATGCTGGTGAAAGTTTTTGTTCAATAGAACTAAGAAAAATTGGTTTTTGCTTTTTGTTATTATTATTATTATTTTAATGAACTATAGAAGATGCTCACAAATCAACTTTAAACAGGTTGAAATAAAGAGGACAATTCCAAAAGGCTCTAGTCAGTCAAAGGATTTTAAGACGAAAAAGATATTTGTTGGTGGTATACCATCCTCGACCACAGAAGGTATGAATGCCGAGTCTTAGGTGTTTTTATTTAACAGTAGAGTGTGTGAAGTGTCTTGTTTAATATAGATCTTCGTCTATGTGGTGCTTTGTTGTTCAGATGAATTTAGGAGTTTCTTCTCCAAATATGGGAATGTGATCGAACACCAGATTATTCGTGATCATGCAACCAATAGGTCTCGTGGCTTTGGCTTTATAATTTTTGACAGTGAAGAAGTTGTAGATGATATGTTATCAAAAGGAAATATGATTGATATGGAAGGTACCCAGGTAAGCTTAGTGAAATTGGATATACCTTCCAAGGAATCAGCATGTACAAAGGTTGTCGGTGGAGTTTGTGTTATTGCATTCTCCATTTATCTTATTAATATAGATAATAGTAGGGTTGTTAGTTTGCTTAATTTTCAGTACCGAATCACATAAACTACCCCAATGGTTTATGTTTCATATTTTAGGTGGAGATTGATACAGGTGTAGATCTCCCCAGGAAAGGGCTATCGATTTAGTTTACATGCAGCCAAACTTAGGTTAACTAAGTTGCTTTGTTGTAGGTGGAGATCAAGAAAGCTGAACCAAAGAAAGCCTCAAACCCACCACCTGCTCCCGCATATGGTAGCAACTCTAGGGGTCGTTCTTATGATGACGGCTTTGGTGGATATGGTGGTTCATATGGGGGTTTTGATGAAGGGTTTGGTCCAGGTCCTTATAGGAATCCTGGGAGTCTTGGTGGTAGATTCAGTGGTGGTTATGGGTATGGTAGTGGTGGTGGTGAATTTGGTGGAAGTTATGGGGGTTTTGGAGGCAGTAGCTTAGGAGGCTACCGAGGTGAATCTTCCCTTGGTTATTCTGGCCGCTTTGGACATTATGTTGGTGGTTTTGGCGGGGGTTATGGTGGAAGTGGTGTTGGTGGCTATGGTCGAGGAGGTGATGGCTATGGTGGTTATGCAGGTACAGGCTATGGTAGCGGTTATGACTCTGGTCCTGGTGCTAGTTATGGTGGAGCAGGTGGGCTCTACGGAAGGGGAGGCTATGGTAGCAGTAGTCGATACCATCCATATACAAGATAGAATGCTGGCATTGTGATGCAGTTGCTTAATCTTTGCCATAGAAGTTCCATAAAAGTTCCTTTAGATCTGCATTGTGCATCATTAGGCACTTTCTCACAAGTACTAGAAGTCTTCTAATTGTCGCATGTGGAGAAGGCTTTCAAGATCAGAGAAGATATCATGTTAGACTATTGTTCTATTGTGTGGTTTAGGAAAACTTCATATCAGTGTTTGATTGCTCTGTTCTAGACTATTTCAATTTGGTTTGTTATGTAGACTATAGCAACATTTTCTGGAGTTTGCTAGTTAGACATTTTTTTTCTCGTAGTTCTGTTATAGCTTCTTATGTAGTTAATGCTAAATCTTATTTAGTTCGGTCTATCTTTTTTCTAGTGATCAATTAGATTGCTGCAAATGTCAACTAATCCGGGATCAATGCAGTCTAGGCAAATAAGCTAGGTTTTCAATTCTAGATGATAGAATATTTAAGTTATTTTATATTCAGTCACTTAAAATAGGGGAATGCTTGGAAAGTGTTAGGAACTGATTAGGACTTGGATGGAATTTTTTTATCATGCCTGTTCCCAATGTTCTTCTGAGGTACCTTCAGGGAGGAAGACTTTTTTGCTGGCTTTAACATATGTTTGTTCCTTCATGGTGGTGGGTTGATTACTTGTAATTGCTCTTGTTGGAGTTGGCAATGTAGTTTTACAATTATTCTTAAGTTGTTAGTTTTAGTTTTCTTGGGTGAAGTAGGGAAAAAGCATGCTATCCATGGCAGCAAAATATGTACTGGATGATGCTGCGAGCTCGTTGGACTATATCTTCCCTTTTTTTTTTTTTTAATGTCATATTTTGTACCCTGGACATCCGATAAATATTGAAATGAAAATGACGATTATGATGATGATGATGACGATGATGTAAATGTTGGTTGTTGTGTGCCCATGATATGCTATTGCTAACTGATTATGTTTATAAAGGGAAAAATCGCCATTCTGAATAATAATAAAGACTTCAATATATAGTAATATGTTCAAAGGGTTTTGAAAATTCTTGTGAGTGCTTGCTTCATGTCAAGAACGTGAAGCTGGTACCTCAACAAACTAAGCAAGGTATTTTTTGTTATTTTATTGAAAAGGAGAAACAGACGTTATGCAGCATTTTATGTGATTCGAGATGGGAACAAGCTTTGATTAATTGACTGACTCCTTCTGAAGGGCCAAAGCCATTATTTATATTTCTCCGTCGTCCAGCATCTGCCACAGAAAAATTAAGTTTCAGGGAAATTCAAATAAAGTTTTGATCTAAAAATGCAATTTGATTCATGCTGTAATATCAGCAAAATATTTTTAGTTGTTTTTAAATTCAGTGGGTTAATTTTTTTTCTTGAAGGATCTACTAAATGGAGAAGAAAATGCATTATCGACAAAGCCAAGTTTTGTTTTTTCGGAAAATAGTTCGTTTTTTTTTTTTTAATCACATAAAATACGGCACCGTTTGACAATCCTGACAGCTTCCTGGGAAATCTTTTCTTGTCAGCCTCAAAAGTATCGAACTCAAAAATTTACGAACGTAAACGACAGAGTTGAGTTCACTTCGAACTCCCAGACATTCGTTTCTGTCTCATCTTCTTGTTTAACTGCCGGTGGTCCAATAAACAAAAAATGGTGACCGAGTTGAAGTACGAGATCTCACAGAACGCTTACATAAAGTTGGTTCTACATGCGTTGAAGCACAAGACCACGGCGGTCAACGGCGTCTTACTCGGCCGAGTCAACCCGCAAAAAGAAAACGTCGTTGAGATCCTTGACTCAGTCCCTCTCTTTCACTCCAATCTTGCTTTATTGCCTCCCCTCGAGATCGCCCTCATCATGGTCTCTATATTCTCTTTTTAGGGTTTAAGAATTTTTTTTCCGAATAATTTCTCTCCTGGAACTATTTTAGTTTGAAGATCAGATTTTCTTGGTGGTTTAATTATTTGGTTTTGACCAAATATTCAATTGGGTAGTTAAAACCTTTGGTTGTTTTGGTAAAGTTTTGTTTTTGTTTTTAAAGAACAAACCTTTTCGGCTGTTTTGTTGGAAGTTGTTGGTTTTGAAACGTGATTCTGATATATATGTATATAGAGCTGTTCTGATGGGTTGGTTTTGATCAGGTAGAGGAGCATTATGGATCTGAGGGCTTGGGAATTGTGGGTTATTTCCATGCAAACGAGAGGTTTGATGATGCAGAGCTAGGCATCTTGGCAAAGAATATTGGTGATCATATCTGCCGGTACTTTCCCCAAGCTGCTCTTCTCTTGGTACGTATTTTAGTTGTTGTAGTGATTTGCTTTGCTAATTGGACATCTATGCTGCTTTGCTTGCTGTGGCTATGTCTCAATTCTGTTTTGTGTGTGCTTTTTTCTTTTGTAGTTAGATAACAGAAAGCTTGAAGCTCTGCCCAAGGGGAAAGACCAGAGTCCCATGATGCAGGTTTGTATTTACTTTGTGATTTTTAAGTTTTAATTCCTGCCTTTTTGGTTTTGGTTGATTTGGGGAAGTGAAGTGAGTAAGATTTCACTGCCTGAGTAATACTGTAGTTGTAAATGGCAAAAACAAAGCACCGTATAGTAGTAAGAAAATTTTATAATTAAAAAAAAAAAGCTATATACAGGTGCAAGAGGAGAGCTGGCATTTGTTCTATCTTACGATTTACTGTAAAAGAAGTTAAAATCAGAGGGCTTGAAGGTGTGGCTGAAGGTTCTTTTGCTTCATATATGTATGTAATGTAAGTTTGTTTGGCATATCTGCTTCCCATGACTTGAGCTGTCTAAATCTTATGCTGAGTTCATGGACAACCTTGGGATTTAGTATATTTGGTTATGTTGGTCTGTGTTGTAAGACTTGTAGTTCTATCTGTAGTTTCGGCTTCAAATCCAATTGCTTTTCCCAATTCAGAGGTGTAGAAGTTCCACATCTTTGAATTAGAAGGTGGGTTACCTGAAAGGAGCAAGGGCTTGTTGGCTTTTGCAATATCAACTCTCTGATTTTTTGAAGAATTGAATAGCAAAGGAACTAATGTGAATGTTGTCTGTAATTATCTGTTGCTCCTTGGGAGCAGCATCACTTAGTAGGTTCTGATATATTTATTTCATATGTGAATCCCCCCCCTCCCAAAGTTTGTTGCTTTTTGATGCTTCAAACTTCATTTTGTCAATATGATGCTATGTGCCAAGCTTGATAATATCAGTAATACTGGTAAAAAGGTTTTCACAATATTCCTATTGCCCGCTAGTGGATGTGTAACTGTTATTTTTTGCATTGAATGTTTTCAGTAACCATCAGATTTTGTGAATTAGTTGCAGCAAATGGCCTCCAATAGCTACTGTTGGAGTTAAATTAGATTTTCTGGAATTGACATTTGATGCCAGTCTTTGGTCATTTAGAGTTATTTTCCTTCAAAAGTTGTTGGATCAGTGGATGTATTCATGGTCCAATAATTTTACTATGCCTTTGGCTAATGGTAATATTTCTCTTGTCATGCATTAGCTTTATATAAGGGATGCATCCAAGAACTGGAAACTGGTTGGACCAGATGCAGGCAGCCGATTGCTCATAAAGGAGCCAGCAGCAAATATAGTCTTGTCGGATTATATTGCATCTGAGAAATGGCAGGATGTTGTAGATTTTGATGACCACCTTGACGACATTAAGAAGTAAGCCCTATGGTCTTCTCTGCTCTCATAAAAGAAGAATGTTAAAATACATGATGTGCTTGGCTGCATTCGTTGGCTATGTGTGATTTTACATGTTATCTTTCTGCTTGCAGGGATTGGCTTAATCCAGAATTCTTAAAGTAAAGATCATTGGTTGGTTGTTGGTTGATTGAACGTAAAGGCTGATGCGAATAATTGTCTGTCGAAGAATGTGAAGTAGACAATGAATTTGACAAAACATGGGCTTAAAGATATTTATTTGCCAAGAGATTTTGTTGTGATGCATTAACCGAATAGTTTTAAGTTCATGAAGATACCTTCTCCACATATCTATAGTGAAATGAGGATGTTAATGGTCATGAAATGATGATATTATTTGAATGTTTCACCCCAGGAAGGCCTAAAATGGCATTTTTAAGCACTTATTCTTGAGCATGCGCGAGCCTGGAATGAACCAGGCCAATGAGAGATATGTTCAAGATGAACATAATTCTGAAAATGGAGATGACAGTTCAACTTGAAGGAGCCTGTTTAGGCCATCGGTTGACTAGTAATCAGTACTTTGATTTGCGGTGTATTTTGATCATTTCAAGAATGATATTCATGCTCATAGCTCCAAAGAAACCATGTCACTAATCTACAGTTATTATCATTACTCATCATCGAGTTAGAACACAACAAACTAGACACAAAACCTCTTCAAAACAATCAAACGATGGTGGTTCTTCTGATATAATAAGGATTCAAAAATATGGTGAGTCTCAGCTTTTCAATCACTAGGCAAGGTATGATTTTTTTCTAGAAATACAAATCCTGTAAATAATAATAAAACAGAGTCGACATCCATGTTTGGCTTATATTAATCTTCATTCTCTTTGTTATTATCACAAGTATCGTTTTGGATTAAAAATAAGCTAGATGTAGAGATAAAAAGATATGTCAAACAACTTCGAACTTCTAATCCTAGATGATATCCCGGACATTCAATCTATCATAATCAGAGACATGTAACTTTTTGTTTCTTATTCCCAAAAAGAACATCAAGTAATTCAAAGAAGTGGACATCCTTTAGCCACAATCCCTGGTGCTGTGAGGCAACTTGCCAAAGGACAATGGTCACTGGATTCCAAACCCCACCAATCTGGGCCATAAGAATTATTTAAGGATTGTAAGACGAAGAACATGAGTACTCCCATAAACGCAACCCCTGCATCCATGGCAGCTGACAAGACATAGGTATGTCTAGCCCACCATCCCTCGTGCCTTTTATAAACATACCAATTGAAGAAGATTCCCACAACTCCCCAGCAAATGTAGTGCACAGCTTTAGCTGATGGCAAGCCCGCTGCACCCGTAAGGAGAAGTGGCATATGAATGAGCTTGATCCATTTTTTCTCGGGGAATTTGATCGACAGCCACCAAACAGGAAAAGGAGCAAGAAAACCAATGAGAAAGAACCAGTTCAACTGTGGATGATTGCCAAGACTTGTGAACATTCTGAGAGGGCCTATAACTCCCCATATGATTGAAGCATTGTAAAAAACATTATCTCCAGGACTTGTCCATGGACTCCCCGTTCGCAGCAAATCTGGAAGACAAATATTCTCAACAGTTGACACTAGCCACCATGTTGTTCCCAAGTAGCAAGATGAAGCAACTATAGTTCCTACTAACTGAATGTAGCATCCCAAGGAAGAAAAAAAATTAGGTTAGTAACCTATCCAAATTCAAAGTACAGCACAACGTTTATCAAATATACTTTGATAATTACCTGAGCAATGAACATTGATTTAGGTGGGATCTTCATGTAGGGACCTAATTCGAGGTCCTGTGCCAAGAAAAGAGCTTGACCCATACTAATGTAGCCATAGGTCTTGAAACATACATTAGCAAGGCGCTTTCCGGGGGTACAAATACCCGATAATCAACTCCGTGATCACATTCAGGCCTGGTTGCTGCACGACAGAAAAAATATATATAATAATAATAATATCAATGAAAGGCTTGCTATTTTTTGTTTCTTTATTCATGTTTTTGTTTAAGGTAACCATACCGTGTTTGTTGTGGCTTGAATTATGCCAACAGGTAAGGTGAAAAACAGTGCAATCCCACAAGCTAGCAAAAGCCCCCACCATGGGAGCTGCAGTTGTTTGCCAAAACCTTCACAGACGAAAAGGGAAAGAGCCAGAGTTGAAATTAAGACAACATAAAACCACCAATCAGGGACTGCTTCATAGTTCTTCATCAATCTTGTGTGTACATCACTAAATTTCTCCATTGCTGCAGATCTTGCCTTTCTCCACAATATAAAGACTGTTCTGTTCTTTTTTTTTTTCAAGAAAAGAATGAATCAAGGAAAAAACGTATCAATAATAAAGAAAAAGTACTGCAGGGGAAGCTTACTTTCCATCAAACAGGGCGACATGTGAAATGCTGGCCATTAGAGTTGCAGAGCTCAATCCATAATTCAAGGCAAACACTATACTCATATAGAGCTTGCTATAGTTATTATAGCTATCTAGGTTGATATCAAAAGTTTTGTCGTTGAGAATTCTAGTAATGTTGTAGATTTTGCCGTCGGCATCATAAGTGGATGAAGTGATCAAAGGAAATCGTCTAGCTTGGAATACATTCATCCAGTAAGTAATGGGAACAAGAATATAGAAAACCAAGAAAAAGCCAACCAAGGTATTGACAATGGCAAATAATGGTGTGGGAAGAGGACTCCCCAAGAAGCAACAGTAGACCAGTCAAAACCAAAAGAGCCAATGCCAAAGCCACATAACCCAGAACCAATCTGCTGGGCAGTAATTGAATCCTTCCATATCCAGCATACAAAAGAGAGGGCTGATATTGATGGGAAAAGGTAGCCTGGAATAACGTAGTAAGCGAAGCTAGATACGAAAACAATGAGGAAGAATTGTAGCCTTGTTAGTCCTTTCTTCGGTCGCTTTTCTTTCTCATGTAATGCCCTACAGTTTAATTTATAAGTTGTTCAACATAAAGAAGAAATTATTGGAACTTTGCCTACAAATTTCTTTTCTATGGAAGTAAGGAAGTGAAGTACCTGAACAAGGACACTTGGACTAGGTTCGATGGCCACCACAAGTAAGGGGAATCAACTAGGTATTTTCTGAACAAACCAGCCCATCCATATCCAAGTAGCTGAATTTGATCAAACAACAACACATATCAGGTTTTTTGAATAATTAGTTTCCTTGAATAAAGTCAAGCTGTTGACATGATACCTGAGTAGTTTGTGCTAGCAATAAGGCTGCAACTGGATGAAATCCTCTGCGGTAAAAAGCTTTGACAATTGTGATAATATGTGTTGCATAAACCGAACTATATCCACAGCTAGCAAGTATGGTAATCAGCACATGTTCTTTCACAGGGAATGGTCCCGGATTCAAAGAGAACGACCACTTCGTGAATGGGACTGAAATTTTGGTATCAGGAAGGGTTGCAGCCATTAACCTCCCTAGTGGTAAAGCAACAATTTGTGCTGAAACTGACGAGGTACTGAGTTGATTAGTTCGATAGCTAAAGAAGTCATTCACAAACGCAAGAATGCAACAAAATAGCAGCCCAAGAAACCAAGTTCGAAATGTCAAGGCTGCTTCTGTCGGATCATCTGTGATTGGAACCGTCAATCTTACTTCCTCAATCGGACTGTCATTCACTTCTTCATCTTCTGACAAACAAAATCACAATTTAAAACTTTTACCAAACAATATTCCATCATAATTTAGCCATAAACTATAACATAGAAAGAGATTTTACCTTTTCCGTTGATTCCATGTTGATGGTTCTCAGGCAATTGAGATCGAGGGAGTGCCCCCTGCCCCACTGTTGCCATTGCTATAACTTTTCCTTTTCACAAAAATTCAGCAATAGTCTACAATCCTGTTTTATAGGCGGTTATCCTTTTCATCTTCTTGACATGCTTAGTTGTTTACTGCAAATACAATTACATTAAGTATGAAATTGCCTAAAGCACTGTCCATATTCTTGCTTAACCTGAAACTACCCCATTTACCAACCATAATTAGCCAATGAATAGATAAAGAAAGTAAAGCTAGTCTTCTTCTATGAGAAGGATTCTTTTGAGACAAAAAGTTCTACAATCTCGGAAACTATAAATGATTCTGTCAAATGGGTGGATCTTATGAGGCATTTGGATCAAAGACATAAGCTAATTAACTTGATCTATATAATAAATTCTTATATTATATATATATATATATATGCATAGAAAAAGGAGACTTAATGAAAATCAAACAGTGTTAGGTTTGTATATATTTCTAAGAAATTCTTGAAAAAGATTAGCACTAGGGCAATATGATTTTTTTTTCCTGCAATTTTGAGGAATGTGATATATAGACAAGACCATTATTCAAACTAATTATTTTTATATGTTATTATCTCTTGTCAAATGTGAAGCAGAGTATTATATGTAAAAACAGATATTTAATAGGATGAAGGAAAACATCTTAACAAAAATGACTAGCATGGCAATGAGCTGGAGCAAGATTATATTGTTTCTTACAATTTTTTTTCTTTGTCTCTATCTGATTTCATTTTAATTTTGATCAAAGTTATTGAATTTTTTTGGCCAATAAAGTTATTGATAATTGACCTTTATGAACAAAAAATCAAAATTTTTTTCAAAAACAAGAATATTAAGTAAAATAAAATTAATGAAAACTCTTTAAAAGAGAAACAAAATTTAATTATTTTTCCATTCTATATATAAAAAATTCAGAGAAATAAAAAAACTAAAATTTACCTCAGTAAAAGAAAAAAAAAACTTTATTCACTTTTTAAATTTTCTTCCATATTCAATTATTCATTATTTTTCCTAAGCCTAAACTCGTAAAATTCAAAACCCTAAACAGAAAAACAGGCTGACCTAAATTTGGCCTCAAAAGTTTTTCTTTTTGTCGGATTCAATTCAATTTTTAAAATATTATATAATATTATAAAAATTTAAATTTTAAAATTTGATTTAAATTTAAATTTAATTTTTTTATTTAATTAAATTGAATTAAATTTTATCGATTCAATTTTATTTTGTTTTATAATTTTTAAACTTTATATATAATTTTAATAAAAAATTTAATATATTTAAATAAATTTTAATATAAAATTATTTTATAAAAATTTTAAATATATATATATACTAAAAAATTATATAATTTAATTCAATTTAATTCAATATTTTTATTTTTTATCTTTTAATTTAAAAATTAATTTAAATTTAATATTTACATTTAATATCTAATCTACATTTAAATGAAACCAAATATTATAATTTTAAATCGATTTTTAAATTTCAATTTTTTTTACGCTTACTGTTTATACCTTGTTAGAGTAACATTTTATTCCAAGGAGATGATGATAAT